TTACAATTCGTGCAGTTTACAATCTGGGCCCCAAAGAATCGTTAAGAAACTTGTTTAAAGAGATAAAGGTATTGACTGTTGCTGCTCAATACATTTTTGAAAATGTTTTGTATGTCCATAAAAATAAGGATAAATTTTTAAGACATAATAATGTTCATGATATAAATACTAGGAACAAAAATAAATTGATCCTACCCACAAGTAGACTGCGTAAAATAAGTAAATCTTTTGTGGGACAATGTATACGGGTACTACAACAAAATTCCAGAAAACGTTCAAAATTGCATCAATTGCTAAATTTAAAAAAATAGTAAAAGAACGTTTGTGTGTTAAACGCTACTATAATATTAATGATTATTTAAATGATAATACACTCTGGTAATGAACTGATCGCTCCAGGCTCTTTCAATCGGAGTTCTTATATTGTATTTTTAATGAATTTATGTCAAACTGCTTATTTAAAAAAATTAAAAAAGCCCGCTGAGTTTCTTTCGCCGGTTCTTCTCACTACAGTGGCTTTCTTTTCCGAACCGGTGGTAGTGTTTTGACTATCAATAAGTGAGTGTAATGCTCCTATGTTGAATAGAGACATTTGATTTTGATTTGATTTTGATTTTTGATTTGGAAGTATTTCTTAATTACCATTTAATTTTTGTTGATTTTTTTTATTTTAATAAATAATTATAACGAAATATTATTGTATTTGTTCAAAGTTGAAACAGTTGGAGAACAATCTGTCAGTAAATAAACCAAATTTTAGTATTAAAATTTTTTTAACGTCATCTATTTTTTTTATTAAAATATTTAATTTTTCACCCTAAAACGAAAATTTATCTTATACACGAAAAATAATTGTTTTATAATTGTTATTATTAATTTGTTTATTGCCCAAATTGAGCCATTTTATAAAATAAAATAAAATAAATATATTATTTTCACATTTAATTTGTTGGCTAAGAAATTAAAAGTGAAAATAATATAAAAAATACAACTCCGCTCAATGAGGGTTTGAACTTGAGACTACAGCAATAGTTTACCGCTGTGTGTGACGCTCGGACCAACAGGCTACGCGAGGTCTATGCAAAGTGACAAAATTTCGGTTCTAGTTATAATTGCTATCGTTTATCGATACAAGCAAGGATTTTATAGATAGTTTTTTAAATTTCATTTTAGTTGAAAAAGTACTATAACATAGTAAGTCTTGAACATTTAAAGGATAAATTAAAATTTCTAATTTATTTGACTTTAAGATGTATTTTTAATCAATTCCTTTTCCATTTAATTAAAGAAATAATAATATACAGGAAGAAGAATTTTAAAATTGTTGATTGCTTTCTCATACTTTATATTTGTTTGTTTGTTACTATTCCGATAGTAATATAAGATTAAAATAAAATCATGGTCAATAAAATATATTATAGGGATAGGCACACATTATGCAATGAATGACTTGGTCTAGCGGCGCGTCGACGAAACTCGCGCGCTGCGCGCCGCTAAGCGGCGTTACCCCTCCTCCGCTTCCTCATACTTCACCACCTAAATAGTTAAAAATTCACTGCATACAGCGCCTTAAGCAAAAACGTTTTAAAACTCACGTCGCTATACCTATTACATTATCATGTTCAAACAAAGGTAAATCACGCAGTGGCGGAGTTACAAATTTAAATTAAATAAAAGTTAAATTTTTCCCGCCCCTACTGACCTCTGAAATTATATATTTCAGTCCGCAATTATATTAATTAAATGTATTCTGTCAAAAAAATTGCAACTTTATGATTTGTGGTCTATAGTCTTCATTACATCAGTTTTTTTTCCGTTATTAGCATGATAGTTCAACTAGGGTTTCGTTGTGTCAGTTTCTAGATTATTTTTACAACCCACGATTTAGTGAAGATTACATGCAAAATAGCTTTTGAGTATATTTCGGAACAAAAAAACCTCAATTATGTTATTAAGACGCGACGGTATGCCTTGAAAATACTTATACGGGTACCACATACGAACTGATACTATATTATTATATACTATATTCTGTAAGACCAAAATTTTTAGGCCAATTGTGCCGCCCCCTAAAATCTGCCACCCTAGGCTCTAGCCTACTTAGCCTGCTGGTAAATCCGCCACTGACATCACGTTTGTACGTTCTAATGTGGTCGTTGGTGTGCTTCACTCCTTTACACTTTCCAATTTGTTTTTAGTGAATAAAATTTTTAAATATGTAGAAAAAGTACGAAAAGATTGTCGCCGCTGTGGGAATCGAACCCACGTCTTCGGCATTCGCGGCCTGACGCTTTAACCGCTAAGCTAAACGGCTGATTGCCACACCGACGAAAATCTTAACGTCTTTTATCTACATTGTTTTTTGCATTTGAAGATTGAGATTTAGATTGAGATATTCTACATATTTTAATGTTCAATCTTAAGTGCAGAGATTAGCACTATAAAGAATTTGAATTAAATTTTGTGTTGTTATTGTCACTCACACCGAAGCCTGCCCCTAACTCCTGACGTTGCTTGCAATGGATCTTCCGCAATCACCTTTATTTAGTTCTACTAAGATCTTCGGTTTTCCAAGGGGTTTTTTTTTATAGGTCTCAATTTCCAGAAAAGTATTTTATTTTACAGAAGTTTCCCCATAAATACCATTATTCACTCGAGCTGTTTTCTACAGCGTTGATGCCAAGGTGAAACTCGTAGGTATTCATAAATAACGTGATATTTTAAGTTTTCCATATAGTGAACGGTCCGATATTAAAGAAATATCAAATACACAAACCTATATTTGAAATAAATTTTAATTTGGCTCAGCCAAACACCAGATATTTGAGATTAAAATGGCCAGTTCGACAAAACGCCAATTTCATATGTAAGGTACCTACTAATATTATAAAAACAAGCCCATATTGAATAAATAAATATTGACTTTATTAATCATCAGCCATTAGGCTTATTTTATTAAATCTCGTATGTTCATTTAAAACACATTAAGGTACATATTATGCCAATAACGTAATCTTTTAAGCAGAACTAATTCACTTGTTATGTCACAAGTTTATGGTAACTGCTAAAAATGTACTGCTAAAGTATTGATATCTTGGTTTTACAACTACTAATTAAAACAACAAGTACATACTCAATATCACTCTTTATTGATTTAAAAAAATATATTACACATTCATTATGTTCCAACGTTGTGTGAAATAGTAACATTCTCAAGATAACGATATCAGGCTTAGTAAAATAGCGTATGTTTTGCACCAATCACTACTATGCTACAATTTATGAACTTGCAGCTGAAATATATTTATTTTACGTCTAATGTACTTTATACAGATATATAATTTTAGTTTAACTGTGATTATTACCGGTACTACATATTTAAAAAGCAAACACTTAGGCCCTAAGTACCGATAATTTTTTTGAAGTAAACCTCATCAATATGAATAGTGAAGGACTTCTAAAAATATCTATATTTCTTTCTAATATACTTATCTACTTATCTAATGGGGAAAAGTTACAATAAACAAGAAAAGTTTAATATTTGTATTTTTCTCTATCGTCTCAGACACTAACTAGGTACATCTGAAAAACATACATCCACTATTTGCAGCATTCAACACAAACAGATATCACAAAATTGTACATTTTGTAATGTAGAGATAAAAATAGAAACAACAAAAGTAAGATCTATTTGCTGTTATGATGAGATGTCATTTAATGAATGCAGTACTATAGTGACTAATGCAGTGCAGAATTGGGCAGTTGTTGTAGAGGAAAACCCGAATAAGATTTATTGCACAGCCGAAAACCCCCAATAACTTTAAACATCTAAGTTTAGAAATTCGTAGTATTAAAGTACTATAGCTACATTATTTTTCATCTCACTGGACAAGTTCCAAGTTATTGATGTTCTCACTCTTAAACTATTTTATAATTACAATAATAAATTAGACTTTAAATATGTTGTCACATTAAATTTCAATATAATTTTCCCTTTGAATAGAACTTTCTTATTTCTTAAACCTAGATATACAAAATAGGAATCTGCAATAAAAAATCGATGTTCACACATCAGCTCTGACAAATATTCATAACAATAACTTTATAATATCACCCCTTTACCAGATATGTCAGTATTAAAGAAAACTATATAAAGGATATTAAGAAAACTGATAAAGAATTGTCAAACAAGCACACTCTGTACGGACGGAAATTACTCGTTTTTTAAAACAAAATACGTTAAGGAAGGGGAAAAAAATACATGAAACAGAAAATTAGAATAATTCAAATATGACCAATTATTTCGTAAAAATTGTTCAATAATTTGTTGAGTTATACCCCTATTAAATATAACCCTATATAATGCATACAGCTGGAATGAAATAAGGGAAATACACTTATTTCTACAAGCACCAGAAGTTCATGAATGTCAGTATGGAAAAGTTATTTAAAGATACACATAATATACTAAAACTGATAACAGACACTTAAAAGTCTACCAACAACTCCCAGCATGAAAGATGCATGGCAGAATAACATCCAAGACATATTGCAGATTCCAAGAGGTTCCATCATATGATGACAATGTAATGACTCTTAATGTTATACAAAAACAAATCATATTATGCATCTTAAAAAAAAACAATATTTAAATTATAATGAAAAAAACAAGTCATAACATAAAATATGCAGCTAAAACATGGACGTAAATAACCTGAATGTGTAAGAACAATGATCATTATTATAACTAAAACTTAATATCAACAATTTCACACCATATAAAACTACAAAGTTGATAGTAACACAAATTTTAAATTTTAAATGTCAAACTAAATGTGGACAAATAAATACCAAATAATTATACCGTATATCATGTCATGTATCAAATTTAAGAGCAATTTCAAATATTTTCAGGTTGTAGTTTTATTTGTAGTGAGTGGCATTGAGCTAGCAACTAGGCTGTTGCTCGGCTGGACCCTGTCTGATCAACTTATTTTTCACTGGTCTTTGCGAGCCTTCTTTTTGCTTTTCTTAGCCACCTTGGCATCGGTCCAAGTATCTGAAATTTCATTTTTTCACAATCATTTAATATTTTTAGATCTAATAAATTTACCATTGGCCCATTACAAAAAAAAAAAGTTGATTGAAAAATAAAAATAATATGCATAATAGATAAGATCTATGTATTTTTAAAATAAATTATGTATACATTGTAACAGATTTGTTTATTGCATTGTTATAGTATCCTTCAAATCCACAGAACACAAGAAATAATCAGTAACTATCAATAAAAATTGAAAAGTAAAATAACATCAAATATAAGTCCCAGAGCTGCTAAAAGCTTACTCTGTACCTAATACACTGTACAGAGTAAGCTTAGTTATAGTTATAGTCCACCCACTGTCGATTGGCAGATTTCGCACATCTTTGAAATATTATCTTTTTGTTATTATTTCTAAAATAAGCAGGTTTCCTCATGCTATTTTTGATGAGACATCACTTGTGGGATAATGATACATATTATACAGCATGTCATTACGTGTCAATACACATTTCGTGACAATAAATGATCACACATATAGAGGATAACTTTTTAAAATTGTATTATACATTTACATTCTTTAAACATCAATATTTACCGAGTTATTAAATTTTTCAAAACAAACAATTTTAGGACACCCTTACGTATAAAACTGTAACGTTAAGGTCACCAAGCATATGCATGGGTTGAATGAATTTAAAAGAAATAAAACATAGTGTTAGGAGAGATTTGTAATGCGATGTTGTGGCAACAAATGAAAAAGTTTCTGAATATATGAATCAGTCAGTTGTAGTTTTATAGGATGTTACAAATTTTGTTTCTTTTTTATTTAATTAGTTTGTTTGAAAAATATATTTCTTTAATTATGGATTTTTTTAACGTTTATATTTTTTATGATTATTTGCAAGTAGCGTTAGATGTGTGTTCATTTATTGTCGCGGTTGTAATGACACACTGTATATGGGATTCGACCCAGTCTTACTCAAATACATTGAATTAAAAGCAAGCACCCAACTAGACACTGAGCAGTCAGTAATTATCAATAAAACAAATTAAAAACCATTCCTGGCATTTTATTACTTCCATTTTCATGACAAAGTTTATAATCCAACCTTAAGAAAAAATATCATTAACATAGTAGCATCTCAATATGCATATGGAGCAAACATTTTCTTTTTTTAATTTATGTTATTTCTATTGTTACATTCTTTTGATAATTCCTAGAGTTTATGTTAATTAATTTCAGCAAAACACCAAAAGATTTTTATCTAAAATTTGGGTAAACTTACCTCCAAGTTCATCAAACACAGGTGTATTTTGAACATCTTCCTGTTTATCAGAAGCATCTGAGGCATCTTTATCCTCAACTTTTGAAGCAGTCTTTGCTACGGCTGACTGTAATATAAAAAAAACATGCCATTAATAATAAACCCAAAAAACAAATGTGATACAGTTCTCTTTTGGATCACATTTACTTAGGTCACATTTTTTAAAATTATTATTTACAAGGTAAAAAAAAATCACCTCAACAGCCTTTTTCTTGACTTGCTTTTCTTTGTTTTCTTTTTTCTTGTTGCTTCTAAGATCCTTTACATCTGTTAGTTCATTTTCAGCAGTCTCCTCCTCTTCAGTGCTACCTAGTGCAGCTTGTTCACGCCGCTCTGCCTGTAAGACATTACATTTAACATGTTAATATATGTTTAAAAACTATAATTAATTTTTTCTAAGGTATACATATTTATGTATTTTTTTTCTTAATATATATAAAGGTATATATGGTTTGTTACAGCGGGCAAAGACTGCTCCCCCTACTCGCCTCTGGTTCTATAAAAACAGTAGGGGTAGGACAGACTTACCAGGTGGAGTCAGTCAATCAATTAGATTCTTTGAAATAAGTTGAACCTAACCTTTTTTATTTCAAGACTACATGGGAAAAACAAGGAACGTCAGAATATAAAAATGGAAAAAATATGTTTTTCTGCATTATGGCGTGTTATGTTATTTTTGTTTTCAAAATGAAATAAATAAACTAATTTGCAACAATGCCTTAATGTAATATTATGTGATATGGTGTAAGGAACAGTAAAAATTGGAATAATATAACAATTCACATTTCTCAATTTTTTTTTTTTCTCAAAAACTATGCATCATATGCATGTTGGTACTTCATTTATTATATTATAAAATAATCTAATCTTTCTAAAAAAATATCAGCCTCCAATTTGATGGAAGTCAATGAAAAATTGAGCCAGAACATTTGCTATAAATACCTCCTTAAGCACACGTTGAAACTCTTCTACTTGTGCTTGCAATGCACGGTTTGACTCTTCATCAATTGATGAATCAGAAGTTATTGTTACTCTAATAGGTTCCTCAGAAGGTTCTTCAACAGCTTGTTCTTGGGCAGCTTCAACATCAGAATCCTTGGCCTTCTTCTTATTTTTCTTGGAAGGACTTTCCTTTTTGTCCTTTTCCTCAGTTGCCTTCACCTTTTTCTTATCACTCTTTTTAGGTACCTCCTCCCAAACACCCTCATCAAAATCAGCGGGTTTTTCAATTTCAGCAGTAGCCTTCTTTTTCCCTTTCCTTACTTCACTTGTAGTTTCCTTTTTCACTAACTTAGGTTCAGTTACTCTCTCTTTTGGTTTAGGCTTCTCAGGCTCTTTGGGCTTTTCTTCTTTCTTCTCCTTAGTAGGCGATTTTTTGGAACTATCGGTCTTTGTCTTCACATCATTGGCAGTGCGGTTGGGTGAAGACTTCTGGAATGTATGGAACTGTATTATTTATTGAGTCCTCATATAATTTATTAAAATAAGAAATTATAAGTTATTAATCCAAGCCATATGCTTACAGGTTAAAAATAAAACGAGCGCATTGATGTTTCGGCCGGGAAAGTGCACTTACGTTAAAATATTTTCTTACCTTTTCCTTTATTTTCCTCTTCTTGTTGGAAGATTTCCTATCATCTAAAACAAGAGGCAGCTTATCAAATTGCGGCTGCTCTGCTGAATGGAACCCGAAAATAAATACTAACGCTGCACATACTAAAACAACAGCAACAGCTGCGGCTGGGTACAAGAACTGCGCATTAGATACTTGACTCAATAGCTCCATCTTTAAATTTGATTAAAAAAAATTACAACCCACATAAAACGATATCTGTAAGATGTGATAATGTCGAATAATTTAATTCCCCAGTGATAAACGCAGACACGGAGACATGATGACGCGGCTGTGACGTGCCAAAAATTGCGACAAGCAGGGTGACCATGTGTGAAATAATTTTCATTACAACAGTTTCAGACTTTCAGTTAATTTTATTTCCTGACATTTTTTTCCCTAAATTTAGTTTGCTGTTAACCCGACAACTTCATCGGAAGAGGTCTGTGAATAAACGGAGAAGCAGCTTTCGAGCCCCCTCTATGCGACCGCTGAGTGCTTATTGCTTCGGGCCTTATTAAAGACACGATCAAACCTATAGTCTCGGGCTCATGGCATAAAGTGGTTTTCCCTGCTTGTTGTAAAAAGCGACTAAGAGCGCATACCGGGTTCATGGACAAATGGGGCCTGTTTAGTGGGTAGGTATTATCTCACAGCATACGGCTGGGCGGATTAATCTCCAGTGGTTTTATCATTACATTTTCTGAGAATATTTGCTATGGTAACATATATTTTGACATTAGAATTTCGATTGAAAATTAGGGTGCTTTTGCGATATTGAGTCAAAATAAGGTGAAAAAATAAAAATTTCATATCAAATAAATTTCAGTGTATTTGGGACATAAAAAGAAAAGTTTTCACCTAATTTCCTTTTATTTTTTTCTTTTACAAAAAACATTTTTTAAAAGAAAAAAAAGAAAAGATCAAAAACTTGGTTATTTGAATTTTTCAAATAAATTTGAGGTTATGTGAAAAAAGTGTTTGTACAAATACAAAAGTTGTAGATCTTTTTATGACCTAAAGTTTAAGTTTTTTTCCATAGGCCTCGTAGTTTTGTCGGAAATCGAGATAAAACGTATTTACCCTTAAAAACTCACCCCCCTCCCCCCACTTCCCGAACTCTGATCACCCGTAATTTATTTTTACGTTCATTTTCATCATATTCTCCTCCTTTTCCAATGAGTTTCATCTCACTGTATTTTTTTTTTGTTTTTTTTTTATGCGAAAAGATTTCAAACGAGCAGACGGTTCACCTGATGTTAAGTGAATACCGCCGCCCATGGACATCTGCCACACTCAAGGGCTACAGATGCGTTGACAACCTTTTGAAAATTGGGCTCCGGCCACCTCACTCACCAGACGAAACGCGAAAGTATTTGTCATACTTCCACTTTACGCTGGTCTTCTGTGAGGTCGTGGTACTTACCCGGACGGGCCCGCCCATTAGGGCCACACAACAGCCTCGGCTGTTGTGTGGCCCTACCACCGTAAAACTTTTTTTTGGTTACAAAAATTATCGACCCTGGTCTATATCCTTTTTGATACGATTTCAATATTGAATATTTTATAGCAATATATCAGATCAAAATATATCGGCTAAGAATATCGATATGTTTAATCAAAAATTTTAGATAGAATTATTCTTGTAAATATTGGATGATTAATATTAAAACATTTTATTAGCAAAAAAAATCAAAAACAGTTTTTAATGAAGATCTCACTAGAATTTCGAACTGGAGCAGAGATCACGATCTAAAGGCAAATCCCGTGAAGTCACAAGTTACGATAATTGGTTCATCGGAAATGTTGAACAAAGTGAATCAGATGTAAATTTCCGAGGTCACTTTTAACGGAACATCAATACCTATAAGCTCTAGAGTAAAGAACTTAGTTATTTACTTTGATAAAAATCTTTCTTGGGGCCCTCACCTTCAAGAAAAAGCTCGCAAAATATTTGCCTCAGCAGCATCCTTAAGAAGATTACGCAACTTCCTCCCTACTGCCACCAAAATTTCTCTTGCACAAAATCTGCTTCTTCCGATACTCGACTATGCGGATGTCAGTTATCTAGATCTCACTGAGGAGCTACTTGATAAGCTAGAGCGAATTCAAAATTTTTGCATAAGATTCATATTTGACTTGCGCAAATATGATCATATCTCACATTTCCGTGTTAAGCTCAAGTGGCTACCTATTCGTCTTCGCCGGAATGCTCACATACTTTCTCTTGTTTACAACATACTGTTCAATCCTTCATATCCTACCTATCTAAAGGAACGTTTCCAATTTCTTCGCGATTCCCACTCTAAGTCCCTGAGATCATCAGAAAATTTGGAGCTAAAAATTCCTACACACAAAACTAAGTTCATGAGTAGGTCATTTGTGGTGCAGGGTGCGCGACTCTGGAATGATCTACCTCTAGAAGTAAGACCCGCTCAGACAATAACTATTTTAAAAAACCGTGTAAAGAATCACTACTTATCGCTGTAACTTTATTTCTTAAAAATGATATATGTATTCGTATGTATGTATATGTTTATATGTATGTATTTATATGTCTATATATATGTCTGTATATGTATATTTACATGTATATATTGTTAGCTTTTTGCAGATACATATACTTATTAAATAACATGTTTGACTTATTATTATTATTTTGCTCTCTTTTATTGTAGTTACGATATTATTTAATTCCTTCATTAAATTAACCCACACCTTTTATTTCTTAATTTATTCCAATCCATCCAAAGGTTGCCTGGAAGAAATTACGGTAAATGTAAATAACTTTAACTCCGGCGTAATTCAAATCAAATAAATTTTAAACGATAGAGAAAAATCACTTATGAATTTATCAACAAGCAGAATTCGGCGGTCGCTTATAGTTTTCGAAAAAATAAATAATGAAATAGTGTGATTTTTACTACAGAAATCCGCCATTTTTTTTGTTGTCAATATGTCAATTCAGCTCGTATTTCTTGGTGGTCATAAAAAAAAACCTAACATCGAAGGTTAAGAGCTCCGCTCCCGCCTGAACCTTCTAACCTAATCTATCCGAGTCGGATTCGCTCTGTGTCGGTTCTGTGACTCAGAAAAATCGGAATATCGATACGTGTATGATGTCGCCCGCTTCCTATATTTATCTTGTTGGCAGAACTGTGTATTCAGTTTTTGAAGTCAAACAAATAAAATGGTGGATTTCTTAGTACAAAAAACAAGTTTTAAATAAATTTTAAAGTTTTTATAGTGCTAATCTCTGCACTTAAGATTGAACATTAAAACATGTAGAAAAAGTGCAATCTTAAGTGCAGAGATTAGCACTATAAAAACTTTAAAATTTATAAAAGCAATGGCGACATCTCTCGTTCGAATTATCGTTGTAAAACGATATTCGAAATTGTTTGTATGCTGGAAAGGATATAACAATAGATGCGCCAAGCAAATAGGCCGCCCACCTATAATTTAAACTTTAAGGTTTTGTTTTTATATTTTCATTTTGGTGTGCAATAAAGAATATTTATTATTATTATTATTAGATATGGATATTTTTTTTGCATCCCAAACATTGACACTGACAACTGACAGTGACTTTGATTTCTGAATAACGGATAACCTAAAAATATGAAATTGAAAACGCGTTGGTAATTGAAAGACAACATGGGTGGAAAAAAGAATAAAAATAAGAGCAATAATGTAAAACAATTGAACGAAGTTTCAAGAGCTATTAATGAAGATGCACAAGTCGATGACGCTGAAAATAACACAAACAATACTGTAGAGAATTCGATAAAAAGAAAACATGACAACTTAGAAAATAATGATTTTAATTCAGAAAGTGAACCTCAACAGAAAAAATCTAAGAAGAAAAATCAATTTTTGCCTTCAGAACCTTCCGAAAAAAAAAACAAGAAGTCAATTCGGCAAATGAAAAAAGAAAAACATGCGGAAAGACAAGCTGCAGCTGAATTAATAGCTAAAGAACAGTTGAAATCTCAATGTTTGAATTACTTATCTCAGTGGAAACATGACAGATCAAATTGGAAATTCATGAAAGCAAAGCAAGTTTGGCTATTTAAAAATAAGTTTTCATCAAATCTTGTCCCAGACACTATATGGCCAATATTATTAGAGTATTTTGAATCTGCTAAAGGTAATATAAGAAACATGTTGCTAGCTGATGCTAATAAAATTATAAAACAAATGGATGATTGGACAGAAGCACAAAATACTGAAGAGACCAACACTGACACAGAGGAGTCCACAATAAATAAACCAGAGGATGCTGTTTATAACAGAGCTAGAACTTTAATACAGTGTTTGGAAGAATGAAATGCTTTGTTTTATTTTTCTTTAATTCTTTAACTACATCATTCAACAATATGATAACAAATATTCTAAACAATTTATGCCTTTACTTCAGCTTTAGATTCTTCATTCGTAAACTGTTCAACCCATTTTCGTAGCTTGTCAGTATCTTGCAAACCCACAAGACGTTGCTGAACTTTCCCATTCTTAATAGCTACCAACACAGGAACAGAGCTCACTTCATAATCTAGAGCTAAGTCTGTTTGTTCATCAATGTCAACTTTAGCCAAGACCACCTTGCCTTTGTTTTCAGAAATTATAGATTCTAGACGTGGTGTTAAGAGCCTGCAAGGATTGCACCACCTGCAACATTTAAAAAAAATACATGCACCTTAAACAATAAATTTTATACATAACTAAACCTGCTTGCAGACCTTTAATATGTAAACAAATTTTTTTTATTATAATAATAGCTCAGCAAGATGTGTCACTTTAAGGTTGTAACAAGGTAGTAAAATAAGTTTTATTTTAGTGAAACAAAATAAAAATACTTGAAAACACTTGTTATTTTATATAATATTATTTTTATAAAGCTTAAGTTTAAATTGTATTGTAAATATCAAACATAAAGATGAAGTTCCAGATGAAGTCACGGGAAGAATAATAAATTATATTACCATTGTGATAATTTTAGAAAAATAATCAACTCTATTGAATTTCTACTGTTGTATTGTTTCGACTATTGCAGTGTCATAAAATATTGTTATATGTTCAATGATTAAAATGATGATTTTTGCAATTTATGATCTTCAAATATTCTTTTGAAAAGTCATGACACATGCAAATTTCTCTCTGTTTTGCAAATTCATCAGCATTAATCAAAATACTTACGTAGCAAAGAAATCAACAACAACTGGAACTTTGCTATTTATCACCTTATCCTTGAAATCATCTGTGCTTTGTATTTTGACTATGTCGTACTTGACCGTGGTAAACGAAATATTACGCAAAACTACCTTAGATTGACAAAGCAATGAATTGCGAGTAAGGAAGTTGTTAATATTTCTTGCAAACATTTTAGAAATCTTTTATTCTTTGTTTCTTTTTCTATAAATATAGACTTACTCCTTGCCTTCTATAATATTGGGCAACGTCTGTCAATTGTCTAACTCATAGATAAGACATATATACATAGATCTAACTCTTCTTTTCTGTCTTAACTAAAGTCAATGTCAAAAATGACATTTTGTCAGATATTTTTTACATGATTTTTTTTTTTCTAGTGTAGATAATTTTTTTTAGCGCGGCGGCGGGTGGCTTTGATTGCAGCGGATCTTTTTTTGTAGTGTAGTTTAGTTTTAGTCAACGGACTCAGGAGAACAACTGTTACATGACGACGACAGGATGGCGCCGTTGTCCACCTCGCGAATTTAGTCCAGTCATATTAGTTAGAGGTTTCACCCCGGAAAGAGCTGTAAACTTGTATACTTTCATTTTGGTGTTCTAAAAGTTGTCTCAAGTGTCATAAAGTCTCGTGTCTGTGCCGTTAAGTTATTCAAAGTCACACAAATCAGTTTTTCGCGATTATCTCAGTTTCTATAGCTCCAATGCTGTTAAAATTTTGTTTCAATATTTTTTATACGCTCAAATGTTTTTAGAATTTTGATTTTTAGCAATGGGCGTTCGCAGTGTGTTCGCAATGATAATAACTTTTTTGAATGGTGATATCACTGATCGTGTCCCTCAGGGAAGCGTTATTTCTCCACCTCTCTTTTCCATTTTTATTAATACTCTAGTTACCATCTCACTTCTCACTTTCATCTTTACGCTGATGATTTACAGCTATATCAGTTCTTCAAAATCGAGGATGCAGAACAAGCCATTACAATGTTAAATGCTAATTTTAATAGGATTAGTAATTGGGCAGTCTTTCGGTCTTATTGTTAATCCCGCGAAATCGCAAGTCTTAATTATCGGCAGTTCATATTACCCGAAATTAATAGAGTATTCTAAGTTTCTTGCTGTGGTTTATGACAATGGTCAAATTCCCATTCAGACTCTGCTAAAAACTTGGGAGTTGTCTTTGATACTCACTTGTCATGGGTGTCTCATATCAATACTATAAGTAATATGGTAAACGTTCTCAAACGTTTTCAGTTGTTTTTGCCCTCTAAAACAAAGATTACTTTAGCTCATACACTTATTTTAATATCTTAATAGCTGACCCGGCGAACTTCGTATCGCCTAACACATAATGAATGTCGTGTTTCCTTTTATGAACGTAATACAATAAATAGAAAAGAAATACTAAATTAATTACTATATATCATACAGAAAGAGAAGAAAAATTCAATAAAAATACAAAAATCACGTAATAAAACCGGTGTTTGCTGACATCATTGAATTAAAATATATATTGTTCAACATAGGATGTACTTCTCTTCATTCAAGCACCTTGTGGCTTTTTGTGAACAAATAAAGCGGATGGTACACGCGAACATGCCACGTTCAATTTTTTTTTATCTCCAAACGCGTTCCATTGCATCGTTTTGGTTGGTACAGTTTTTGAAGTATGATATCTACCAACCTTCAGTTGTAAATTGGGCGGTGGTAATCCAGGCACATCAAAGGAATTTAAGATTTCAATTGGATAATTAGTGGCTTAGTCTTCGTTTGTTACACAGTAAATAGATTTGAATGAATACAGAGTACCGTGTACCGTAAAACGGGGTTAAAAGAAACAATATGGACTTTCGAATGCAAATTAACTATATAAAAACAATGTTTATGGTATTAAATCTGCTTTGATCTTGGGAGTCTTACTATAAATTATAACCTTTTTTGTTTAAAAATGGTAAATTATTTGAACCTTGTGAAAAAAACTCCAAAAACAGGCCAATTTCCATTTGCGCGGAATATGGGGTTAATAGATACGGCATATGGGGTTAATAGAAAAAAATTACAGGGTTGTCAAAATATTATACTCTAATACTATGACGGCATTTTATTTAATATATAGTATTATATATATATATATATATATATATATATAGTAGAGAATAATAATATAGTTGAGGAGAAACCTAATTGAGAAACTCAATTACATATATATAAAATTGAATGAGAAATGATTGAGAAATATGGTTGTAAGAAAAACTTTATTGAAACGCTAAAAGAACATCAAACAAAAACATCAACAAACAAACTGAGCATAATGTTATCATTTATACAGTAAATCAATAAATTATTACGAAACAAACACACACATATATAAATCAAATCACAACAGTTTTTTTTGAATTCTCCCAAAATATTGCTTTATGCGTTGTTTTCTAGGGCGTCCATCAGCATTACAAGCAAGAGCGGAAAACTTCCTTTCGGAATACTTGCTTGTTGTCGACCATCTGTTTTTTTTCCACTAGCACAATATATTTCGCCAAGCAGTTTTCATCGGTTTAAAAAATGCTACATCCAATGGCTGAGTAATGTGCGTTGTGTTAGCTGGCAGAAATATGAAATGTATTTTTTCTTTATGACACAATTTTGCAGTCCAAGTATCATATATATGCTGCGCCTTGTATACAACATAAGGATACAATATTTCTCCCTCTGCTGTGCACGCGATCATGATAGAATAGGCAGACTTGGAGTGGTTCATCACTCGTTCCGCATATTTTACGCCTTTTTTTGTGATTACTTTTTTACGGTCAGGGTCAGTCATCAGAAGGGTTGGTTTCGTCGTAATTAATGATGTTGCACATCGATACACCATTCAGTGATATTTCCAATTCTTCAAAATATTTTTTTATAATTTCTGGTGAAACAGCAGATCTATTTCACGTGGCATATTTCAGTCAGTTTACCTGCATATGAAATAAAAAAAAATAAATATAGTTACATACTTGAAACATTTTATATATTTCTACACTTATGAAATTTAGTTTTCCGGCTATTTTTGGGACGTAGTGCAGAATGAAATATTGAAAAAAATCTTAATAATTTAATTATATATTAAGGTAACTTTTTTTAGATTTTTCTAATTAACATAAGAACCCGACTGTGTTCTATACACTTGCCGACATGAAATCAAAGTAATTGACAACCCTAACCAAACTAGTTCTAAAAACCCCCTTGGCGTTTCTATTTAGACCTTCCTCGTTTCCATTCTCCCCTTTCCCGTTTCCATTAACCCCATAGGCCGTTTCTATTTACCCCTCAGTCGTCTCTATCCACCTCTAAATTGAAGAATATTTAAGTGTGTTGAGTTTAATATACAAAATATATTAATAATCATACTAATCAGAACAACTTACCTTTAGAGATTGTACACGGTGAAATTCACCATTAGACAAATTAATTTTTTGTTCGAAAGCACTTATTATCTTTTTTTATAAAAGAAGTTAGAAAGAGCGTAAAATCACACAAAAAAACCGTTGTCGTTTGAAGTCAATTTTTCAAATATGTTGCTAACTTCAACCTCTTTTTTTATAAAAGAAGTTAGAAAGAGCGTAAAATCACACAAAAAAACCGTTGTCGTTTGAAGTCAATTTTTCAAATATGTTGCTAACTTCAACCTCTCCAAGTGTTGTCAGACAAAAGAAAATATGTTGCCATTTAAAAACAAATACAAATAATTGAGATTTCTGTAGTACTTTTTGAATCACGAGGTTTTAGAAATTTTCCTAAAAATATTTCTATTCACCCCGTAAATTCTATTCACCCCGTTTTACGGTATGTTTTTAGTGGACCATTCTACGTTACAATGAGCCTTGAATGTTTTGGAAATAAGTAGCAAATATAGAATCATCCAACTGTTTTCAACCACGAAATCGTTTTCTTTCACTTTCGTTGTGTTCCAGCGTTATCATCGGTTGATCGATGCCGATACAATGGATACCCATCGTTGCCAATGATGGTCTGCGTCGTCAATTTTCGTGGGTATCGTTTGGAACACTTGCCGTCAAACATTCACAGTGATTGTCGATTGATGGTTACACACGTTTCATGAATAACACTATTTATAATTTCAACATCATATAAGTCTGGATCGGTTTTGGATCAGGAACCTCCGCACATTTGATATGTATTTGATCTGGCCGAATTCTTTCGGCTAACCAAATGTGTCCATGCTTCAAGCCTCATTTTTGCCATTCGTTTAAATATATCCATCATCGACTTATGCCGAGTACGTGTTTTTTCACAATATAATTCATCGGTGACCACATTTTTTTGCTAAAAACACGTGCGAAGATGTCGCGTAAATCGCAAATGATGATTTTTCCGGAAAGCAACATTTGAACAACATCTATACATTTTGGATTACACGTTAATCTACTAAAGGTAACAAAGAAAATTATTTTTATAACAGATATTTGCTTTCCATTTTTGAAAATGGCCCCTCAGCTTTATCCTGGAAGTTTTCTCAAATTGGAAATGTATAATGTGGAACACAATACCCATTATAGAAGTACTATTGGGTTCTAGGAAAAAAAATTTATTGTTTATATTACATTGACTGGAAATTTTCATTTATATAGATGTGTGCATTTTTTCTATTATGACAACAAGTTTATATCTGCTCCTGTAATTAGGGTTTGAATATAATGGGAAAAAATAACTATAGTGCAAAATTAACTAAATAATTTTATTTCATGTTTAGAACTACTGTTCTTGAACAGTAATTCTATTGTTTCCATTATAAACAACTTTTCCTTCTAGTATTCTATTTACAGATCTGCACCAACTATAAATAGTTATATTAATGGATATATCAATATAACATTTCTTTAAATTTTCTTTATGAGTTTCACAATCCATGAAGACAAAATAAGTAAAAATGAGTGATGAAAGCTTTCTTTTATATATTTTTTATGACAATCATCATTTAAAAATACAATTGTTATTTATTGTATTTCTTGAAAACAAGCCACTAAGCATTCAGATGAATAGCAGAGCCATTTTTTATTTTGACTATATTTTTTGGCCTTAATATATTTATACAATCCATTGCCAGTATTGCTTAGTAACTTGTCCTTACATTTTTTGCATCCTTTGACTACTTTTTGTAAACATTTCATCAAGGCCCACCCATAAGACATAAGTTCTCTGATCAGCCCCAGAATCTAAAACATTTCTTGTTCTTTGCATAATAGTCAGAGGCTGATCAATACCAATATTTTGGGATTTTAAGGGAGCAATATTAAATTCTTTATTCTTAATAAAAAAGAGAATAGCTGCAAACAATTGTTTAAATCTCCTTCACAATTTGAATTAATAGTGATTGCTACTGAAATTATTTAATAAAATGTGTTTTAAATGCTCCCTCAAATCCCAAACAGTTAGGTGCAATATTCTGAGCACCCAAACTGTGAATACTTCCAAAGAAGTTTTCTAGTGGGTCTTGATCAAAATTGCGTGTTAGTATGGCGTCAAAGGAATATTTTTTAAACAATAATTTCCACAATGTTGTTTGATGTTGTTTGACGATTGTTCTCATTAAATTATTTACAGTTGGTACAGATTTTTCAATTTTCTGTATATAATTTTATATTGTAATATATGTATATAATTTTAATATTTTTTTTGATGGTAAGGTGAAATGCTTACACATTAATTTGTAACTCTTAGGGCTTTTCTTGTACAAAGAGAGAGTCAATATTTTTTCGTCAAGAGTGAATCTACACCTTTTTTTTCTTCAGTCTTTCCATGAATTGCATCCTGTTAAATAGCTTTGCTGACACCGACATGTTCTGAGATAATTTTTTAGTTGTGGAGTGTGGACTTTTACCGACAAAGCTGTCAGAACTGCTGGATTAACAGCAAATAAATAAATTTTCTTATATTTTTATTATCTTTGTCTTTGTGTATGTCTATTCCATTAATTTACTGTATCTATTCCACTAGATATGTATTATGGTCTAGTCCGTAGGTAGGGATGTGCAAATAGAAACAATATATCGAAATAAATCGTATCGATTACTTAGACAATATCGATGTATGCAGAGTAAAAAGTATCGAAATATAAGTTCGATATTTTTACTGCCAGGAGCTCGATTATCGATCAAAAATCTTAAAGTATTTGGTAGTTTTATTTATTACTAAAATACCAATTTAATTATTATAAGCTGAATAAAATATAAAGTTTTTGGTTAATTTAAAAATTCAAACAATGGTTTCTTAGTCAAACTAATACTCATCAGGTATAAACATCAGAAGCACTCTTTTCTAGAATATGTTCTCCCATTAACCTGTTTCTGTTATCTGTAACAAATAAGGTAACAGCCGTAGCAAGTTTTCAGTCAGACGATACCGAGGAAGCTTGGCACATTAAATACTTTGAGATAATTGCAGAGAGAACCGGCGTTAATATCGATAATTTGAGCTTAAAAATAACTACATATCTATCGATTTTTTTAACAATTATATTTTGATATATCAATATTTTTTGATTGTGCCCTTCCCTACGCTTTGCTGGCGAAGTGATTGCTGCTGTTGGGTTTGGGTTATATGTTAATTTTCATGCAATATTTAAATGTAAAACTAGAGACATCTGTGAAATACGAATTCTTTTACACAATATAAATAAATAAATCCAAAAAAATGTATTCAAGCGACGATTATAATGAGGTCAGTTATTATAATTATTTGTATATTTAGATAACCGTTTTAATATGGGTTAGTTTAATGTCAAAAAATCCAGAAATCGTGGTTTAAATTGGTTATTTTTGTAGGGAGGATATGAGTCTTACGGTGATTACGAACCTCACACAGGTGATCCTCAATATGACTTGGAATATGATCGATCGTACTATAAAATGCCGGAAATGGTAAGTTTTCATATTAAATACTGTTCTTTCTAAGAAATTGCATATTATACCACTTTAAATAATATGGTTAACTCACACTTTCTATTTACACACAACTTTCAGTGTGTTATATTCTATACTTGCTTTTTTTACAAATTTTGTTTCTTTTTTACTTAATTAGTTTGTTTGAAAAATATTTTTTTTAATTATGGATTTTTTTTTTTTAACGTTGATGTTTTCTTATGATTATTGGCAAGTAGCGTTAGACGTGTGTTCATTTATTGTCGCGATTGTAAAGACATGCTGTATATGTATATATATAAATTAAAAAAACTCCAATGATTAACCTCTTTGTCAGAACATCAAAACACTGTGTTATAACATTATTATAATATAATGCAGGTGAAGAAGTTCCTTGTGTATTTCCGTAACATGATTACTGAGGGAGTTACATTTGAGATACTGAACCTATATGAGAACACATTCCCAAAACTCACTGAACAGTACTTTGAGAACACCCCATGGCCTGATGAAAGTGAAGTTGCTCCAATTGTGGATAATGATCATGTAAGTGAATTTAAAAAAATGATAAGATTTTAAATTTTAAACTTCTGAGTTTTAATTTTTGATTTGCTATGTATAGCTAACAACAGCTTAAAATAAATTATAGTAAATTATTAGAGCTGTGCTGGATATGGGTTCAACCTAATAAGAATTTAAGGCTAAACATTCAAACAAATTGCATCAAATCAAATTCTCCTGAATAATTCCTTTCAAGAAATTTTAATACAATAGCAAGGTACTATGTATTAGGGAAAATCTTGTGCATGTAAATGCAATTAGATAGACTAAATAGTTTATAAGTTTAAATTTGGTACTTTGTTTGTTTGTACATAGGTAGCCTTTAACTCCGATCCCCTTATTAGCAATAGTGCTTTGTTTGGAAGTTGAACTTGACAATGTTACATTAAAAATTTAACAAAAAATTAAAAATGTTCGGTATTCTAAACACAATAATTAACATTCAACAATACCCAAAATTCGTGTGAAATATTATCTAATATGTATTACCATTTGTTATTATGCATTAGCTATAATTAGAGGTATAAGATCTATTGAAACCATTGCTGGACATGCTGCTCTTTAGAATGATTTATTGCATAATATCTGATGTAAACACTTTAAGGAAAGGAGTTATTCATTTTTTTCTTTTAGGTTTTCATGATCTTATACAAGGAGTTATACTACAGGGATATTTATTCAAGAGTGCCAGGTGGGCCCAAACCAGAGCAAAGATTCCATTCGTTTTATAATTACTGTGACCTTTTCAACTACATCCTATCTGCGGAAACTCCAGTACCCCTGGAGCTGCCTGACCAATGGTTGTGGGAGCTTATTGATGAGTTCGTTTATCAATTTCAATCATTTGCCCAATACAGGTAAGGCAATATAATTATGTTAAAAAAAACAATTATCAATTTAATGCCAAACATTATTAGGCTAAATGAAAATTAAATAAAAATATTTTATTTATGCAACCAATTTAAAGAAAGCACTTAAAATAACAATACAAGTACAATATTTTTGAAATCTGACTAGGTTACCTTGTGTTATGTTACAGAAGTCAGTACCCTTCATATTTTACATGTATATCCTTGATTACTTATATCTCCTCTTTCTCAAATACAAATCATGTTTTTTAATGCTTATATTATGCACATGCATTGACTAGAGAAAAAGAAATTGTGCAAGATAGATCTTTCTAGTAGGTATTTTTATAAATTACTAGTGGTCGCCTAGAGGTTGAAATTCAACCGTAATTAATTAGTACCGGGAGGACCGAGCTTTGCTCGGTTTGTATTTTTTTTTTGGTAAATCGTGTATTTTGAAAATTACATTTCGATACAAATTACTGAGTAATGAAATATGCATAATATTTTACGATCTTACCGACGTAATAATAACAAAATATGAACTGGTGTTTTTCACAAAAGAAAGAACTTTAAAAAAAAAGGGGAAAAAATAACAAAATCATCTGGATCTACAAAAAATAAAAAATAAAGAAAGCAATATAATCTGGAATCTAAAAAAAAGTAAAAAAAAGTAGGTGTGTTAAAATCGTGATACGAACCACGGCCTCCTGTTTCGTGGCTGTTTGTTAGCGGTCGCCCGATTACCGACCGAGCTATTATAAATTTTATTTTTCGGTGAAATTTCGCGTCGTATTCGAATGATTTTATTTTTCATTCCCGGAAAACCTAGTCAGATCGATTTTTCGCCCCCGAATCTACGCACATACAAAATTTCATGAAAATCGCTGGAGCCATTACCGAGATTCCAATTATATATATACAGCGTGTCGTTACCATCGCGACTGGTACAAAGTTTTTGCTTCATATATTAATATACAGATGAATATATCACATGTTAACAGTTATTAATACAGAAACAACCTTGGATCCCATGACTTACATTGGCAGAATTCCTTTAAGAGAGGCCTTTATTTACCACCTACCACCTATTTCTTCCTTTAACCACCTATGTACGGTCCTGGGACACCACTCATGGACAACCACCTTAAATTTACGGTAATATGTAAGGTTCTACGGTAAGGATTCAAATGAGAACATATACTTGTTTATGCTTAGATATTTATTTTAGAGCTTTTAAAATAATGTAACCAGTTATAATATCTCGTTTCTATCTAATTTCTTGAGTTCCATTCAAAACTGGTAATTTTATAACAAAAAGACACTTCTAAGATAATGGAATCTGATAGTTATTATATTATATAAACTGTCTATTTTTTTTTATTTTTTAGGTCTCGAACGTCAAAATTAAGCCAAGCTGAAATTGATACACTCAATGCTGAGAATAAGGCTTGGAATGTCCTTTGTATTCTTAATGTTTTACACTCTCTGGTAGACAAGTCTAACATCAAGAAACAACTTGAGGTAAGTCCACGTTTGGTTTTTTACTGACATCAATAAAAAAGTATATGGTATACAGCATGTCTTTACAATCGCGACAATAAATGAACACACATATATAACTTTTTAAAATTGTATTAAACATTTACATTCTTTAAACATCAATATTTACAGAGTTATTAGATTTTCCAGAACAAAGAATTTTATAACATCCTTACATATAAAACTGTAACTTAAAGTTCATTTGTAAAGGTCACAAAGCATATGAATGGGTTGAATGAATTTAAAAGAGACAAAACATACTGTTAGATGGAGAGGCTTGTAATGCGACGCTTTAGCAAGAAATGAAAAAGTCTCTGAATGTATGAATCAGTCAGTTGTAGTTGTATAGGATGTCACAAATTTTGTACTTAATTAGTTTTTTTTTTTGAAAAATATTTTTTTTTTAATTATGAATTTTTTAACGTTAATATTTTTTTTATGATTATTGGCAAGTAGCGTTAGACGTGTGTTCATTTATTGTCGCAGTTGTAACGACACGCTGTATAATTCCTATATCTATATGATATGAATTTATGACATGTTATACAGGGATAATTTTTGAGAAGTGCCCAAATTTACACAGGAGGTTCAGACTCGGTATTATAATCGTTTATTGAAATAAAAAACAAAGTTTTCTAATCTTTAATTTTTCAATGCCATTCTATTCCCTAAAAAACAGAATGTGTTGACAAAAAAAGTTTGTTTTTATTTCAATAAACGATTATACTACCAAGTCTGAACCTCCTGTGTGAATTTGGGCACCTTTAGAAAAGTCATCCTGTATCTTTGAAACTGTTCAACATACTAACGATATGGTTACCCCGATACAGGTTTATGCTGCTGGTGGTGACCCCGATTCAGTAGCTGGAGAATTTGGACGCCACTCCTTATACAAGATGTTGGGTTATTTCTCCTTAGTAGGTCTCCTCAGACTGCACTCCTTGCTTGGAGATTACTACCAAGCTATTAAGGTTATTGAACTTTATATATATACTTAAAACTAGAAGGCTTGTCTTGGTTTCATTTGGATAAACAGTTTAAAGAATGTTTTGTTACATTTCCATATTAAATACTAAAAAATACATTAAACAATCACAACTTATGTAATGATAATATCAAAGAAATTCCGATTAGAAAGTGACAATTTTGGCAAATAATTATGGCGCTAAAACTGAAATGAACCTCTGTAGTTTGTCAACTCACATAGTACACTGTTCTTTGGTATCAGAGGAAAAGCATGTGCTGTGTGAAGTTAGGTTTATAGTTTAAGAAGTATTAAAAAATTTTGATCTATTCTCTTTTACAAGCGCTTTTTTTAATATAAGTAGTTTTTTGGTTTTCTGAAAAAATTTTTTGCAATCAATAAAAAAAATTTTGCAAATTCACGAAGACAACACAAGTGCATTTATGCCTTTTGCGGTTTATAATTTATTTTTTACATAGTGGCGGTAAAGCTGTTAAAAAATACTGGAAAAATATTTCCTTAACCTGCTCTCGAAAATATCTTCCTATTAAATAGGCTCCCAATAATAAATTATTACAATTAACATGAGAGTTAACAATAGGAATAACATTTTTTAGGTACTGGAAAACATTGAATTGCACAAAAAGTCTCAATACTCGCATGTGCCTGCATGCCAGATTTCGACATCCTACTACGTAGGCTTCGCTTACATGATGATGCGTCGTTACGCTGATGCTATTCGTACGCTGTCTTCGGCACTCCTTTACATGCAGCGTACCAAGCAACTCTTTTCTTCCCGCTCCTACCAGAATGATCAAATCAACAAGCAGACAGAGCAAATGTACCATCTTTTAGCAATATGCTTGGTACTTCATCCTCAATGTGTTGATGAATCTATACAGCAGGTTTGTTTTGTCGTTCTTATTATATCATATGTTCTAATAAATTATAAAAAACGTTGACATGAAATAAGAATGGAAAATTTTTAATAAAAAAATGTTATTTAACTTACTTTAAAATAATAATTTCTTGATATAATTTTGTTAAAACCATTTAATGCGTTTACCGCGTAACCAGTTAATGGGTTTTAATGTACTTATTAATTTGTATTTTACACAACAACATGTTACAAATGAAATAAAGTTAAATATTATAATACAATACTGACAAAAATAATTAATCATCTATAAGTTATCTATCATTGGTCTTATGAATTTTTATACTGAGATTGTGAAATAATATTTTTCAGGTATTGCGCGAGAAAAACTATCACGAGAAGATGTTCAAGATGCAGTACGGAGATCTGGGCGAATTTGAGAGCTGCTTTACATTCGCTTGTCCCAAATTTCTGTCACCGTGCCCGCCGCCCATTGAGCCTGGCTCCAACTACGGCCGAGACGCAGTCAAACACCAAACCCAGGTGTTTATGGATGAGGTTGGTATTGCTGAAGCTTGAAAAGGCTTTAATCTATTTTGTTATCGCTTCACTCATGACTCAAGGCAGTGGTAATCTTTAAATATGAAGTTTTTCTCAATGTATACCATACAGTTTTTTTACCTATTTATTCAATTTTGTACATTCTATTAAAATAGATAATAATTATATAGAAAATGCCAAAAAATGTGTACTTGAGACCTAAGGCAAATGCCAGCTGGAGCTGGGCTGCATAAGCTGAATATGTCAAAATAAGTTTAATCACTGGGGTTTACTTCTTTTTAACAAATACTAATGATAATAATGTAATGTGCATATAGATAACGCACATAGAGTTCCCTAAATTTCATACAATATGAGCAAAGCAATCATTCTGGAGTACACCAATTGTGTTACTTAATTCAACACAGAGCATAAGCTCCTAGCTACACTATTACACAACAAAAACATATTTTTCGTTATTAGTTCAAATATTGAGTTGTATGTTATGTCATAATTAGATAATTAGAAACAACTAACAAAATATAAACATAGTTCATAGGTTTTAATCCCCACACCTACACATAAATCATACAATCTCTAGGGCAGTGGCGATTATCTTCTTGTTGAATGAATTTAATGACACGGAAAGGTTAAAAGTAAATAGTATTATTATAGAAAAATATTATATGTGGGCCACTATGTAACTTCACTGCTCATACAGAGCAGTGAAGTTGTAGAGTGAGAGGTTCAAGACCTAATTTTGCAGGTGCGCCAACAAAAAATGCTGCCGACAATCCGGTCCTACCTGAAGTTGTACACCACACTGCCCCTGGCGAAACTAGCCGCCTTCATGTCAGCAGCGCGCGGAGGAGAACGCGACGCGGCCCGAGAGCACGCCGCCCTTGCCATCCACCTGCTGTGCTTCAAGCACAAGATGAAGAACGTCGTCTGGACCAAGGGCCCCAGTGGGCTGGACGGAAAGTTCCAAAGTGGCTCTGAGGTAACTTTTGCTCAAGATGACTCAGTGGCGCAGTTGCCAAGGTATTCGCTTCGGCGCCGGGGTCGTGGGTTCGATTCCCACACGAGTTTCGGATCCGCATGTGGTAAACGGCCTTACGGCACAGGATAATGTACCTACAATAAATTGTAATAGTTTTGGAGTAAAGACTATACAATAGACCAATAGTCGCAGTAGTTGTTGAGACTTACTGCCAACCCTCTCCATACAAAATGGAATGTAAGAAATTTAGACAGGTCCAATACAACTAAATTTTATATGGGTGTTTTATTTTGTTTGTGAATATTTATATTTAATTCATTATACACAAAAGTAAAGGATATTAATATTCTTAAAAATGATAGGTAGTCACTGTAGCCTGAATGAGACATTTTTATTTCAGTTGGACTTCTATATCGACAATGACATGATCCACATTGCCGACACCAAGGTGGCACATCGTTATGGCGACTTTTTTATCCGCAAGCTTCTTAAGTTTGAAGAGCTCAACCGTAAATTACATCATATTAAAATATGAGCTGTATTAAGGTTTTATTTTGAAATAAATAAAATGATTTACTAACATCAGTTTATATTTGTATATTATTTTAAGGAGAGTAAGGAACATATTTACGATTCCTTTTATAAAATTTTTTTGGTATTTTTACTTCTATGTTTTGTCTTTGCACTGTTTCTGGATGAGTTTCCATAAACTGTTTCCATGGATGTTCTGCTAAAATTTCGGTTACAGAAGTTTCCTTCAACCATATTCTATATTTTTGCAAGAAATTCTTGCAAGCTGATTTAAAACTCTTGGTTTCATTCTGAAAAATAAAATAAACAGTAATATTAACTTATGTTGTTTAATTTTAAGGGTTGGAGGCATTGCTAGTATTGAATAAATCAAAGTTACTATACCTGGTTAACTTTTGCGCATTTGCTCCGAAACATTTCTAAGTGTTTTAGAAAAACCTCATTTGGCTTTAAATTCTCTTCTTTTACTACCTCCATTATATAGAACACATATTCAAATATATTATGAGCTGTACCATGACGTAACAATGTTCCTAAAATCTCGATATTCACTCTAAAATAATAAAATACGACCATTACCATTAATGATCATGCAAATGGCAACCGACCTTTTAAACCTTAATTTTTAAATAGGAAACTTGATTGTTTTGTTAGATATCTCTTAGATAAATAAATAATTTTATGAAAGGATTATGTAAAAAGTAACTCATAATAAAAAGTAAATGCAACTTAAAACCTTCAGCAGGAAAATGCTTATTTTCCATATAAGAGGTAGTAAGTACCTTTTAACAAAGGGTACAGTAACTGTTAAACAGTCTTAGACCTTCAAGACAACTAATTGTTATTGTTTCAATCTTTATTACCATCATTTATTCCTTATACAAAATATTGATATAAAAGCATACATTTAAAAGAGAACATACATGTGGCATGTTCGTCTAAAACTCCTGAACCGTTAGCCCAATTGATATGAAACTAAGCACATATACAGGTGTCGTTAACATCGCGACAATAAATGAACACACATATAGAGGATAACTTTTAAAAATTGTATTAAACATTTACATTCTTTAAAAATCAATATTTACCGAATTATAAAATTTTCCAAAACAAACAATTTTAGAACATCCTTACGTATAAAACGATAACGTAAAGTTCATTTGTAAAAGTCACAAAGCATATGAATGGGTTGAATGAATTTGAAAGAGATAAAACATACTGTTAGGAGAGATTTGTAGTGCCACCCTGTGGCAACAAATGAGAGAGTGTCTGAATGTATGAATCAGGAATCAGTCAGTTGTAGTTATATAGGATGTTACAAATTTTGTTTCTTTTTTAACTAAATAGTTTGTTTGAAAAATAATTTTTTTTTATCTTTTAATTTTTTTTAATGATTATTGGCAAGTAGCGTTAGACGTGTGTCAATTTATTGTCGCGGTTGTAACAACACGCTGTATATATGATGAAATGACCACTACGACGAATATAGTTACGTTAGTGTGGGTAAGGTGATCCTCTCGGGACATAGTTGTTTCGGGAGGTACCTATTTTGCGTGGTGAGAGCCCACAGTGGAATGCCACCACTGTGACGTATGTGCCGAGGGAACGGCCCAACACGCACTGGAGGAGTGCTCAGCCTGGACGGAGCAGCGTCGAGAGCCGTACGCTATCGTGGGGCACGACCTCTCGCTATCACCCGTGGTTCGCGCTATGGTTGACAGCGAGAGGGCGTGGGGTGCTGTCCTCGCATACTGCCCTACGTTATCACCCGGAAGGAGGCCGCGGAGAGAGAAAGGGAGGCAACTGCCACCCTGGAAATCCGCCGCCGGAGACCAGGGCGCAGGAGGCAGGCCTATGCGCGCGACCTTCCCCCCCTGATAGTGAGACCCTGAGCGGCAGACATGGGGGTGTCTGTCGCTCGTGACGTGTGCTGTGCCAATTGCACCGGCACAGCACTATGTACTAGTGGAGGCCTAAACAGGCCATAGTCGCGCCGGGGTCGCGGAAGATTGCGTTCAGGTGTTCCCGTGTCCCCGGCTGATGCGACAGAGACCGGTGCAACGTGGATTTTTTAGTGGGTACCCGTTTTTAACGGGACTCCACATACCCCTGCCACTTCTCCCATCCAGTGGCAGGGGATCCATAAAGGATTTTTTTCCACGAAAAAAAAAAAGTGTCGGTAAGGTTGTGCTGGTGGCAGTGATTTTTAAATTTTGAACCGTAGGTCGAATGGATATACGAAAGATTTTTTTCTAAGTGAAGCGAAGCGCACCGGGAACCAGCTAGTTAAATATATAAGAAACTAATATGTTTTGTGATATTATGAAGAAAATTAATATACCTAGTATTTAAGGGAAATCTAAAAAAAATAAAATGGAGGGAAAATCTTAAAAAATGAATGATCATTATATTTAAGGATTATTAAGATAATGAAATTATTAATTAATGTATATTAATGTTATATGAGTTATCACTTTTCATTTCTTTGCCATTATTGCGTGGGCTGCTTTGTTACTTTACGTGGTTAACTCTGTAAAGTGCATAGCATAGGGATTCTGCACGCTTATGAATAGAAACATTTTCCTAGACGGGTTTGTTAAGTTGTAGAGTCGGCCGGATACAAACGAGGCCCTGTTGCGAACTTTTTCAATATTTATATTAAAAGACATTCTGGAAACGAGTGTGACCCGAAGGTGTTTGCACTCTTTCCAAGGGAGGGCATCGGTATTGCGATATGCCGTAGTTCCTTTCCTCTGCGGCCGAGACGCAGTAAGTGGCAAAATTATAGACACGGTCCGCCGCTGGGGGCTGGAAGCAGAGTTACTTCATAGCAATGATTCTCCCGGCTTCCATAGCCTCTAAGTAGTAGGCTCGATGGAGTCAGTTGCTCGTACAAGAAGCCGAATAAAGGGCGCTTAATGTTCTTGCATAAACAAAAAAAAAGTTATGTCGCTCATGTAGAGCGAAAAGAGCAAAGGGGAGAAGCAAGGATTTTCATGAACGCCCACCGTAAAGAGACGGCCCGTGGAGGGAGCGCCCTCTACTCGGTAATGAAAAGAGCGATTACACAGGAAGCCAGACCCTGTCGAGCGACATCGAAGAAGAGCCACCTATTTACAGTGGTTTACGACTCCTACCATTGATGTTCCTTTGTTAAAAATCAGTGTTTGCATTTTAATCTATATATAGAACTTGCTCACCTCAGTAAAAAAGAGTACCTTTTTAAATAATTCATAAAAGAGTTTGAATAGACAGATATGCTATGAAAACACCATGTTTGAAGTAAAGAATTTTTAGTAAGAGGATGGAAGGTAGATAAAAGCAGCCAAAAACATGTAAAATAAATATTTAAATTAAACTTACTTAAGCTGTTTTTCCTTCATTTCATTAAGTAGCTTCTCTGCATTCTCTTTTGTTTTGCAAGCCATAGCTAAGACACCATATGTTAAAATATTTGGCTTCAATGCCTTTTTTTTCTTAAATCTTTTTGAATGTTTCATATCATTATCTATTACTTCTTTGACAAGCTGTAGAAGAAAAGTATTTTGAGATGAAATACAATTCATTCTACTTAATAAAACATGTTCATATATTTACACCAATTTTTTGTGGATATCATCAAATTTAATTTAAAACATTTTCATTTGTTTTCCTCATATAGTCTCAAAAATGTAAATAGTTATTAAAAAAAATTTACGGTGGTAGGGCCACGCAGCAGCCTCGGCTGTTGCAAGAATGGGCAGGCCCGTCCGGGTAAGTACCACGACCTCACAGAAGACCGGCGTAAAGTGGAAGTATGACAAATACTTTCGCGTTTCGTCTGGTGAGTGAGGTAGCCGGAGCCCAATTTTCAATAGGTTGTCAACGCATCTGGAACACTCGGGTGCAGCAGATGTCCATGGGTGGCGGTATTCACTTACCATCAGGTGAACCGTCTGCTCGTTTGGCAACTTTTGACATGAAAAAAAATAATAATAATTTTTATAACACACTATGTTTTAACTATAATTTTTTAGCTCATCAACCTTGGGTGATTGTATTATTTACATTACAAAAAAAAGGGAAAGAAACAGCTTCTCAAATAGCATCAACATTAGGGAAGCAGTTATTAGATTATTTTTTATATAATTTTCAAAACCCTAGCTCAATTTTAGATCTTGAGCATAGTATAAAAATGTGTAACATTATCTTTTTAGTACATGCAATTAACTTACAAAAGCATCATCATAATCATTACGTAAACATCTTTTCTTAATAAGCATATTTAGAAAATCTATATCAGGTTTAACATCAAGTGATTTCATTGTTTCCACCATCCCATTTTCAGCTTCTCTATTTTCTTCTATCAATGGTAACATCTGTGTAAATGTTTTTATATCAGGTTTTACATCATATACTGCCATCTCTTTAAGAAAATCTTCCTGGCCTCCTATAATGGCAAATTTACCCTGAAGAGTTTGAACTTCTTGTAGGGCCAGTACTTGATCCATTTGTAAAACTTTAGATAGCAAGTTAGGTTCACACCTTTTTTCATTGGCCGATGTTAATTTGTAATTTCTTGGTAAAACAGTCACAGAGTTAAGATTATTCTGGTTTTCGATAATAGCAATTGCTTCACCTTGGTCAAGCCTGTCTTCACACTTCTGTTCTTCTTCTTTCTCAATTTTTACCTCGTCACTTATTTTATGGGAATTTAAAGTATTTCTATTTTCACAATGTTTCATGTGCATTAAATTCATTTTAGTGTCATCAGATTTTACACCGGAATCAATCTGTAACATCTCTGGTTTATTTGAACACAATAATATATGATTCTGAATAGTTGCAATCATGTCTTGCATATGTTCTTTAGTGCCCAAATTACTCTCTTTGGTACATTTGAGCATCAAATTAAATGTATATATGTTTGGTTTTTCCCTCATAGCTAACATTTTCCTCCAGACTATAAGAGCATATCTCAAACCATTTTCTTTGTCTGTTATACATGCATGAAGGAGATGATTAAATGTGTGCACTCTGATTTTAATTTTCTTTGAAATCATTTCATCTACAATTTTAAAAGCAGTTTGGATATCTCCACATCTACCAAATGCTTTAATCATTACATTATAATTTGTAAGGTTGGGCTCAATTCCCTTTTCAATCATCAATTCTCTTAAGTGTTTCGCATTTTTTAAACCATCTGCTGGCCACGGACTATTAATACAAGCTTCAAATAAACATGTGTAAGTATCACCAGTGGGTTTCAGAGCTCTTCTTTTCATATCATTATACAGTTGAAATGCCTTTTTGGTGAACCCAACATCTGCACATGCACCAATCAAAATATTGTAAATGTAATTTTCTGGCTTAACTCTGTCTTCTTTCAACATTTTTACTTCTAAAACGTTGATTGCTTCTTTAAGACGTTTATGTTTCAAATACTGCTTAATAATATCCGCATACTGTTTAATAGTCAACTTTTGAGACCGCAAGGGGACATTTTCAAGATATTTTCGCTCTTTTATATCACCATCATCTTCTATCACATTGTTAAATGTTCTCTTTAGATTAACTGATAGAGTCCCAAAAGTATCAGGATCCCCTAAATATTTAAAGCTTTGGTCTGTTCCAAATTCTTTCGGTTGCTTTATTTTAATTTCCTCTGTAGTGTTCGAATGCGAAGCGTAATTCTGATACATGGCACTATTCAAATGTTTATGCCTTCGTCGTATGATTCTTAATAATAACATACTACGAAAAGCCATTTTAAGTAAAATATAAACAAAATTGTATTTAACTTTTAATGAATCCTGTTATATTAATATGAACTTTATTAAGTTATTTAAGGCTCAACCTAAAATAAATTGATGAATAGTTAAGATCTTCGGTGTTAAATGTTATTTAAATAAAAATTAACATCTCGTCGAAATTGTATATGCGATTCAATATGAGAAAATGAGAATGAGATAAGAACAGAAATTCAAAACCATGTGAATGTGATCTAAGGATGTATTTATCTTATTCTTATCTATAATCAACGCAGTCACAAAGAGTACTTTTAGTTTTTACTTATAGGTATCTGAACTGCGTGATCAGAATATAAGTCAAACTCAAACGTCAGAAAGTTAGGGATGTCGGAAAAATTACGATATATTTGATTTAATATATCGATATTTTTAGCCGACATATTTTGATCCAATATATATAGATATAAAATATTCAATATCTAAAACTAATTTATATTAGGCATTATGTAGTACTGCAATTTATATGGTAAAAAAACAACATAACCATGAAACTATGGATTCAAAGAACTATGAGAGTAATAATTGACAATAGATTCATTAACGATTATACACTACCCCATCACTTAGTCGGTCGGGAGCGTAGTCGGCACGGTCTTTTCAGTCCATACAATTGATATTTGTATGGAGCTTGCTCATTTCGTTTAGTTCCATCCGTCCAAAACAGATTTCGTTGTTTTAAATGCAAAACCATTTTAACTATGGTACCATTAAATTAAACTTTTATTCATCATCATCATCATCATCATTTCAGCCTGTTTGATTCCACTGCTGAACATAGGCCTCCCTCATAGACTGCCACGAAGTACGATCCTGAGCCACCTGCATCCATCGACTTCCCGCACATTTGCACAGGTCGTCACTCAATCTAGTGAAAGAAAACAACTAAGCAAAATGCTGGAAGTAATTTTAAACAGTGTAACGGAACGTTATTATTCATTGATTTTATTCGTTTATCTTTCAGTATTCATCATTTTATATTGTTATACGTTACGGCAAAACATAAATATTGTATTTGCAGGTAAAGACTGCAACGCAAATCGCATTCTTTTCCTCACCTGAAAAAAATTAATAAAACGTTAATAATTTACGAAACGGCACCAGACTCGAAATCATTCATAACAAAGATTATAAAAAAAAAGCGAGTGAATATTATTAAAAACTAAATAAAGTTCGCAAAACATATTTCTATTTTTTATTTACTTTAGCCAAAAATAACATCTAGCAAGCTTGTATCCAATTACAGTTTTATATACAATGTTATCAAATATAAATAAAATAAATATAGAAAATTGTAGTTGAATACAGCTCTCAACTATAAAAACAAAATGGTTAATATTACATCTGAACTTGTAGTTCGGTCCCGCATCAAGAGATGGCGCTGTCTCACGAGGACACTGATAACTAGGCATGGATATACCTGCGACATTCTGTACCCGGCCTCAAAGGCACGGGTATCGCCGTATACCCGGCGCTAAAACCTAATATCAAATACCTATGGGTATTAGGTATGTTGGAGACTTCATCGAATCGAACGGCTTTTGAACATTTAGATGTTTTTTTTAACAATCAGTTTTTTTTAATTTGAGATTTATTCAGTCTAAAATAAGCTAATATTAAACTATCTTTAATAGCGTAAAGAACCTTATTATAAAAAAAAGTAATTCAAAATAAATATTACTGTTTAACCTTAGAATAGAAATAAAGAATACATTTATCTCAAGGAATTATTTGGTATAAAATGCCTAAATCATACGTTTCAATTCGGGCATGATCGGGAAGAGCCGCCGGAAGCGTTCGGGGAACTTCGTACCTATTCGGCCGGCGGGTTGTCGCGAGCGTTATATACCGCCACCGTCGGACGAGGCAGCCATACCTATGGGGTATGGAACGGGCCTCTGCCGTACATACCCGGTGTGCGTACTGGTATGTTCATACTGGGTATTTATACCTGTGCCAGTATATACGCCTCATCTCATCCCTAGTAGGTACTGTACCGGTAGTTTTGATCGGTGTCAATTTTTTCCACATGTTTTATGTTGAATTGAAACTTGTAAATTTTGGTTAACTTCATTAATTCTATTAAAATCATATATTTATAATGTCTAATCAAAATGAAGAAGATATGGAAGCAAGTTCTTCAGACAGCGAAAATGAAGAAATGGAAGAAGGGAGCAATGATGATACCCAGCCAAAGATTTATCTGCCAAGTCAGCCGCTAAAAGACGATGAACATCTTGTTTGTGACCAATCTGCGTATGTTATGCTACATCAAGCGCAGACTGGAGCACCTTGTCTTAGTTTTGATATGGTTATAGATAACTTGGGCAATGATAGAAATGAATTTCCCATGTCTTCTTATTTAGTCGCTGGTACTCAGGCATCTAGTGCGCATCTTAATCAGTAAGTTTATTATACATTAACACATTTTCATATTAGTCAATATGAAATCCAAAGATAACCTTCTAAATAGTACAGTTTCCGGGAGTTGGTAGAAATTATCACATATGAGAAAATAGGGTACAAATTTCCATTAGCGCCAGGTGTTTTCCGACTTAAAAAAATATTTGTTAACGAAAAATCACAACATTTAAATTTTTTTTAAACTATAAGCGACCAGAGAATTCTGCTTGTTGATTATTTCATTAGTGATTTTTCTCTACTGAATAAAATTTTTTGTTAGATTGAAAAACACCCAGTGCTATATCCTTTCTTCCAGTTTCTTCAAAGACTAATTAATTGAATTTTTATTACCAATCCTTCAATTATATAAATTTTTTTAGTTATCCAATAAAAATGAGCAGCAAAGGAATGTAACTTTGTTCCAACCGGGTCACATAAGAACCCATTTACATTGTAAAATAATATTAAATATTTCAGGACCCATTTTATGCAGTACTCTTTAGTCCTAAACCATTTTTGAACTTCAGGTATCAGATAAATGAACCCCAAACCCTCTGGCCCAACAGGCAGGTTCACTAACAACTAGGACAATCAGGCCAGGGTATCAAATGTTTCTCAACTTAATTTTTAGGGTTCCGTACCCCAAAAGGTAAAACGGGTTTGTGTGTCCTGAACTGCGATAGTTAGATATTTGCAATTCTCACAGATGATGTATTTCTGCTGCCGCTATAACAACAAATACTAAAAAACAATAAAAATTTTAAGACCATATACAAATGTTAATTATTTAAGTTAAAATTAAGTCACATTGTCATATTCGCAAAAATAGTAATAAAAATTTGACAAGCTTTTCACAATTTAGATTAGAATGTTCTACTTTAATGCATTTTACAGTATCCTTGTCATAAAGATGTCAAACTTATATCCTACATTAAAACCTGAAGATGAACAGGATTCTGAAGGTGAAGATGATGATGAGGAGGAAGAGGAAGAGGAAGATGAAGAAAAAAAGCCAAATATGACTTTTTCATTTATAAAACATCAGGGATGTGTTAATAGAATACGGGTATGCTAATCATGGTGAATTTTTATCAATGTTTTAGTAATAAAAAAATTAATACCACATTTAATTAAATAAAATCTCCTTGCAACATAAATAATATTCATATATACAGCGTGTCGTTATCATCGCAACAATATATGAACACACATATAGGGGATAACTTTTTAAAGTTGTATTCAACATTTAAATTCCGTATACATCAATATTTACAGAGTTATTAAATTTTCCAAAACAAAGAATTTTGGAACACCCTTACCTATAAAAGCGTAACATAAAGTTCATTTGTAAAGGTCATGAAGCATATGAATCGGTTGAATGAATTTAAAAGAGACAAAACATACTGTTAGAAGGAGAGGCTTGTATTACGACGCTGTGGCCCGAGTTGTATAGGATGTTACAAATTTTGTTTCTTTTTTACTTAATTAGATGGATTTTTTTATTTTACCATCCGATTTTCTCTTTCGTTATTATAGTTTATTTTTATTTATATCAAATTTTTACAAGAATTTTCTTCTATAGACTCAATAAAACGCATGTATGGAATACAAAGTATCTTCTTTCAGACAACTCATTTCAAAAATTCAGTCTTAGCTGCAAGTTGGTCAGAGCTTGGTATTGTGGATATCTGGAATATAACACAACAGCTACAAGCTGTAGATGATCCCGCTTTACTAGAAAGGTACAACCTTGATACAGTAACAAACCCAGTTAAACCACTTTACTCTTTCAATGGACACCAGCAAGAAGGATTTGGTATTGATTGGTGCCCAACAGAACCAGGTGTAGGTATAGAATTGGTTATTATAGTTTACTTTGCATTATGTCTTACATATACCTATTTACAAATACATTATATAAATTTGTAGGTACTAGCAACGGGTGATTGCAGACGAGATATACATATTTGGAAGTCTAATGAAGGGGGTACATGGACTGTAGATCAACGCCCTCTTGTGGGTCACACCAGCTCAGTTGAAGATATACAATGGTCGCCAAATGAAAGGTTATCCATGTCTTTATCTGTATGCAAGTTAGCTAGTTATTAGATGCAACTAATATTAACCCTAGATTAAATTCCTGTTGTTTTTTCTGCTGTATCTGATAGTTTCATGTTAATGTTTCAGAAATGTTTTGGCCTCCTGTTCAGTTGATAAAACCATAAGAATATGGGATACCCGTGCAGCTCCACATAAGGCTTGTATGTTGACAGCGGAAAATGCTCACCAAAGTGACATCAATGTCATTTCTTGGAATAGCAAAGAGCCCTTCATTGCAAGTGGTAGTACTTTAAATAATATTTGAAACAATTTCGTAATAATATTTGAACAAAATATAAATAATTCATTATTTATTGAACATACAGTAAAAATAGCCAATTCACACCCGGTTTCTCAAACACTGATCATCATAAAAATTAACCACACCAGCTGTCAAATGGCTGTTCAAATGTCATTTAAGTTGCCAAAAGGATGGTTAAACTCTATGAATTAATCAGATTGATCTTCTTAATGATCATAAATTAATTTTTTTTTTTAAATTATAGGGTAAATAAAGTTTTTGAATGTTTTTAGGTGGTGATGATGGTTTCCTTCATATCTGGGATTTAAGAAATTTTACAAGTAACTCTCCTGTTGGTACTTTTAAGCATCATACTGCACCTATAACATCGGTAGAGTGGCACTGGACAGAACCTAGTGTCTTAGCATCCGCTGGAGAAGACAATCAAGTTGCTTTATGGGACCTAGCAGTTGAAAGGGACGATAATGATGTTGTAGATGAAGAACTTAAGGTAAAGAAATTTAATAAATATTGATTGTTTTAACAATCAAATGAGTATAGACATTTTTCTTAAATTAAAAAAAATGAAATTTCGGTATTTTTTATTTTAGGATTTTTTTTTAATGTGTTCATTTAATACTTTATGCATAATAATCTTTTACAGAACCTGCCCCCACAATTATTATTTATTCACCAAGGACAGACAGATATTAAGGAACTCCACTGGCATAAACAAATTCCAGGTGTAATTGTTACAACAGCTCACACAGGATTCAATATTTTCAAAACTATAAGTGTATGAATTAAAAAATATATAATATATATGCATTAAAGTTTTATTTAAACATTACTTACAAATTATTACCATGATTTATGTCACATTTTAATCTTTATTTACTTTGTATAAACCATTGATAAATTAACAAGATGACGTATTGTAGGCCTGCCATGGGGACAATTCTGTGAACAATGTACATAATAACATCAACAAAGATTGTAAGGGTTACAATTTTACCATTTTTTTTTGGGTAATATGTCATGAGCTTGATACTGGCATTTTATTATTTGTAAATTAAAATTAATTTTTCTTAATTTAATTTGGTTAAATATTCGCAAGCAGTCCTTGTGATGGATGGGGCTTTGTCAACAACCTCTGAAGATCTAGGCTTCCAATATTCTAATTAAATAAAACACAAAAATATAAATAATCTACTTAAAGTCGGGACTTCTGCTACAGAGAATCGAATTTTGGCAATGAGTTGTTATTATAGTATTAAAAAAAGGTTATGGATTTACACTTAATTTTTAAATCGTAATTGAATTAAATCAAATGTTGTGCTCTCTGCCACTTTACAATATGAAAATATAACAAAAGAAAATGAGGTCAAAATAGAAACTTAGATATTTACGTCTTTAAAATAAACCTTGTTACTGCAATCCGTGATAATTCAATGCCCGGGCGCTCGCTTTTAATTCAATATACTCGAGTACCCCCTGATGATGCTCTAAGATCGGGCTGCAGAATTAGTGCACTCATCGAGTGTTTGCTAAAAACCCAATTTTTACTTTCACTTGTTTTATAAAATAAAATGTCGTTCACTTTACGGCATTATACATAAAGACTGAAAAATCACGGTTGCCGTTGCGCACTTGGCCGCACTTCTTCGCAGACAGGTTTAAACATTAATAAAATCATACAAATTTTGGTACATTAATATGTTCATAACATATGTTTATTATTTAAGTATATATCAGATTAAACATATTTTTTTTTGTTTTTTATAATATACGGTTGCTTAATTAAATCTGGCTGCAAATAAGGGTTGTTGGCTGTTGTGCGCGACAATAAATGAACAAAATATAAAACGTTAAAGAATCCATAATTAAAAAAAAAATATTTTTTCAAACAAACTAATTAAATAAAAAGAAACAAAATTTGTAACATTCATACAACTACAAGTGACTGATTCATACATTCAAAGACTTTTTCATTTGTTGCCACAACATTGCATTACAAGTCCCTCCTTCTAACAGTATATTTTATCTCTTAAATTGATTCAACCCATTCATATGCTTTGTGACCTTTACAAATTAACTTTACATTACAGTTTTATACGTAAGGGTGTTCTAAAAATGTTTGTTTTCTAAAATTTAATAACTTTGTAAATATTGATGTTTAAACAATGTAAATGCTTAATACAATTTTAAAAAGTTATCCTCTGTATGTGTGTTCATTTATTGTCGCTGTTGTAACAACACGCTGTTTATTTAAGGTAGAGTGAAAGAGATCTAGCGCGTAACATCACTAGTCAAACGAGGATAGCGATTACCAGCACCTCCTAATCGTGTAATATGCGTTTTTAGGAAACACTCAATGAGTGCTCTAATTCTGCAGGCGGATCTCAATCAATCAGCACCAATGAAATTGTTAATTTTAATCGTTAACTTATCACATGTTCAATGGTGAAGTCAAACATTAAGAGGAAACCTGCATATTTTCGAAATAATAAAAATATAATTATTTCGATGATATTTCAAATCTGCCAATACAGAGTGCTTTTGCGTGGTGAACTATGTATACCACCTGTACACAGAGGCCTTTGTCCAGCATTGGGACATGTATATGTTGTTAGTTTGCTTTTACGTAATCTACAAAGACGGATAGATCAAAGAATTCTTTAAAATAAGTTCATACATATTATATTGTAAATAAAATTGCAATCAATTACTAACCGACAAACTTAATGAATGAATTGCCTTGAAGATACTGTCGTTAATCCTCCATAGGCGTCTTATTATCGAAACACAAGATGTATTATTGTATTATCAAAAAAAAAAACTCCGTACCATTATTGAAATTTGTAGAAAAAGTACGAATAGATTGTTGCCGCTGTGGGAATCCAACCCATGTCTTCGGCATTCGTGGCCTGACGCTTAGCCACTAAGCTAAACGGCTGATTGCCACACCGTCGAAAATCTTAACGTCTTTTATCTACATTGTTTTTTAGCATTTGAAGCAATGCTTGGCGCAACCATTGTTATATCCTTTCCAGCATACAAACAATTTCGAATATCGTTTTACAACGATAATTCGAACGAGAGATGTCGCCATTGCTGTTTACATTGAAACATTAAAATTTATAGAAAAAGTACGAAAAGATTGTCGCCGCTGAGATTAGCACTATAATAAAATTTAATTTCCGTACCATTATCTATAAAAAAGGCAAAAAAATCATATTTATTGTATGGGAGCCCCACTTAAATATTTTTTATTGTTTTTTAGTATGTGTTGTTTTAGCGGCAACAGAAATACGTCATTAGAGAAAATTTCAACTGTTTATCACGGTTTATGGGTTGCCTGGTGACAGATGGACAGACAGACGGACAGCAGTCATAGTAATAGTTTTACCCAATGGGTTCGGAACCCAATAATAGTAGAGATCATACCCAAGGTTTATCTATGTCCGCCATATGGTTGACTAGTGTCTTCATATCTGCTTTGCTTAAAGCTGTTCCAATCATGACCGATTTTCTACATGCCCTTGATGCGAACATTGCTCGAACTCGACTTGGTCTACAGTGTTCTGATTGATTTTCCTGAAATACAACATATGCAATACAGCATATATAATTTTTACTTATACATTCAAAATATTTTATTGCGCATTTTTGTAAATCTTCGAGACAAGGAAAATTGATGCAAATAAATGTTTCATAATTATGAATCTTCAAAAATTAATGATCATATAAAAAGTAATTATTGCTACTTACCCTTAACATGAAAAGTAATTCTTCAATATCATCTTTTCCAAATATCCAATTCTTTGACATAGGAATCGTCAACAGTTTAACCCTTCTTGTAGGTAAGCCATTTTCATTTATTTCAAATTTAAAACCATTCTTTTTAAATACATCAAGATTATCAATCAATATCTCTTCATTAACACCGGAGAGTTCTAGTTGTTGTGGGCTGGAGAAAAATAACAAAATATACAACTTTAATATCTCTAAATATAAAAATTTAGCTTTCTTTATGTTTCTTTATTTCTTTATGTTTGTGTACCCAAAATTTAGACTAGCTGATGGTTTAACTTTATATTTGTTCACAACATAGCCTATTGAACAGAAGAGTTTTGTTTTATTTACGCGATTACACATTATAAATGAAACTGACGGTAGCCCAGGGTAACTATGACAATTAGACGTCTAACACCTCAGTCTGTCCCGTAACCATGAACGCTGTAAAGGGTTCGAAACGTCGGGAATTAAAATTAAAAAATAAACGCGATAAATCCGTAAAATTAGTTTCATTTATAAAAATGTCATAGTTTTTTCTTGTGGCAGTGAAGCGAGGTAAGTGGCTTGATAAAAATTCTGACTCTTGTCTTCGTTTTAGAACTTAGTTTATACTATATTTTCATTTATACTAAAATAGAAATAATTGAAATAGACCAACTAAAATCTTTTTAATAAAAATTATTATAATAAAATACTATTGGTGGGTGATGGGCAGGCAATAGGAAAGAAAGGTTCTTGAGTGGCAGCCTCGTACTGGTCATTGCAGTGTTTTACAACAATTAGATGAAGTGACGACCTGAGCAAATGTGCGGGAATCAATGGATGCAGGTGGCTCAAGATTGTCTTGGTAGCAGTTAGTGGGGAGACCTATGTTCAGCAGTGGACTCCAATAGGCTGAAATGATAATGATATTGTTATGAACACACAAAGTTTGTTCAGGAAGGAACTTTCTGGAATAGTCTGGGGCTCGTCTCGGCCCATATAAAAAGCCGCAGAGAGGCAAGACAGATCAGTTCAGTTTGAGCTAGCTTGAGGCGACTTCGGAGCTAAAACTAGTGATCAAGAGCGATACCAGTGAAACCTACGACTTGGCTACAAAATAGGACATCGTTAGTGCTTAGTGTTTGGACCTAGTGCTTTATGTTGGACCTAGTGCTATTGATTAAAGTCTTCAAAAGAGTCAGCAGGTCTTTCTCTCCAAATCCTTCGAACCCCTAACACGTAACAATATTAATACATTACTTACATAACTAATTTTTGACTTGTTAATTCTGTAGTCCTTTGTAACATTTCAAAATTGTAGATCTCATCAGTAGCATGTTGGTCGATTATAAAAAGATCATCACCTAAACGAGTTATTATAAAACCTAGGTTAAATTGACCAATAACCATCATATTTGTAAATGATTCCTTATTTATTTCTCTACTCAGTTCTTCTTCACATTTTTTGTTGAATGCTGGATTTATTTCACTTCTGAATTTAATTTTCTCTGGTTTACATTTTTCATTTCCAGATTTATACATATCTACCAATTTTGTTATTAGATCCATAGAAGTTTTCATTGTTATGGATTTTCTATTACATTTTCCTAATTCTTCTTTATCAGTGATAAATTTAAGTTTTTTACTTTGCTCCACAGTAATTATTGATTTTTTTGGTGTTCTTTTAGTTTTACAATATATTGTGTTTGATTTTTCAGTAATGACTTCAGTAATATTTCGAATTCGCGTATTTGGTAATTCACTTGTGTATTGTAAATACATCAAATCTTTCATTTCATTTTTGAAGCTGAAATTATCATCCTTAACAGATACAGAGTATTTATGGCCACTTGCATCATTAACATCATCCTTATTTGAATCTTCTTTAATGTGTTCATAACCATTATATTCTTCATTATCAGATCTACCAACTTGGTCATCATCAGAAATTTCATTAAGAATTACTCTTTTAGTTTTTGATATGGAAAAGTCTAACAATGTGTTGGATTTTCTTTTGAGCTCAGGTTTCTTATCAACATTAAATTCGCAATTCAATACACTCTGCGGTTTTTTGCTAAATTGTTGCATAAATGAATTAAACACTCTAGGTTGTTCAATGTCTTGCAACTTAACAACAGAGGTATTCACAGAATTTAGAGATTCAATTTTAATAATTTTTGGAATATTTTCGAAAAGTTTAGTTATGGAACCCTTAATCACATCTAGTATGCTTTTTTCTTTAGCTAAAAATAATTTTCTTTTGTCTGGTGTGACATTCACATCTACAGATGTCCGGTCTAAGATTATATTAAGGAAAACAAAAGCATATTGATGGGGATTAAACTGTCTATAAATTTCGTTCACAAGTTTTATAATTTTAGTCGGTTCACATGGGCGTGAATTTATATAATAAAACTGCCGATCTGTACTAGAACGACCACTTCCATGAGCACTTGATGATATAAAGCCTGTAAGTTCCACATGATTTGCAATATTTTTATATCCCTGTGATTTTTGGGAATTTAGTATACTATCTTGCGAGTTTGGTATAGTATCTTGGGAATTTTTTTGAGCATCATCAGCCTCATTGGAATCTTCTGATAAATCAATTTCAGTATCTTCTATATTAATAATATCTTCAGATATTTTCACTTCCCCTGATAAACCTTTAAAAACATTTTCTTTTATACTTGGAACATAATTCGTTTTTATTTCCAATAAATTTTGCAACTGCTTAGGGCCAAATATGCAAGCTATATTATCATTATATGATGTTGAACCTTGTGTTGTTACAACCAATGATTTTGAATTTGAATTTGTTTGATTACTACAAGTGATACTGAAAAAAGATTAACTACTGTTAAGACTGATAAATATACATTAAAAAAGTAAAAAATACTGGTAAATCAACAAAATTTACTTTACTCCAACAGATATTAAACAGTAGGCATATAATAAATTTGTCATTTTATTGAACTCCCTTTTAACATTTTTATGAAATTCTTTTTGTCTCACTGGAAGTGAACAAAACAAGTTTTTTAAGGTAACGGTTGTTCCAACTTGACGTGAACATGGAGTTTTATTTATAATATGACCATTATGGTCATATACAATCTTAGTAGCTGAAAAGGTATAATCATTAATTAGAATGTGCCCTAACTCGTGATTATTGAAAAAATGAAATGTGTGTTAATGTTACCATGTTCTGCAGTCTGATGTCTTGTAGTTATTGATACATTAGCAAGTGAACATAAAGAACTAAGGGCTTCACCTCTAAATCCAAAACTTGATACACCAAGAAGATCTGAATAGTCACTCAGTTTAGATGTGTGATATTTCAAAGCTGTAAAATGAAAGTAATAATTAGTGTCTGTTTTTAATTATCTACATATGATAGTGTTCGCTGACTTATAATATGCTTAGAAGCCCGGATATTTCTAAAATAATAAATATATATATATAAAGAAGATATGTGAAGTCTGTGAATCCACAGTCAAGTGGTGGACTACCCCCAAATAGGATGTTCATTGAGGAGGCTTATGCCTAGCAGTGGGTCATATATTATGCTGTTACTTTATTTTATTTTTGTTCCTTAGGATGTTTTTATTCAAATTCGATGCATCTTTATATGTTTATTAATGAAAATTATGTAATGCTCAAAGTCTTTCCATATTAAGCTTTAATTTTAACTAAAAAATTATCTAATTAATTAGCTAATTTTCATCTAGTTAAAAAATATAAATGAAGTTAAATATCTGTACTTATTAACAGTTCATTAATATATTAATATTAAAAATTCATAGAATATAAACCATACTTAAAGCAGAAAAATTTTCTTCTGTTACACCGGTACCATTATCTACAACTTCTATCAAATCAATACCATAGTTCTTAAATCTTATGTCAATTCTAGTGGCACCAGCATCCAAAGAATTTTCTACAAGTTCTTTAACTGCTACTGCTAAGCTGAAAACGACCTACAAAATAATGTTTAAATATTTATTTCCTGTATATATTGCAATGATCTCTTTGCAAAGTGAAAATAAGCTGAGCAATTGGGCTAAATTGCTATTTTCAAAGACATTTGGTTTTATAACAGTAGAAGTTATAGAATAATCAAATACCTTACCTGACCAGAACAAATTTTATGAACGGTATCAGCGTGAATTGGTTTGATCGCATTTATTGTTTTGTCGAACGTATCGTCCTCGTTCTCCATTTTCTTAAATTCATTTAATAATCAACAGACATAATTTTAAAATATTAGAGTAGCTATTATTTTATCAAAGCAAAGGTAAAGAACATCCCTATATACAAAATACATTTCCCTATATACAAAAGTACTCTGTGGTAAAGAATAACAAAAAGACAGTTACAAAACATAGATAAGACATATATACACAGATAAGACATATATACTGAAATATAGCTGCATATTTAGTACTGAAAAATCAGTTTACGCGGCACTCCAATACCAACCATACCACAAAAATGTCAAACAACATGAGTACCAACGTAACGAGCCAAATAGTGCTTACCAAGCTAGATTAGCTTCTTATCGATATCGATAAAAGATACTAGGTAGAAACCGAGGTTTCCACTTACATTTTTTTTATTAATTTTAGTAGATAAGTATCGAGTCCGTATTTATGTCCAATGTTGATGAGGGTATTTAGTAGAAAATTGTACTTGAATAGGGACCCGAAATAAGATAAAAATAAAATAAAATTTTATTACTGAAATGAAATTTCTTTCTTGATTTTTTAGCCAACAGCTGTTGTCCTGCTGTACACGAGTCTGGAAATAATTGAAACATAAAAATAGAATCAAAATCCAAAAATTATTTTAGTTTTCTTGCATACTCGGCGCACGAAATTAAATATATGACGTTGATACGTCATTTTGAAACATAATCTCTGTAATATTGATATATTACAGAGATTATGTTACAAAATCCAGCAAAATTCACCTATTCCGATCCTTGCTTATTTATGTAGGCACACCATTCAAATATGTAAAACTTGAAGAGTACTTTTATATCGTCCAAATTACTTTAGTGTTGCTATTGACAATAACAACTACGCTAACCCCTAGGAGTGTTCGTAACGGCTATTGATATATAAAATCTGTTGCAGACGCTGATGGCAACAAAATTGTTTGTTATCAAGAATTGATTATATGTTTATACTATAGTCGAAAACCTTCGAAACTTCGAGTGCTACGATACGTTGCTATTTATATAATTATTTTAATTTTTTGTTTTTCAATCTATTTGGGACATAATAGTATCAAAATGTCTCTAAATACCGCTCACGCGGATCACGGCGTTTTAATACATGCTGGGGAATGGTGAGTCATCTTATTGTAAAAACGTATTTGTATTTTTTATCTACCTATTTATCTCTATGTCCCTCATTTAAAACAATATTTTCCGCTCTAAATAATTCAAATTCGATGTTTTCATTAATTGTCTTCTTGTATAATATGAATAATAATATAAATATAATTTCATTTTTGGTGGTCAAGTGATTTAGTAGAGTAGACAAGTACAATGAGTAAGTATAGTCAGTGCCGGATTAATCCCATAGCAGGAGTAGCAATTGCTACGGGTCTCGCGCGAAAGGGGGCCCCGCATTTTAACTTCTCTGACTGAGCGTAATTTCTTGAGTGAAACTTATTAAGTATGTAAGAGACTTGAAATTTTTATACCACTTTATACTTAAGAACCCATAGCAAAGGCTGTTTAGCAAGGGTTGTTGGACAGAATTTGCTACGGGCCCCCATGCTTGCTTAATCCGGCACTGACGGACAGTGGCAAGTTGCTAGCTTTTTGGGCACTAAAGCCCGATTTTCACTGCTCAAGTACTAAACACTTGACCGGTGTAAATTGGGCTTTGAGCCCACATGCAAAAGAATTCGCCCAATTATTAAATTTGAAAGCAAGTATATCAAAGTGAAATCTTGGTAAGTAATTTTAGTTCTATGAGACCAATAAATAAATAGTATGTTTAATCTAATGAAGTTTATTTCCTCTATGGTACAAAAATAAAATATATCTATATACAGCGTGTCGTTACCACCGCGACAATAAATGAACACATGTCTAACGCTACTTGCCAATAATCATAAAAAAATATTTTTCAAACAAACGAATTAAGTAAAAATTAAACAAAATTTGTAACACCTATACAACTACAACTGACTGATTCATACATTCAGAGACCTTTTTCACAGCGTCGTTTCCACAGTGTCGCATTACAAGCCTCTCCTTCTAACAGTATGTTTTGTCTCTTTTAAATTCATTCAACCCATTCATATGGTTTGTGACCTTTACAAATGAACTTTACGTTACAATTTTATACGTAAGGATGTTCTAAAATTCTTTATTTTGGAAAATTTTATAACTCGGTAAATATTGATGTTTAAAGAATGTAAATGTTTAAAAAAAAATTTATAAAGTTATTCTCTATATGTGTGTTCATTTATTGTCGCGATTGTAAAGACACACTGTATAAAAGAAAATATTTCTTCCACCAAAGTCGACATGTAAAATGTTAATTGAAACTAGTACAACCATAATTTTCGTTTCTAAATAAATTTATGAACTTAGGGATACTTGCAAAATTGTTTTTAACAACCAAGGTATCAATAGGCAAAAATCTGGACTCTTGTATGGCCACTCCATTGTAGGGGTTCATCTCATTCATCAGACTTAAGTCTAGCCTCCTCTTTGCACTATAATGTCATAATTAGCAGGTTTGAATGGACTTTAATAGCTTTTTTCCAAAATATTGTTCAGCTCATAAAAATTAGGCGACCGGCACTTTATGCTATGTTACAGAACAGGAAATTTCAGTATTTTTCTTAATACAGTCTTTGAGAAATGATTTATTTATACTTTAAATGATATTTTTCATTCAACCCCAACAGTTCTTCAAATTTGGATTCTTATTATTAATACCAATGGTCAGCCATCCAGTGTAAATTTTATATTGCTAGTGCCTTTCTGGAAGTGAAATGACTTGATATATGTATATATTCTTAACAATTTATAACAGAAGCACCTGTTTGGCATTAAGGCAGTTAGCATATATCTGGGTTATAACTAGTCAGATATAGCACCTTTACTAAAGATCGCCTTACTTTATTCATTTAAAATTTTACATTAGCCCTATTGTATTCATTTTATTAAAACATACTAAGAAAACAAAATAATAAATTAAAGAAACATTATTGGTTTTAATTAAAACTGCATGTCTAGTTGTATATTGCTAGTATTCTATTGCATAGTTTTGGGATATCAATTATACAATATAGTTACTTTAAACTATACAGCAAAGTAATAAAGTAAATGGTAACTTACGAACATATTAATTAATTTCCTTGTAAAATTTCGACGTTACATAAGAACGCGCAAGCATCTATGTGAATAAAGATATTTTATTATTATTATATATTATTATTTATTAAAAAATTACAGTGATTATATTTGATATGTAATTAGATATTGTGTATTGTGCAATGAAGCATTTAATTCTTTAGCCAAAATAGCAGATATAGGATATATTGATAACTTTAACTCATAAGAGGGACTCAAACCTTCTTGAACTGTGCCATTAAACTACATAGATGGTACAATAATATAGACCCCTTGTTTATTGTTTAGGCACACCATATTGTGGGTTTGTCCCCATGTGATAAAAAAAATAATGCATCACAAAAATTTCTGTATTTCAATTTACTTCGATTTTTGGTTGTTCATGTTTGTGAACCTGTGACATAGTATCTATTTCTGGGTGCACAAATTTTTATTAGCGAATGAATATGTAGCCAAATCACCACAAAAGCAAGTAATAAATTGACACCACTCTTCTCATCACGAAAACACTGTTTCTCTTCAAATATAAAGTTACATATTCATAATTTCTGCCTTATTGTTTCAGTATTATAATATTTTCTGATAATGTCACTGTGGAATTCTATGGTAATGACACAGCTGAATTTAAGGGAACTAAAACTGGTCGCATGTATCTAACTACTCATCGTATGATATATAATTCCAAAAATACTTCTGATACCATGAGATCTTTTAGTTTTCCTTTTATAGCTCTCCAAGATGTAAGTATTTTTATTTAAACTTTACATTTTATGTTACATTTGACAATTTACATTAAATTTAAAAAATTAAAAATAAATAATAAAGTAAATTAAAAATTTAATGTTACATTAATTTTTTTTTTTTTAATTATACTTAATGACATTTTTTTAGGTAACAGTGGAGCAACCAATGTTTTCTGCAAATTACATTAAAGGGAAAGTTAGGGCACAGCCCAATGGTAATTTTATTGGAGAAGTTAAATTCAAATTGACTTTTAAATCTGGAGGAGCTATTGAGTTTGGTCAAGCTATGCTTAAAGCTGCTCATTTGGGTAAGTATTCTTACCGTTTAAAATTTTGAAATTATGGAAGTAAATAAATAGTGGAAACATGTAAAATAAATACATTTTCTTTAGCATAAATATGGTTTTTATTTAGTTGGAGATTGACTGATTAATTCTGTGACTCTAGCATGTTTGGATTATGTTTATTATATAGTATATGATTAAATTTTCAAATAAAACTGGGATGAGATAACATCCAAATCCCCACTAAAACAAAATATGATTGGAAGACATTTAAGTTAATTTTTTTGCAGCCTCGCGACATGCTGCCCCAGATGCTCCTCCGCCACCTTACGTTCCTCCCACTGGTCCCTGGTATGCTGCACCTCCACCTGCGTATGCCCCACCACCACAAGGCTACTATGGCTGGGTTCCACCTTACAGTGTAAGCATGGCCATTCAGGTTTGTTTATATCATAGAACAAAAAATCAAGCAGAGGTATTGCCTGTTTCTTAGCAAGGTGGTGTAACATAGTTTTATACATATTGATATAGTAAATGGAAATATACTTCATACTATATTATCTAAAAATAAAAGAATTCTTGTGTGTAGTATTTTGTTTTTCATACCCAAAGGGTAAAACGGGACCTGGCTATAAAAAAAATATGAGTCTTATATTAAAATTTAAATTTACTTTAATCAATATTGGAATTATTTTGAAACCGTGATCCGAAAGTTTTTTCTAGTTCGCAGAAAATCTTTTCGTCTATTTTTTTTCTACAAATTATAACTTTTCATTTTAAGTGCAGAGATTACTATAAATAAAGTTGAAAATAAATATTTTTCTAAGTTGAATCACATTTAATTATCATTACCCAATAAATTGGTCATCCCTCATACTTCGAAGTAATTACATTTTTCCTGAATGAGCAGTGTCTCTTTACTACCTGATGTTGTGCTAATTAAAAAAAAATTTCAGGCTTTCCCGGATCAACCAGCGCCCAACTCTGTATTCGTATCGAACAATCCCCCGCCGTATCCAGGCGTCGCTGGTGCTACCTATCCTGTTGGTCCTGGCTTCTCGGGTGTGGGTAGTCCAACTGGGGCCCCGCCTGGTTATCCTGGCAATGCTGGTGCCTCGCCCCCCGGTTATCCGGGCAACGCAACTGCACCTCCCCCAGGATATCCGGGAGGATTTTCTGCCCCCGGAGCACCATCTGGCATGTCCGCACGAGGTGAGCGCAAACTAAATTTGCTTCTTTGTACTAGTTATTATTTTCTTAGTACTAGAATGACCTCAAAGTTTTGGTTAGGTATAGCAATTATGAAGATAGTTCATGATCTTATTTAGGGGTATATCATACATTACAGAGTAATAAAGTAATTACAGTTAAGTAATAAATAGTTTTAAGTTATTTTTAGCCTAATCATTATCACTAATTATTGAATGTTTCTATAGAAAATGTATCAATTGATTAATTTAGAGTAGATATAGAGAATAGTTTGCATTAGGTCAAATGTTATTTCTCAGATGCGAAAGCTGCGGAAGCGGCTCAAAGTGCTTACTACGATCCTAACCAACCACAGACAGCTTATGTCCCACCTCCTTACAACGTAAGTATTTACTTATCTATGTTCAAAACTCTTTTTAGTTCACACAAATATATTTCTTTTATATATTGCTTTTTGAAACAAACATATGTGTAATATACTGGTGTATTTTTTAATATTATACATTATCAAAGAAGCTACCGAAGCATATGGATTTATTGTTAAGGTATCAAAAAAGGTATATTTGAAAGGTTTCCTAATCTTGACAATGGTTTGGTGTTAAATACTGATACCTACTGAATCCAAACGAGGTGCTAACATTGCCGCTTAACATCCTCAAAACTACTCAACGGCGTTTTCTGGTTCTGGCCGTCATCGCTACATTTAATATTACACTTTAGAGAGTTACAGATCATTTAAAGATGATATTATCTATCATATCTTGGTGGTATCGTGTTGTTGTGACGTGGGAGGGCTTGGAGGTGATAAAAAAATGGCTAAAAGGATAAAAGAATGTATATACATTATGAAATGCTTATGAAATAGCCCACTAGATACGTTTTTGGGAAATGCATTCCCTATATGTTTTCAACAACATATGCAGATTTTTTTAATTTAAAATGGTTGAACCCTTTTTATGTTTGTTGTTATGTTTATGTGATGTTGTACTGTTTGCTGACGACACATCGCTCATTTTTAAGGTTGACCGAAATGTATCGAATTATGACGACGTGAATAGTGCACTTTCGCGTATCGTCCACTGGTTTACCATTAATAATATGGTGTTAAATGCTAAAAAAACTAAATGCCTTCTTTTTACCCTTCCCAGCGTAAAAAGGCAAAGTTTAGCTTAAAATTAAATAGCGTAACCCTTAATCCTGTTGAGTCTGCTGTATTCTTGGGAATCACAGTAGATTCAAAGCTCCAATGGAGTCCCCATCTATCATCTCTTGCGAATAGGTTAAGCTCCGCTGTTTTTGCAATTAGGAAGGTTAGGCAGCTATCAGACACTGCCAGACTTGTTTACTTCAGTTATTTTCACAGCATCCTGTCGTACGGCATTTTTTTGTGGGGTAGTGCATCTGATATAAATTCTATATTTATTCTTCAAAAAAGAGCTGTCGGAGCCCGGAATAAACTCGGAGATCTTTTTAAAGAGATTAATATACTCACTGTTGCGTCTTTATATGCTTTGTGACCTTTACAAATGAACTTTACGTTACAGTTTTATACGTAAGGGTGTTCTAGAATTCTTTGTTTTGAAAAATTTAACAACTCTGTAAATATTGATGTTTAAAGAATGTAAATGTTTAATACAATTTTAAAAAGTTATCCTATGTATGTGTGTTCATTTACTGTCGCGATTGTAAAGACGCGCTGTATTTATTGTAATATTTTGTATGTTAAACATAATATTAATAATTATCTAAATTCTAAAGAATAGTGACTGACATAAACTAAATACTAGAAATAAGGACAAACTAACTACGCCATTGTTTCGTCTACAAAAATCCCACAGTCGATATTAAGTCTGCCACTTGATGAATTTAAACGAAAAATTAAAAGTGAACTTATGGCTAAAGCCTATAATACTATTGCGGAATATCTTGACGACGACAATGTGTGGGGTTAATAATACTGTTGATACTCACGTAGGCTAAAACAAGTCTATTATACCTGTACAATTATATTGTAAACTGACCTTTTAAAAAAGAGCAACTGTCGAGTTTCTTCTCAACAGAAACTGCTTTCCGAACTGGTCGTAACTTACGAACGTGATAATTTCTTTGTAAAATTTTCACGTTTCATAAGAACGCGCAAGCGTCTATGTGAATAAAGATATTTTATTATTATTATTTAAGAAGCTAAATATGGAATTAGTTGATGGATATTATATGTTATACATAATATGTATATTTTTTAGGAAAACAAACTTATAATTATTATTTAATATTTTACAGGATCAACCGCCGACGTATCAGGAGTCTACATCGAAGAAAGAAAACTAATGCATTGCCCTTGTTTCCATATGTCTGCTCCTGGCAACTCATAAACAAATACGTAGAACTTTTAATGATTAATTACATAATTAACATTAACAACTTTTTGCTTGTAAACATTCCTTCATGCTTTTCAAGCAGTTTATATGTGATTTATGTTATAAGCAGATGGTAATAAAATTTCAAGTATTTAATTATAGTAGTTATTGCAATTATAAAGATATTTATAACATTTCTTTATAGTTTGAGAGTATGAAAATGTGATTATGTATTATTCTTCAATATTTTAAATACGCTTTAGGAGAGTGTATAAATCTTAACATTTTAAAAATGATTAGGTGCTTTCAATTTGTTTTATGTTTGAATGAAACGTCTTTGCGTTGACTATTTAACATTTAGCAACATTTGTTTCCAAAAATGGTTAAATTCACACCCGTGGCAGTCCACCGACGCAAGGACATTTCGTTTCAGTGCACTTAGTTGCACGCATTCTTTTGTAATAGCTATGACTTACTGTGTATTATATTATAATATATTATTATATTGAAAATAAATCCAATTTTTATTTTAATTGCTACACTAGGCCAAAAGCGAGGTGAAATGATGCGATTTGGATAGACCAGAATTACTGTAAACTGTTTTGATTATTTACATACTGGATTCAATACAGTGAGTGACATATATAGATTCAACACAATGAGTGACATTTCAAAAGACATAAAAAACGTGCTATAATTTCAAGCGACAAGTTCAAAATGGTTGAACTTTGCTGACGTCGCGAGTCAATAGCGCGCTCCACCGCTAGTTCGACGTGAACACGCACACACAAACGTGTCAAGCGTTTGATAATGCCTCGAGCGCCGCGCGCGCGCCAACTGCTAGTTTGCCCGCTACTAAGACCGCGCGTGAATTTCGTACGTGAACACTTGGATACCAAGTCATAATTATGTTTGATATTTCGTGACGGCGCCCGCGGACCCACGAGTCAACGTATTTAAGCATTTAGTTTGTCCCGTGACCGTGAACGCTGAAAAGAGTTTAAAACGTCGGGAAATAAGAAAACGCGATAAATTCGTAAATAAGTATAGTTTTTTCTTTCATATTTTAAAGAATGTTTGGTGCAATTTTATAATATTTCCAAGCGAGCTCGAGGATCACAATGTAAAGTGATTGAGTGAATGTACAGTAGGGTTACAAATGCGTTGCCTCCTTTCAATAAAGTTCCCTTTACAGGTTCCTATCGGTTACCTCACTCACCAAACAAAAGGCAGAAGTATAACACTTCTACTTCACGCAGGTCTTCTGTGAGATCGTGGTACTTCCCCAGAAGAGTCTGTTTATTCGTAAACAGCGAAGACAAGACGAGCTTACTGTGTGGCTCTACCACAGTATCTGCTTTACAGTAAATGTTTACAATACAATACAATACAATAAACTTTATTTGTAAAAAACATGGTTGTACAAATGCAAAGTGATGTTATGTCATATCCTTAAGAAGCGCATGTTTTTTGCACTAAAGGAGCATACAAATATTTATTGGGCTGTTCTTAGCACCTAGATTAATAAATAATGAGTGAAAAAAGATTAAAAGTATGAAAGTAAAAGAATATATCGATAAACTAACATTAGTATTAAAAACATAAGATATCTAATGCATTACGTAATATTCATTTACATTTATGATTAATCTAAATTGTCGTTTAGAAATTCGCTAAGGTTATAAAAAATTCTGTCATAAAGGATTAACTTCAATTTCTTTTTAAAATCGAAAACACTTAAGTCCTTTATCTTGATTGGTATCTTATTATATATTATTGGAGCCATACAAAAGACGCTATTTCGTATACGTGCCGTTCTTCCCCTGCGTATACATAGTCTTGAAGGGTCCCTCCGGTTACGAATAGTAACATCTGACAAGAGTGGAAATAATGTGGGGTTGTTTTTTACAAATACAGCAGTTTCATAAATATATAAGGAGGTGAGTGTCAGAATTTTTGCTGCTTTTCGTCCATTTTCCCACTAATTTAATTTTTAATCTTAATTGCAGATATTAGCACGTTCTAAAACAATATTCTTTATCGGTCGTAAAGGAGATAACAATAGACGTGCTTAAACATTGCTTAAGCGGGAAAAACTAATAAAATATCTTGAGATTTTCGTCGGTGTACTTAGTGGTTAAAGTGTTTGGGTAATCCAGAAGACGGGTTCGATTCATGCAGCGGTAAAACTTTTCGTCCATTTTTTTTAATGTTTCATCTTAAATTTTTATAGTTTACCCGTACGCCGCGGCCAGCTAATATGGGGACATGCGATAGATGGACGAAAAAATTTAAGGCGATGGAAAAATAAAAGTTAAAATTTAAACTCTAATTATTTACTTTCCTTGAAGATAAGACATTATATAGAATATAAAACCTAAATATGGGTAGCTTACTGTCCATCTTAAACATTGCTGTAAGAAGATTACTGACAGATGTTATTGAATATAGAAAAAAACAATATTGAAAAATCTTTACGTCAATCATTGAAAACATGAAAAAAATTCAACAAGTATAAATATTCAAAGCATTATATAATGATATAATTTTTGTCATCCACGAAAAGTGTTGAATATATTTATTATGGGTGAGTTGAATTATTTTCTAGTATTATTTATTATTGCAGTTTTTATATTTAATAGTGTGCATCTCTGATTTGACTGACAACTATAACAAAGAAGCCAATTAACTGCCACTCATAAATCTGGACTCGAAGATCCCATGATATCAAAGATAAAATAGGGTACTGTTTAAGTATAGAAGTCTAGTTGTGTTTACTACATACAACTTTAAAAAATTAATTTCTTCTGTTGCACAAACTCGTTTTAAAAAGGTTTTTTTTTTTCATTGTCCTTCTTTTCACGAGCACTCGTTTTTTTGCCATTACCGCTCTTTATTCATTTAAATTTCTAAATTATTTTTTCTGTTAACTTTAGTGTAAAAACTGAAGCTGAAGGAAGTTCTGGGTAAATTACCAGAGGGGAAATATAACATGAGCAAATATTGTGAGTACTCTCTAATGCTTCATTACTTATATCGCGTGTTTACCGCTATAAAAGATATATTTATATTGATGACGTTGTTTTATCTCCGGAATAACATTAAAATGTGTTTAAAAATCATAGGTAAGTCCTAAAATTTATTGATTCAGGTAATTTTTTTACATGAGTGGCAGTGAATTAGGCTTCATTACGTTTTAAGATACGTTTATTTATAAACGGTGTCTATTGCAGATTAAAAACTGTGCCGATGGCTCCTGTAATACACCCACCGTGCACTCCTTCAGCGTCATGCGCACCAGTGCGTTGCCACCCCACACCGCCACCATGTCAAAATCCAGAAAAATGTCTGAAGAAAACTACTTCCAAAGGCATGAAGCCCTGCCGGAGCGCAGTCTCCATAATGGCAACAAGGTCTAAGGCAAGATGCACAAGCTGTGGAAAATTTAAGGGTTCTTCCGATCCTAGAAACGTTAAAGAGATCGAAAAATTTCTTAAAAGAAAATCTAAAGAAGCAAAAATGAAAAAAAAGGATAGACTAACTGGTAGTCAAAGTTACACAAAGTATGTGAGGAAACAGGGCAAGCCTAGGTCCAAGACCCAATGTTGCGCTGGAAAGGGACATAGAGGAAGACTTAAAAAGAAAAAGTGCTGTGAAATTTTATAAAATCTTTAATGGAGTTGTCATTTATAAGAAACTTTATGTTGTTGATTTATATGGAATTGTTATTAATTGAATAAATTCTGATTACTTGATCTGTAATTTCTACAAGAGTATACTGTAATAGTAAAAGACAACCTATCCTTACAACCTGGTCGTCATAATGATATATATATCGCAAATAAATAAAATAGTAACTTATTTAAACAAGTGATTTCATTTTCTTGTTGAACAATCTTATTCTGTACTATTTGATATTTTTATTTGGTAATTATTCCAAAGTTATTCAGATGTTTTTTTTTCCAAATTTCAGCCGTATATTCTACGAAAAATTTGAAGCCTTGCGTATCCGAACCGACATGTAGTGTACATAAACATCGACCCCGGCCTGCTCCGTGCCCGCAGCCGGACAAGTGCTACAAGAAATGTATCAAGCGGAAAAGCAAATGCCCCAGCGCCACAGAAACAGTCAGCAGAGCTGGTTTGCCATGCGACTGCGCTAGGCTTCAGTCCAAAGAGTCGAGACTCAGTAAAAAGCGGTCGCACAGAACCCACAAAAAACGGATCCGTAAAGCATATAAGACAAGGTCAACGGCGTCACGGTGGCGTAAAAAGAAAAAGTGCTGCACAATTTTATAAAATATCACTCGAATCATCTACATAAATGTAAATGAAAACCTGTAGCCATCGTTGTAGTCACAATGATATACAATGAACATTGAAACCTCATTTTTGTTATAAGAAAGTATTTTTAGTATCAAATACCGTGGAAATGTTTGATTATTTTAAATAGATAGAACAAGAAAATAATAAGATTTAGTTTCATTTTCTAGTCAATTGCTTGTTAATTCGATAATTGATTGTTAAACTTAAAATACATTAAATTAGGTTTTCCGCGATTTGTGACATTCCGTACGTTCTGTGAATACAGTTCCTAGTTTCAGGTTCAAAAAACAAGCAGGAGATTATCGTTTATGCTTTCATAAAAGAGCATAAACGCTCGGGCATGAACTAAGGCTGGCGACTAAAAAGCTTGGTATCTTCAATAAAGCAAGACATTATTTCCTACTGGGCGGGCCAATCGCCCGCTCTAACTGTTCAAAATCTAATATTTGAGCTAGGGGACCGCGATATAGCTCTTGCCTCTTTCCTTTTCCAATATTAAGCTGCTCTTATTCAGCATCTTTTTCAGTCAATTTTTTTTAGGATATAGTAGTTTTAAGCTCTTATTGAATTCGGAAACTCTGCGATCTTATATTTTTTTTATTCATATAATATAGAAAATTTGTTAAGTATGAAATCTGCAGCCAGTGTACAGCAAGAGTCATTTTTCAATTTCCACACATTTGTATTATTTTACTAGTTTAGCATGGGGACTGCTTCAAGAATCAGTCGAATAGTCCCCAAGTGTGGAATCAGTCCGGTTCGGTTTCAATAGAGCCTATTTCTCTTAATTTCCGTAATATAAATTTTCATAAACGATCGTTCGACATCAATATGTCTCGTGATTAAATTGGGATTTCATCATTATTTTCATTATCACTTCCTCTAGACCCGTTAAACTATCAAATCGCCATCTGATATTATGCCCTTGGATCGTGTCCGAAGATGGCATCGATATTTTATGGCATTATGCATTGTTATTACTTCATATAATTATATATTTATTATTATAATAAAACTACTCAAAACATATAACTATTGGCAAAAGTAAATCACCGAGTCAATATAATGATAGTGATAATATTGTTTAATTAATTTTCAAGAAGATATTGATTGATTAAAATATGTAGAAAATGTTCAATCTTAAGTGAAAAGATTAGCACTAACAATTAAAATTTCTAAAATAATGATTTTTTAATCTGTATTTTATTTGCCGGTTCATGGGATGTGATTTCTTTTATCGATAGAACATGTTCAGATAAAAAATTCCGTTACGATTAGTGTAAGTACTTTTAGAGAGACATAATTACTGATTTCATTATATCTGTCTTGATATATTGTTTAAGCTTAGGTAACAATTTACTTTATACATTTAAAACTTGCCGTGATTACTATCTACAAACCATTAATGAATACAAAACTATACGAAATTATAAATTTGAAAGAATTTTGTACTAACACACAGTCTCTTTATAAAGTTTATAATTTTGTTATCGTGTCTGTGTCCAGTATATTTCAATCAATTCTTTTAAAAGATGATTAAGCTAATAAAATAATTATTTGAGAGTACGAATTAACAAGCTGGATGAAAATCAAATTTCGTACAATAAGCTATTGTTGCTATCAATACCATTAAAATTTACTAAATGAAAATAAAAACTTCTATAGAAATTTGACCGATGTTCTTTACGTTAAAGTTAATCTTTAAATTTTTAGAATTATCGATATCGACACGAGTTAATGTTGAGTGTTGACGGCTCTATACAGCATTATAAAATTATGGCAGCGTAGTATGTGCATGTTACCGATTTCCGAAAAATTTGCATTCGTACTTTTTCTTTTAGTTAAAATAAATTGCAGTACAAATGGTCGCGAATTAAAATAGAAGCCTACTGTAAATAATTCTCACAACAATTCGGCATTTTTCATAGCCTTTCTTGAAATTTCAAGTTTCATTGGAGTTGCCCTGGATTATTGACGTTTTATGTGCCTATAGAAAATAAGCTTCCGAATGCTGTTTGTATCGATGTTAGTTCTGATTGTGGGTTGTGGCCGTGCGGTGTAAATTTCTAGTAGGACTAGTACTTCAAAGAAATATTGGATATTGTGTAAAGTGCAATATTGTGATACATTTATTTCGTTATGTGCTACGAATTGGCACTGATGTGGCAAACCGGATCGCATCGAGGTGAAGAAAACGTGACGCTTTTATAAGGTCAGTATCGGTTTTCTTTTCATCTTATATGAGACAATTTTAACATTAAAAAAAAGCTATTAATTTATCAATTTTAAATTAATATTTGTTTTGGTTATTACATACTTTAGCACAGTACCTAAATAATTTTTTTTAATAATTTTGAATGTATTTTACGTTAATTAATTTCCTTTAGATATATTATATTGTGTTTAATATATGGTTCTGTATTTGAATTTTGTGATTGATCAAACTGCTTTACGAAAATATTTTTTTTTAATAAATCACAGCAAATATAACAAATATTTATAACCTATTACAGTTTAGAAAAAATTGCCATTTCCATATTTACTCACCAATTTCTGAAGTAGTGAACTCTTCTAAAACTCTGTCTTTAAATCTTATTTATCTTTTAAGTTTCTTATGTTATTACATATAAATGTATTTATGCATGGAAGGTGGCACCTTTCTTCTGATATATGAAATCCAAAAATTTCAAATATAGTTATGAACAATTTCCATTGCGTTTTATAGCATAACAAGAAAACAAACAAAACAACAATAAATGAAGACACATAGAGAAGATAGCTTTTTAAAATTGTATTAAACATTTACATTCTTTAAACATCAATATTAGAACACCCTGACGTATAAAACTGTAACGTAAAGTTCATTTGAAAAGGTCACAAAGCATAGGAATGGGTTGAATGAATTTAAAAGAGATAAAACATAATTTTAGGAGAGACTTGTAATGCGACACTGTGGCAACAAATGAAAAAGTCTCTGAATGTATGAATTAATCAGTTGTAGTTGTATAGGATGTTAAAAATTTTCTCCTTTTTATTTAATTAGTTTGTTTGAAAAATATTTTTTTTTAATTATGGATTTTTTTAAATGTTTATATTTTTTATGATTATTGGCAAGTAGCGTTAGACGTGTGTTCGTTTATTGTCGCGGTTGTAACGACACACTGTATATTTTTGTGTATTTTATTTATTTTTACACCTAATACTTTTATCTACACACCACTTAATAGGTTGACTGGTAGAGAATGTCTTAGGCATTAAGTCCAAGTATACACAAAATTTCCCGGACACGGAGCTATCACAAGCCGTGATAGCTCAGTGTCAAGGCTCTCGCTTTTAATTCAATATACTTGAGCAACCTGAGTTTGATCCCCCGTGCCGGCACAAATGAAGTTTTTAACTCTAAGTGCTGACTTATCACATGCTCCACGGTGAAGGAAAACATTGTGAGGAAATCTGCATATTTTCGAAATAATAACAGAAAAAAATATATTTCGAAGATATGTGAAGTCCACCAATCCGCAGTGGGGCCGCGTGGTGGACTATGCCCTGATTCCCTCTGTATAGGGGCTGGACATGTATAGGCTGTTACTTTACTTTTATACACAAAATTTGTGTAAAATTTAAATCGGGTATTCTGAATAATAAAACTTGTGTTAAATTAACAGAAAGAAAGATTCACATGATGAGCTTTCCAAGCAGACACTTTTTCTTAATTATTACTTAATGTGGTCAGTAGTATTAATTTGAAAATTAAACTAAACTTAGGAGAGGAAAGATATCAAAAGTTCCAACAACTAAATATTTGGCAATAGTGTGATGTTTAGAACGCATACCTTTTAATAGGATAAAGCAAATACATTTAATAAAATGGCAACATGTTAGGGTAATTATGTTTTTAATATCATAAAATTATCTTCTTAAATGTTGTGATCCTGTGATCTATTATTGGCCATATAACTTATTATAATATTAATCAAATTCATACACTTTTAAATTAACAAAAGGCTTTCTTGCTTGCATATATTAATTTTTTTGTGAAAGTTATAATACTATCAAATCTAACCCTCTATGTTAGGCTAACATTATCTTGTTGTTAGGATTTATTACATACACAAATTTCACATGGGCCAACATCAAGATCCAGATCAATTATTTGCAGGTAACACAAATACTCTGTGGTAATTGAACCCATAACCCTGGGCAATAAAACTTATAGCTTAGCAATTATTTACATGAACTTCTCATTTTATATAAAACCTTTTTTGTGGAAAGGGTAGAATTTTTTTATCAATTTGAGTAAATGCTAATTTACCCATTTATATGTAATAATATAATATAAGACAGCAGTTTTAATATGTTAAGTAAAATTTATTTTTTATTTATATTAAAAGTAAATGACTTTTACATTTTCGTAAAAAATTACGTGTCTGACTATCAGTAGTTCATCTTTGCGTTTGAGAGGGCGGGTGTAACGTGTCCAAGTGGAAAGGAGTCACCCTTTGTGCCACCCCATATTGAGCACCCTTTGCTCCGTTTACAATGACTGCGTACAAACTGTGCTGCACACACGACTCGCTCTAGAGTCAGTGTTCATACGTCATAACCTTAACAATTGGGATTAAATGTCCAATATGCCCAATACGGATTAATAATTTGAAAATAATCGTTTTCAATAACAAGTCCGAAATGTATAATTATTCGTATCATGATTTTACTTCACTGAACATTGTATTTTAAAATGTGTTAAATGTACCCAATTTAATTTAATCTACATCAGAAGTAAGCAATGTTGAATGGAAAAAAAATGTTGTAAGAATATTTTATCTATAAATTTCAGGCATAGGTAACAAAGAAAGTTTAAACATTGTATACTTAGACATTTTTCCTTTTGGTGAGACCCAGCATAGCATTAGTTACAGGTAGTCGACGATTACGATAAAATATCCATTGTAAATACGTCGACTGGTGAAGTTAGCGTATGCTACAAAGTTTCCTTTGGCGAAATATTGACTGGACGTAAAATGAGGATGAAACCGTCTGTAAAGAAGCCAACAGTCAGTCGACTCCAATAGTCAATCTAGTCTGGTATTACTCTCAGTTGCTTTTTATCATAATTTTTTAACTTTTCATAACATTGTTGTGAGTTTCATGCTCTACTGGCTTAAAACTTTAGTCTCTGATACGAAACTTCCTAACTTGTTCCAATCTTGCATAGAGTCACGCATCAAAACAATAAACAGGGCTCAGCTATATTTATTTTAACACCTCAGCTCTCTTCAAGCCTACACATTCAGCTTCACATTCGGCTACACCCGGATCTCATTTAGCTCTTAATTAGCATTAAATTATTCCTTCCGTGTGATTGATTTTCAAAGAATAATGATAACAGTCATCATTAACTCATTCTTCCAGTGTAAATCGAAATTGTAGTGCGGTAGGCCCACACAGCAGCTACTGCTGTCGCACGAATGGGCAGGCTCGTCTGGGGTACCACGGCCAAACAGAAGACCGGTGTGAAATGAAAGAGAGGTAACTTTCTAAAAGTCGTCAACGCATTTGCAATCCCTGGGGAATTGTAGATGTCTATGGGCGGCGGTAATCATTTACCATCAGGTGAACTGTCTGCTCGTTTGCTACCTCTTCACTTTGAAAAAAATTGATAGAAAACGATAGCCTGAAGCTCGCGCAAGTGCATCAAGTATCTACGTAAGTTCTCTGTACGTCTATCTCGATACCTGGGGTGACTGACTGGACCTTGAATTATTGTCAATCGAACCACATTATTATGCTTTCAATTTAGGTATATTCTCGAATACTCTAGCTGATTCTCTGACTTGAGCCCTGGATAAAATTATTAAACCATTAAGAATTCATAAATGATTAAGATGAATCTATAAAAATTTAACCTGCATTATAATAAATGCAATGGAACTTCTTTCGTTTCATTATCCATTTATAGGTAGAGTAGTAAAAAAGGTTAAAGATGCAGCGTCGTAAACCAGGCAAATTTTGACTTTCAGTTATAGGCTAGGAGTGGCCTCCCTTATTGCCCAGTTTCACATAATATCGAATTTCTTCACGGCTGTTGAGGACAGTGAAATTGCTCATGTCAGACCTTGTTCTGACGACAAGAATTTAAATGAACATTTCAATATAAACTATGCTAGTCAGTCGCCCAGTCAAGAGACACGGTTGAACTTCTGATGAATGCCTCGTTGACATTTCGACTTTCGAATGTAACACGGCAATAATGTATGTATATGGTTCGCTTAACACCTATTTTTGCGAAGCACCCATCATCAGCTGTTATTATATACAAGCAATCTCTGAAAAAAAATGTTGCATTACTTTATTCCGAAAAACGGATGTACGTATCGACTAAAACAACGTTTGTTCTTTGTCCTTTTAATCAAACTAGTGGTTGCCCAATGGTCGAAATCGATCATAATTAATTGTACAGTCATGGATAGTGCGTATAATGTTTTTTTTTATTGATTTAATGTATTATTATGCATAATTTTAAAAAAATATTAGCATTCTGCACTCCTTCTCTAGATCCTCACTTCCTTACTAATATTATAAACGCGAAAGTTTGTATGAATGGATGGATGTTTGTTACTCTTTCACGCAAATACTACTGAATGGATTGTAATGAAACTTTACAGTAATATAACTTATACATCAGAATGACACATAGGCTATAATTTATATACACATTTTCATGTAAATCTGTCTTTCTGTGTGAATGTTACGCCTTCAACCTATTCTACGTAGACTACACGAACTATAAGTGGGAAATGTTATACTCCTCCGTCCGCGCAATTTTCGTGAAAAGGGGTACAAAGTTTTTGCTTTACGTGTTTAATATACAGATATATTATCATCGCCGTTTTACAAAATCACATTGTATATACATTTATATTATAGAAATTATTAAACACACACTTCTTAGATTATAGGTTTCCAATAGCTTAACAGTCCCCTCTAGGATTGTGTAAGTTGGCCGCGCAAGTTTGCGAAAACGTCTACTAACTTCATGCATGACTTATTAATGGGAATATTGATTTTCAGTCAGGTCGTGGAAAGTAGTTCTTCTGGTTACTAATATTAAATATAAAAATACTAGCTGCTGCCCGCGACTACGTCTGCCTAGATGTGTGAAAATTTAGGGTTGTATGTATTTTTGTATGCTGTACCATAAAAAAATAAAAACAAAAATTTTATATAAAAAAATTTAAAAAAATTTAGGGGTCCCTTAACATTTACGTTGTCCGATTCTGCACCCTCGCCGATATGCACACAAAATTTTACGAAAATCGGTCGAGCCGTTTCGGAGGAGTTCAATTACAAGCACCGTGAGACGAAAATTTTATATAGGTATTACATATTGCTGTTTTAATTTAAATCTGGAATATGACGCTTACGACGGAGTTTCAATATGAAATTTAAAAGAAAAAAATATTTTTCGCTTCTTCTGTTCCTTATGTTCCATAGCAGATGAGGTTACATGTAAGTTCTACTATAAGTATATGATATAGAAACGATTTTTAAAGAAAATATATTTTTGTTTCAATATGAGAAACTAAAAATTTTTCATAAGATTGTATGCAGCGAAGACGTTATAATGCTGATAAGCAAATATTTGTAACACACATCTATTTTTATCTATAAAATTCCATTCATATAACGGTTGCGGTATACTATGCAGCGGCTAACAATACACGCTACAAGTTTAAGGTTTCGTATAAAAACTTATATACATATTATTATTCCGTTAGATACGGAAGGTCAAGTGAGCTTACGATGAAACTCTTCAGTGTTGGCGAGATACTCTTGCTAATAGGTAACTTGGCCATTAGACAAACCCGATGTTCGAAGTCTGGAGGACTTTTTTATGTTATAAGTATTTTATTTTTAGTTTTTATGTCAGTAAAAACGTAGCATAAGTCATGAGTGTAGTTTCTAACAGTCTTAATGCGTTATTAATATTTTTGTTAAATTCATTGATAAATAAATAAATAGAAGTCAGCGTGTAATTTTTCAAATTACGTAACTATTTATTTTTAAGTTTTACTAAAAAATTCTGCGAGGTAATACGTATTGTTCTATTTTTTATTTTATAAAAAGTTGTCAAGCGAGCAGGCGGTTCACCTAATGTTAAGTGAATACCGCCGCCCATGGACATCTACAATATCTGATGGCTTGCAGATGGGTTGACAACATTCAAAAAGTGGGCTCCGGTTACCTCACTCAGATGAAACGCGAAAATTTAATACATGTACTTCACGCCGGTCTTCTGTGAGACCGTGGTACTTTTCCAAACGCGCTTGCCCATTCGTAGGTGGCAAAAGAACACGCCAACTATAACATCCGTGAGATACGATGCAGAATCCGCTGCTAAGCTCAACCGTAGCGTCGTATATATATATATTTTAATCCCAATGTGTACTCTACGAATTACGGTCCGAATATACGGTGGTGGTAACTCAACGCGTGTTCCAGATGGGAGAGCGCGCGCGGCGTACGGGCGGGCGCGCGGCGTCGGGTGACACGCGTTGCGCCGCACTCGCGGCCACCAGCGGCTTGCCTGTTGTCCAGTAAGTGTCGACTTGTACGGCCCACCCCTCAAGTCCACAACGTTCACTTCCCGTCGGAACAGGATGCACGCGCGGGAAGCGGGTGTCGTGCAAGGCGGCGTAGATTGAACAATACAAGTTGAAAGACTATTTAATGAAAGATTATATTCTATATATTTAATTTTCATGAGCTTCTTAAGTTAAGCATGACTTGCGCATAAGTCAGCGGGCCATTGGGTGAGCAGTTCTATGGGGTACCCGTCGGTGTCGACGCAGTAGTATACGTCACCAACGTTCTGGTTGGGACGGTAGTTGCCATTGGCCAGGCAGACCTCCGTCACGGTCATTCCACGCTCCGGGAAGTACATCATGGTGTCTCTGGCGCAGTCTGCAAATAGAAATATTTACTTCAACGTCTTTCTTCATATTTAACTATTGTGATACTCTAAGAATAACGGAAGCAGTTTAGTGAAAGTGAATTGACTCAGTAATGTTACGTGTAACGCAAATACTGTTTGATCAAAACATAGACATAAATATAGCATATTTTACTTTTTTTAAATCACGCCAAAATAACTATTGAGAACATTTAGATACAAAGTACAAAGTTCCATTTCGTAAATAACTTTAAAAAATATTCAAGCCCTCTTTGATGGAGATTATTAAGCTTCCAAAGGCTGACAGGTGATGAACCTGTCACAGTACAACTGGTGTAAAGAGGCAGGTGGTGTAAAACACTGGCATTCGAATGGGTGACCTCTAAACTTTAGATGTAGCCATTAGACAACTAGTAAAATATATTACACTACAGACGTTGTCCTGTACACACGACTTATGTCCGACAACTTATTAATAAAAAAAAATTATAATGGACCGCATTAAATCTAAACCATTCGCAAATCGACCTGAAGACACACAAGAATTTCGTTAAATTCAGTCCAGCCGTTTAGGAAGAGTTCAGTGACAGAGACACGTACAGAAGAAATATATGTATATATAAAGATAATACTGTAAGGATAAGAAGTTGATGATTCAATGTTACTTTAACGTTCATTAATAAATAATGAATTAATTTATTACTTCATAATTCAGCATTTGTTTGCCCCGGATAGGATTTTCATAATTTACAACTGTTTGTATTTTGGACTAGAAAATATCGCGAAGTACCCTAATACTGCATTAGTATCGTTTTACTATTTATCTCACATATCGGATCGAAAACGTCTTTTAGATATTTTACGAAGTAAACGGTTCAAAGGGGGAGGCCTATGTTCAACAGTGGACGTCTTGCGGCTCATGATGATGATATGACGAAGTAAATGAATAAGCAAACAAAGCTGGAGTTTTGATTATGACATTATTAGAAGTCACTAGCGTGGAGTAATTGCTGATAATCACAATGAATCGTATCCATTAGGTAGCGAACGTAATTACATCGTGTTCATTTTATTCGGTCTTTTTTCGTTAGCACTTCGTAAATTTAATGTCTGTAATTAATCATGAGCGACCGTCACTTAATTAGTAATTCATTAACATTCATAATGTGATTTTATATATGAGACAATCTAACGGCAAACAACGGTCGAATACGGTGAAAATACATGACAAGGTTTTAATAATTTTTCGTTGCCTTTTTGAATAGCAGTTCACATAGGTGGGGTTGGGAGTAGGCTGTTTATTATTATGTCCGTAATAGAACTTTATAAAATCATGCATTTCTTTTGAGCACCTAAGATTTATTAAATTATTACGGTCTTTTTTTGTGAACTCGCACTAGCCGTCATGTGTTCCAATGCCATTCAATGAAAAAAATGTATTTACAATATTTTTTTTAGATACTGAAAGGCAGTCATACAAAGTTTATGGCCAGCAACCTTCTTTGTCGCATGAGTAGTTTCGAAGCGTATAGAGAACGAACATAAGAACTTAAATTTTAAATTTTTAACATTATAGGAAAATTCGAAGTATGCACAAGTCATGCACGAGTGTCAAATATTATTTTCGCGAGCTCACGGAGATCAGTTCCCCTTCCAGTATGTAAATCGCGGACGGTCTCTCGAATTCGGCAACTGTTGCAATTGGCGACATTCTCTCGGCATTCCGCCACAGCACGGCGGCGGAATGAATGGAATCAGGTATATGTCGGTAATGGGGTCACGGTCGAAAACCGGTCGCGGCGGTCGATCCGCGCTGCCTGCGTTTGCGCTAACGGTATTCTCAGCGACGTTCTTCCGCTTATCTGTTGCCTGTGCTAATGTTGTAATGAAGTGTCACGAGAGGACGTCGTTATCGAATTACATTTTTTTAAAATTATAATATTGTCTTCGTACATCTCACTCACTGCGCATAACCTATTCGATTTTGAGCTGTTACCTGGTGTACCTGCCAAATCTATATTCCAATGCCAATTAAAATGGGTGCAAGGTAAAAATACGACAAAAAAAAGAATCTTCTAAATCGATTTATAAATGAGTTCCAAAACTCTCCAAACGTAAAAAAATACAATCGAATTGAAAACCTCCTTCTGAAGTCAGTAGAAAATAAGACCAACTGATTTCCCTTCATGTCTTGGGTTATTAAAATTAAAAAAATCCGGAAGATAGCCGATTTTCGTTTCCGTGTTTTAGAAAGCACGAGTTGATCGTGGAACTATCCTCGATTAGACTAGGTCTTAAGACTTTCCTTTGGTTACGTATGCAAGGATATTTGATACGGATATGGAATTAAAATATTTTTCTCCACTTTTACGAATTAACTACGATTTCTATAGTTGGTTACTTTCTTAATTAGTTCCGCGACCATGGTTGCTGCAAAATACTCGATGCGTCGGGAATTGGAACTGAAAACTATAAGCGATTAGTTCGACATTTTGCTTTATTGGATATTCCAAGCAGTTAATCATAAAATGAACACCGCAATATTCGCACGTATGTGGAGAAATCGACTCTCATAAACGGTAGATTATGATAGTAATACATGCGATGGTATAAAAGATCTTGGTTACACACAGCCACGCCTGGAGTTTAGAAGTATGAACTATGAATATATTTAAGACTAATTTATTACCGTGGAGTTATTCTTGCTCTTTACGTGTCTAGGCTGCATCAAAATTGGCAGGTATCTTCAAGAGATTTATAATCTTTTCTTTGTCACGTTTTTTTTATTTTAACAACCTGGATAGTTTTATCTGGTTATTTTCGGCATACAAAAGTCGCGTATATCAAATAGATTAGGCATTTGCTTCAGTCATTTCCTAATTTGACTTTGCTTTTAATTGCCAGAAATAGATTTTTGTACATTGATAACTAAGCACATTAAGTCAGCGTTAATTTAGTTCTAAAGATGTGCTTTCTTTGAACGGATCTGTCGGAAGGTTTTTATTTTATTTCTGTAATTTATAGTCAATAGATAATTAATGATTCATTTTGTTGTTTTAAATTATACAAGCAAATTTAATTAATAATTAATAAAAAAGACAGCATTATAATTAACTAAGAAATGTATGACATATTGTCGGTGAACTTTGGCAGTGCTCTCTACTCCATTATTAACTAAATTCGTAAATTAAAATTTTATTAAACGGTAAGTGGGATTTGCTTATTATTTTTCTACATTTGAACGTATTTAAAAGATTTTCTAATTTTCAAACGTGACCTTTTGCGATGTTTAGAACCTGTAAAATTAACCAAACTCGAAGAATATACTTACTACAATTCATGCCTGCCATTTCACTGGATACGGTTTGCCAAGAGCCAAGAATTTCACCGTGGCGATCAGTGCAGTAGGCTCTAAAAGAGTAAAAAGATATTATTTAGCATTTCTGACATAATCAGACGTGACAGAATTCATTAGTTAATTGTAGTTTAAAGTAAATATAAACTTGTAACGGGTCCTACCAAATGTACTTACATCCCGTTTCTGATTTGGTATGGTCCAAAGCTACCATCGTAATCGCAGAAAGTTATAGGATTACCCAAGAAATTGGTTCCATGCTCTGATTGTTCTTTGTAAATGGTGTTTAACGCTTGGACAACACTCTCGCACCTCCTCAAGTATTGTTCGCCGATTAGTCCCACGCTGTCTGTAATTTTTTAAAACTAACTCACGGTCCAAGTTCCAATTTAAAATGATTATTGAGGAAAAGCATATTTTATAGAGATTAGATGTAGAATTTGGTGGGCGAATTGATTAACCTCTTTTTTTATTTCAATGTTTCCCGCCGTCTCGCAGTCCATAAAAGTTATTAACATTATAAGAATTAAAGTTTTCGATTATGATAAACTAGATAATAACTACAGATGTTTTAAAAAAGATTCATGCATATAAAGGCCAATGTTAGCATCCGGATGGGTAGGTAGATGTGGGTTCAATGCTCTTCATACATCTCTTTTCCGTCATGAACATTTCAAGTAATTTAACGAGTTTTCAATTTACATGTATAATATCTTTGTACTTAGGATGCATTATCATAAGTACCTGGAGGACCGAGCTTTGCTCGGTTTTTTTTGGTAAATCATATATTTTGGAAATAAAAAAAATTAAAAATGAAGAAAATGATCTGGTATAGAAAAAAAAGTAAAAAAAATAAGTGTGTAAATGATCGTGATACGAACCACGGCCGTCTGTTTTGGGGCCGCTCGATTACCGACCGAGCTATTATAACATTTTATTTTGCGGCGAAATTTACTGTCATATTCGAATGATATTTTTCATTCCCTGAAAACAGGGATTCAAAGACATTTTCTAAAAACAAAACCTAGCTAGATCGATTTTTCGCCCCCGAATCTACGCACATACTAAATTTCATGAAAATCTATGGAGCCGATTCCGAGATTCCGATTATATATATACAAGAATTGCTCGTTTAAAGGATAAGATTCATTAATGAATTGTGATAATGCTCACTTCCTTTCTTTTATCTCATTGGTAAAATTATGAGACTATGTTTCGTGATGAATCAACTGAAATGTTCAGTTAACTTTGCGTCGAAATTGTTCGGCCACACATTTTATCAAGTTAAATTACCCAATAGCAATAAAGGTGCCCTTTAGCTTATGAAATTATTAAATCTCGCATTGGAACAGTTTGTTTTAATCCAAGATTTGTTAGTAAGATTTGATAATTACCAGCCATCAAGGTTTATACTTAATTACAATATTAACTTTTATAGGTTTAAACGATTTTTCAACTAGAATTAGGCTTTAGTTTGTTAATCATCCAGCTGTCTTGAGTTCTACCACGTGTAGAACTAAACGCGTATCTGTTTAGTCATACATGCATACACGAGACATGTCTGCGAGGAAACACTTAAAAAAAAGAACATTTCCTTATCGCGTCGCGGGTGCATGTCGCTTTACGCGATCCAGTTGATGAGGTATGTTTTAATACAATACACACAGCAAGGCAAGTGCTTCATGTCCTCTTGAGGCACTGGCTGGACAGTCGGCTGGCCGGTCCTGGGTTGCGCGCACCAGCACATGCCATCGTCGCACTGCAGCGGCTCGTAATCGCCGGTGGGGGTGCAATGTAGGCCGACAACGCTCCTTCCAGAAGCTTCTAATTCGCTCCTCCGGCGGCTGCAAGCTGCAATTAAGAGTTCCTTGTAATCTTTCAACACTTTTGGCCTCTGTACGGCCGACAGTTTCGCTTTCCGTTGCGCCTAATAACTTGGCAGGTAGTTGTTTTTATATGTTATCTGTTATCTAAAAATAATATAGGATGAAAAAATAATATTCGAAGACCTCTAGAAGGTTTAATCTATCTTTGATAATGTTACGGAATACAACTTTTTTAAGATATGAGTAACCAACATGTTGATAAAATTTTCTCTTAGGAGGTTAAAAGAATCCAAGTTAACAAAATATATAGTTTCAATTCATCATTTTCAATCTCTCCCACTAGTTTGTCAAGATATAAATATGCAATAGGTTATACAGACATTAGGTTCAAATGTGTAAGCGTCAACGTACCGCAAGTCATTTCACTCGCTTCACTCCGCCACATTTGTCCAAATATTCTGTTCCCATTTTCGTCTGAGCAGAAACATCTGTGTACAACGTAAATATGAAATGTAAACAAGATACAAGCGATGCAGTGCGCTCTGTGGCGCTTCTTTGTGCATTAAGTCACTGTATCAACATCATAACATTGCTCTCGCGCTCGCGTTGGTGGAACGCGTGGTTCATGTAAACGTTAATATCAATTATACGGTAGATCCTGCATACTTTGACCTTCGACTCAAAGGAAACTTATTGTGTAAGAGCAACAGCAGCTTTCGTAACTACAACCTTGAAATATTTTGCTTCTCGTCCGGTCGGCGAGGTAACCGGAGTCCGTTCTTTCAGTGGTTGGCAAGTTGGTGATATTGATTCTCTTTCGAACAAAAAAGAAAAAAAAATAGTGCGCCTTCCCCAATCTGAGCCGTTGACAAATCACAATTTATATTTATGACCTCAGCAACTCACATCGATGTTTGATGTTACTACCTTTGTATTCTATTCAAATGAATAAATTATCTCAATACCTCGAAACCAACAAAATAAACGAGATTTAAAAGTAATTTCTGCGCATGTGCAATAAACATTTCTTTATGTTTACGTCATGTCACGAATTGTTAATTTCCTGATATGACGTAAACATAAAGAAATGTTTCAATATCATGTAAGATTTTTTTTGTATTTCTCAACTATACGATTTATGAATGCTTACATTGACTCTCATATCAAGGAAGCTAAAGTCCGAAATCTATAGGTAAATTTCTGCAATGTGAAATACTCTTCCTTATGGTTCCCTCCTCGTTCCTCGCGTGTCCCCTCAAACTTCGAGATATCGAGTTTTCACTGTATGAATTATAAGTTAATGCTATATTGAATAAAGATACTTTGAAGAAGTTCGATATCACGTAAAAACGGAGCTATTGATACAATCGCACGTATTAAAATCGCGTTTCAACGGCAATGGTTTGTAAAACTACAACGGTTTATAAAACTGGTCAGCACCCACCTTCCGGTGAATAAATCGCCTTTGCATTGCACAGGCGCGTACCGTCCGTCCGGTAAGCAGCTCGCCGGCGGCTTGCACAATTGATCCAACTCGGGCCCTGCGTTCGTACGAAGAGTTCAGGTTTCACTCGATATCAATGCGATTCAAATGCCGTGTACGAAACGCACATGTTAATATGAACATTTTCGAAACGAGAAGTAGCGGCGAAAGGTGATCCATTAACGCCTGCATGAGACGTTGTAAAGCCTGTATGTTCTAACTACCAAATGACGCAGCTATGCTTATGATAACATTAATTACACAGATATTTGCGAATGTGATCGATTGTGGTATGAGGAATGTTCACGGGTTTGATATTGATGCGTTAGTTAATGACAAATAAAACAAGGAATGTAATGTACGATTTCGAGTAAAAAATTAGATAGAGCAATATAATAATGGTATTTAAATACTAAATTTGAAGAAATAACACACAAAACAATTTTATATAATGCCGATTTTTTAAAGTTATCTATATATAGGCTATTTTTATTCGACTTTTTGATGGCCTTTAATAAATACAGCCCGTCGTTGCTTTTTTCCTAGTATAGATCCAGCATAATAGACGTTTTACCATTCACGGTTTACAAAATGTAGCTAGATCAAAACAAACATATCGTACGGTTACTGATATGTCTATTCGGTTCTATTCACTGACCGATCACTTGTTCAAATCTAAAATTTGTCAAAACTTATCCGAATTGGAAGAGTATTTGATACTTGTAATACAGCAACACCATCGTATCAGTTGTGATGCGGTTTGTATCCACGAAAGCGTAGAAACTCTAAATAAGTCGGTTTATTTTTAGAGACCCCGCGTAGACGAGGCCTACTATTGTCGCGTGCCCCAATTCAGTTCGTACCGGGCGCTCCAGGCGGCTGGCAGCTGGGGCAGCAGCCGAATATGTGGCTGTTCGGCCTCAGGACCTGGTTGCCGAAACAGTCGTCATCGGTGATATCGGTCACGCACACCTGAGCGATCTCGCACTGTTGTCCGCAAGTCTGCGCCACAAAACTGCTTAAACCCAACACAAACAAATACACGGAGACGAACATAATACAACGTAGTAATTGGGCGCGATAACTTATAATGACTGAAACGATTAATGTATCTTATTGAATATTTTATCTTTCACTCCACCTGCGATAATCTTATCATATATTTCGCTTTAAATATGGTTAGTCTTTGTTTGATATCGGTAGATTATTTTTGTAATGTTATATTTTTTTTACCTTCCTCTTTCTTTAACGCTAATTTATATACTTTCATGTAATATACATTATAGAACTGCAATTTTAAATGAATCTAAGGAATTATTGTGATACATTTAAAAAAAATTAACGTACAAGGTGCTATACATTTTCCCAGAGAAATTAATGTCAACTCGTATCGTTCGCTGAGCATGAGTAAGTTGTTATCAGCGCTATCGCTATCTCAAGTTAAATTACACGATGAACTATCGAGCCCAGTCGGGCGCCGTCGTGTTGCGAGCGGTAGTACTCGTTTCGAACGCGAACCGCCTGCTTTCCTAGCGCTTATCTGATTTTATCGCTATATTTTCTTCTAATGAAACCGCGGAACGTTTTCACATGCACAATAGAGTGTCATGTGTGCCCTGGGCTATTTTATGTACTCTGAATAATTCGTTTTCCAGGTCGAACTGAAACGGCCGTAACCGGCCAGCATGGAGGAGTGTAAGAAGCGAGTGCAAGGTACTAAAGTTTCCAAAATCGCGAACATATTCCAAGGGATGCCGTCGAGGGACGACGAAGACATGCGCGGCGCCGACGTGACCGTCGTGCGGACCGAGAGCCACTTGGCCCGTTTCAATAACGCGCGGGCGTTGTTCGAGAAGCTGGGCGAGGAGAACCGCGGGTTCCGGATCGAGAAGTCGCCCTCGGCGGCGGCCAGTTTCGCCGGCACCCGCGGCGGACCACCCGCGGTGCCGGCGCGCTCCAGGTCGAGCTCCGCGGGCTCGGTGAGCCCGCCGAGACCGAACGCCCCCCCCACCGCCGCGCCGCCGCCCGCCCTCAACGGAGACCGCCTCGCCAACGGAGCCGCGCAGCCGCCCCCGAAACCAGTCAAGCCGAGCGTCCTCCCCAAACCGGAGAAGCCCGACAGACGCTTCAACAAGGAGCTCATCGAAAAGCAAAGGAACTGGACCGCCCATTTCAACAAGCAGCGGCCGACGCGACACGATCACGAGAGGGCTGATCAGAAGCACCCCGCCGGCCATCAAGACAGAAGGTCCCCCGAGGCCCCCGAGAGATACGTCGTCCCCTCCCGGGTGTACACACCTCCGCTCTCGCCCGGCGCAGGGGACTCCCAAGTGGAGCGCCCCACAACACTCCCATCATCATTAGTTACCCGAGGCATACACGTTGCAAAGTCTCCTAGTCCCGTTAAATCAATCGCTCCCGTGTCGCCATCACCTAGGTCAAGTAGTCTAATATCACCCACCGCAAGAACTGATGTTCTGACCTCACCCGCAGCGAAAGTAGAACGTTCAATATCTCCGTGCAAGGACGGTGTCCAAAATTTCGGAGTAAACGAAAGAATTTCCGCCAGCAATCGTGCTTCCGTTATAAGTGAAACCGACAGTGATACGGGGCAAACGGAAACAAATAATGTTAACAACTACATGCAATATCACAGTTTCGCGCCAAAGCCAGTCGAAAGAATGGGACCACCGTCTCCTGCGCATTCGATGCCCGATCCGTTGCCTAAAAGGCCTCCGCCGTCGCCGCCGATACGGGTACCGAAGTCACCGCCGCCCCCTGTGCCCCAAGAGAAAGTCACACCTCCCGACGTTGCACCTTCAGTGCCCTTCAACAACGAAAGTCCTCCAGTCTTCAGATCGCCGCCTAAGTCGCCAGTGGCTTGCTTCGCGCCCGATGTGGACACAGGTAGAGTGTCGCCCGCGCGCTCCATAGCGGACACATGCGACGGTGCGCCCAAATCGCCGCAGAAAGGGAGGCACCCGGAAGCGGACACCTACGAGGCCCTGCAGTACGTCGAGGAGTGGGACGAGAAGACCAGAGGGAAACGGCGCTCGTCCACGCCCGAGTCTCCAGCGAGCGTTCTACCGGAAGACTCCAGATCGCCGCTCACCTCTCCGGCAGCGTCGCCGGTGCTGTGTGCCCCCTCAACCCCCCCGGCCCCCCAATCGCCCACACACTGTGAGTATACGATTGTTACTTTCTCATCACATTCACATTCGTCTATTTCACGCGAATGTATACAAAAAGTTCTTATCTGTTTTATTAGATGTTATCTTCGCTTTATCTACCATAAGATTTACCTTTGACGCATTCTTGTATTATTAGCCATATTTTAAATTCGCCTTATATAATAGGTGTACCGTGAAAACGAGTCGTTAGTTACCGTAATCTCAGGTTTGCAAGGTTTGAAGTTTTCACATTTATGGCCAATTATGGTACTCGGTATAATATCAGATGCGATGTCATATAATATGTTAAAGTATGGTTATATGAAAATAAGGTACATTGTCTCATGTATGTTTGTGTGCCGTTACTAAAAATCGTTATTAAAAAAAAACTTGCTACCGCATCACTCTGCGGCATAACGAAATAGGAAAAAAAAAACCGTTTTCCTAAGTTTACCGTGCTATTTTATTTGGCTAGTAACATATCGAAGAGCCCAAGTCGTTATTTTTCACGTCCTAAAAAAAGCATAGAGAGTTCAAGGAACTTAAAAAAATACCGCTCGAAAATACTGCACGTAGAATAAGCTCCGCTCGGAAATCTGAACGGGTAGCTAGGTCAACAGACAGTTTCTGCACTGGCACCGTGGGTAGTAAATCATGCAAAGCCTCCGTTCGGTGGGCGTCGATTGACGTACTTTTGGCGGTCCCGTGGCCCCGCGGGTTCAATGTAATATCGAGGAAGTCAAGGTATTTGAGACGCGGCGAGAGTCGCGAGTCGATCCCGATTTAGATGCTCCGGCGCCGCCGCCTCCGCCTCCGCCGCGACGCAGTAGCCCGAGCGACGTCGTCTAGCGCGCCCCTCCGTTCGCTCGTGGGCCCACGGCGATAACCCAGACGTCGCTACCGCAATTTCGATTGAATTAAACCGTACACCGCTTAGTGACATTGCAGCCGCGAGCACATAGTTCGCCCCGAGAAAACGTGAGGCTACTCGGGGAAACGGTGGAGCGTACATGAGACGGTCGCGGTGTTTGTCCGTTCGCGCGATTAGTGAATGTAGTCTCAGGTTGATAAATGTGACGCTCGAATGTTTTGTATTTGTTTCGTGTTACAACCTTTTTGGAATAGCAACTGCGGTTCGATTTGTAAATATGTCGGTAAAGTTACTTACTGTGGTTTTGCAGTGTAGTTGTGTTCATTCAACGCGTCCGTCAAGTCTTAATTAATATCGGTTTTCCCGAACCGCTTGTTACTTTGATCTGCTCGAGTCCACGAACTATATAACTATCACCACATTTGTATAAGCCACACGGCACAACGGACAAACATTGAACGTCCTTTGAAGTGTACAAAAATTAGCGTCATTTTTTACCGACTCGAAAGTCGTGCGCCTTCCATCGTTGCCAAGGAGCTTATCTGCGACGGTGTTTATTTACAACGCTATTCGCCGACGCCGATTATAAACTGACCGACTTCATATTTCTCCGCGCTGTGAGAAACGATCAAACTCCCCGCGCACGAGCAAAACGTGCGTTTGCAACGCAAGCTAAATAGTATTTTGCGTTGCGTGCTTTAGCGTTGTTTTGGCGTGCCGTACTGCATTAATGACTGTCCGAGCGTTTGAGGAGGCGATATCCGGTGCCAGTGCAAATAGCGACGTATGAGCGACCCGTTCCATTGGGATTGCGATAAGGCGCGGGGTGAACGCCGTATTGAGATTAACGTGCGCCTGGTGGTGAACGGGCCCGCCGCGTTGAGATGTGGCGGTGATGCGGCGAGCGGTGCTCTCGGCCCGCACACAATGCGCCTCTGCGGCTGTTGCATCGGTTAGTGTACTGTGCTATAGCCAATTAACAGTGCTCGAGCCTAGGCCGGGGAAGTACAACGCCCTCACTGGAAACCGGCTTTAGTGTCTACATTTGCTGTTGGCCTGGTGAGTGAGAGAGCGCCCGCCCTACTTGTAGTCGACGAAATAACCAGATGTTAAGGATATCCTTGGGCGGCGGTAATCGGAATTAGGTGAAACGTTTGCTCATTGTCATTTTGGTCATATGAAAAAATCATCAGGATTGTGATGATTTTCATCCCCGATGCATCCCGATTGACGTCATACAGACATACTTACTTTTCTTCTACTTAACAACTAAATTTTCTTGACTATGTAACTTAGATCCGTAAATAAGGTCGCGCAAACGAGTCGCTCCGCTCATTTGAGTTTCGGAATCTGTAATGTAACAGAATAACGTGAAATGGGCGAGACGAAACGTTAGTTCTGACAATTTAGTATGTCGTCATCATTAAATTTAAGATGGTGGTTCAACGAAGTTTAAGTTGGGGACCGCTGCGTTAAATGTATTTAGATCATCAGGAATATGAACATTTATTGTCTGTTACCGTGGTATTTGTACTTATTCTGAATGCATTTATTCAATAAGTTAAGTTTAAAATTTTCACATTAACCTAATATAACATATAATTTAACCAAGAATCAAAATGTCAAAACCTTTATAATAATTAGTTCTATCGTTCTTTATGTATTTACTCGCCACATTTTTGCTATTATGTTTTAATGACAATTCGTTTCTTGAAGGAAATAGCATATTCGCAACGAACTTTCTTCAGATCAATTGTAATAAAGTATCTCGATTTTATCACTGAAAATCATTGATGACTTTAAAACTGATTTGCATTAGAAAGTGCGCGGGAGAGTAACAATAGTGTATAGCTGTGTCAGAGTCTATAGCGGTTCTTGCAGATGATACATAAAATAACTGGTAGTATTTGAAAGTATTATTTTAACGGTAGTTTTTTTAGTAAAATTAACTAGTACTATCCGGAAGTATATGGATATTATGCAGTTTGTATGCTTTATAATATGCGAATAGGAAAATGTGCGGACTTTGCCGCAAAAGGTTTAAAACTTTTCCGGTAATTTCATAAACCATTAAAATAATTCGGACCACGTGTAACCTTTTTATTGAAGTGTTAATAATCAAGTCGTTCTGGGTCATAAAACTCTGTGCGTGGGGACGTCCACTCGGCGAGGTTGTTTTTAAGAATTTGGCAAACTGTCGTATCCTAAAATGGGAAGACAACCTACATAAGGTCGCGCTTGGAATTTTTTTTAAGATACAGTAAAAACGTACTATATTACTACGCATTTACGTTGACTTTTGGTAGGCAAACATTGTAACAATTAAATTACTGAAATACTGTACTAAATTCTTTCATACTTAATACAGAAAATTTATTAATTATGTTCACTTACACAGTTATAAATCTTAAACTTTTAAACTATTTCTTGTTATAACTTGGGCGGCTTAAAGAATGTTGGCGGTTGTTTTTTTTCTTTCAATAATGTCATCGTGTTACATTAAAGCGAACTCTAAAGCGAGACGAATGTGGATGAGTGTTAATTAGTAAATTGGAAGTGGAGTCCCTTGACTCGCATCGCTCCGTCGTAGCAAATTGGGGACGCATCGTCTCGTTTTTAACACTGCCGAGATTATTGAAGACGTCCCATTGTCCGCTCCGATACAAAACAATAAACAGCGCTCAGCGATATTTATTGTAACACCTCAGCGCTTTTCAATCTGCACATTCAGCTTACGACCACACTCGGACGTCATTTAGCTCTCAATTAGTGTTAAATCATTTCATCCGTGTAATTGATTTTTAAAGAATTATAATAACTAAACATTCAAGTAAAGGAATTTCTTTCTAGTTAAGCGATAATGTTGACAGAATGTAAACCCACACAGCAGCTACTGCTGTTGAACGACTGTGGCACTTTACTGGACAGGCTCGTCCAGTAAAGTGCCAGTCTCACAGAAGAACGGCACAAAGTAGAAGTATTATATTTTCACTTTTTAAATAAAAAAAAATAGAGGTAACATATTTCTTTGGATGATTCCCTTGTTATTATTGTTATTTTTGTGGGTGTATGGGTAGGGTAGGAAGTCCCAACGACCACTGCAACATAGAAAATCTATTGCGGTCTTCCCTTCGCAAACGTTAACTTTACTGTAGGATTATGATTTATATACAGTACCCGGAGGACCGAGCTTTGCTCGGTTTTTTTTTTGGTAAATCGTGTATTTTGGAAATTACATTTAGATACAAATTACTGAGTAGTGAAATATGCATAATATTTTTCGATCGACAAAAAATTAAAAATAAAGAAAGCAATGATCTGGAATCGAAAAAAATCGATCGTGACGCGAACCACGGCCGTCTGTTTTGGGGCCGCCCGATTACCGACCGAGCTATTATGACATTTTCTCTTGCAGCGAAATTTACCGTCATATTCGAATTATATTTTTCATTCCCTGAAAACAGGGATAAAAGGACATTTTCTAAAAATGAAACCTAGCTAGATCGATTTTTCGCCCCCGAATCTACGCACATACTAAATTTCATGAAAATCCCTGGAGTGGATTTCCGGATATATATATATATATACAAGAATTGCTCGTTTAAAGGATAAGATAAACTAGCTGCTGCCCGCGACTACGACTGCGTAGAGGGGTGAAAATTTAGGGTTGTATGTATTTTTGTATACTGTATCATAAAAAAATAAAAACAAAAAGTTTTGTCCAAAAATTAAAAAAAAATGTTAAGGGTGAAAAACCCTTATCACTTTCACTTATCACCCGTGTGAAAAATAGATAGTAGCCGATACTCAGATCTACTGAATATGCATCTAAAATTTGGTAAAAATCAGTAAAGCCGTTTCGGAGGAGTAAGGTAACTAACATATATGTTATATATAAGAAGATTACAAACAGCCCGATCCGAAACAAATATGTATAGTTGTCTCTTGGGGCAACCGAACCCACGACTTAAAGCCGGCTTTTTATGGAAACACCAATGTATTGTAATAACCATGGTTTCAGTGAGAGACGGAGCGAGACCGAAACTAGTCCGTACATACGTGTGTTCAGCCGTTTTAATAATGGTTAACATTTATTCCACTTAACACGCAGCGCTTCTTATTTCTTTTTCGTTGATCTAACGATGTTAGAAGTTAATGTGTATTAGAGTTTAGCGAGAATTTCCATCCGTGAATGTATCCCAAATGCATTTATTTATTTACGTGAAGCAAGCGAAGGCTCCGCAAACACCTGCGGTGGAGTGCCGTTTCAAAAATAGCGGTAACCCAATTTTACCGCCGTTCCATTCAGCGATTTAGTGAGGTCAGCATATCGATGGGAATATCGGTTTTCATTCAGGCTGAATACGTTGTGGGTACTCCTACGGTCAGTAAAACTGGACTTCGTAGTCTTTTTAAAGAACAAAGTTATGAATGGGATATACTTTTATGTGTCGAGTTTCGGAAATATAAGGTTTTAAATTAATAGAATAGAATATTATATTATCTGATGAATTGCCTACTCGACACGGTGTCTTGTCAATATTACCTTTGAAGTCAAACTGTCGAACGAATACTCAGGTTAACTAAAATAGATTCAACCTGATACCTATAATTTAAGTCGTTTGATAGCCGTTTATTATTTACTAGGACTCAATCGAGCTGTGGAATCATTTTTTTTTTGTTAAAATTTACCTTCTACGAGAATGCTCGTATATTATGAGCGGTATTATTTTGGGGTATCCCTACGGTAACACAAATTAAAGTTTTGTTGCCTCCGCTCTTGTCTTTCCCCTGGGACGTGCTGAGGATCCATATCATAGGGGGATGGATGCGGTCCGTCTAAGATTTCAGATCCCCTCTCAATGCACTGAGGGTTGCGCATTTAGTGGGTACGAATGTCAAATAAGAAGGGAGGATATTATCTTATACAGATTAGACGTTAAATTCTTGTGAATATGTAATTTGTATCTTTCATATAGAAAGTCCCATAGTCTTAGAGCACGCTCAACACTGAGTGAATACATAATTTTGTAGCGACGAATATGTGACGCTCGTAATGTATGCTAACGAAACTTGACTCCAAGGTTTATTGTTTTTTTGGTTGGAGTGTTACCTGATGAAAATATTTAGAGAGAACCGGCGAATTTATGTTACATCGTTAAATACCATAAGTAGCTTGTCGCTCCGGAGTAAAGTGCTGAGTGGCGGTGCATGCTAACAACGCTTGTACCGAGGAGGCCCTTTATATTGTTACGTGTTAGGGGTTCGAAGGATTTGGAGAGAAAGACCTGCTGACTCTTTTGAAGACTTCATTCAATAGCACTAGGTCCAACACAAAGCACTAGGTCCAAACACTAAGCACTAACGGTGTCCTGTTTTGTAGCCAAGTCGTAGGTTTCACTGCTATCGCTCTTGATCACTAGTTTTCGCTCCGAAGTCGCCTCGAAGGTAGCTCAAACTGAACTGTATTCGCTCGCCTCCCCGCGGCTTTTTATATGGGCCGATACCGGTTCCAGACTAATCCAGAAAGATCCTTCCTGGAACGTACCCGACACGCCCGAACATGTTCGTGACTCCGGAAAGTTCGCAAATGTACCCGGTTTTCGAGACTATAGTTCCACAGCAGTTCCTCTAACGCCATCTAGTATTGAATAGGGGGTTTTATGTCGTCTTTGTTCTTTAGTGATTTTAATAGTTGACGCTAGATGGCGTTAGTTCCTTTGTGTGTTCATAACACTACTCCCCTCTTAGAGATGCTCGTCTCGAGCATCATTGTTACCGCCATGGTAACGCGCCAGACGGTCTATGTGTACCACTTTGAATGTCCCTCTTGGTTGCTTTTGAATCCTATAAGTCACATCATTCAGTCGGGTAACCACTTTGTATGGACCGTCCCACTTGATCTGCAACTTTGGGGATTTCCCTTTCCGACGAGTTGGGTTATGCAGCCACACCAGTGACCCTTCTTCAAAGCCGTCCGTGTTCGATTTCCGGTCGTATCTGGTTTTCATGTTCTCACTTGACTGTAACCCATTTTCCCGAACCAAGGCGTGTATATAGCGCATTTTTTCCATTAAATTGCAGACATAGTCTTGTACGGTCTGTGGTCCCTCCGGTGACCCTCCTGTCAATAGGTCTACTGGTAATCGTAGTTCTCTACCGTAATTGACATACGCCGGGGTAGTTTTTATGCTCTCATGCTCGGCGGTTCGGTACGACAGAAGGAAGAGTGGTATATACTTGTCCCAATCCTTTTGTTTGTCGTCTACCAATTTCGCCAGATGCCTCTCAAGGGTCTGGTTAAATCTCTCAAACATTCCATCAGACTGTGGGTGGCACGCGGTGGTCCTCGTCTTATGCATGCCCAAAATTCTACACACTTCCTGGCATACTTGTGATTCGAAGTTCCTGCCCTGATCGGAATGGATTTCTAGAGGCACACCAAAACGACATATCACTTCTTCGACTAACTTAGAAGCGACTGTTGTAGCTTCTTGGTTTGGTATGGCGAACACTTCGGGCCATTTGGTGAAGTAGTCCATGACGACCATAAAATACTTGTTTCCCGATTCCGTTACAGGAAATGGCCCAGCTACGTCAACTGTAATTCGTTCCCACGGTGCACCGACGTTATACAACCGCAGGTTCCCACGGCTTCTGGTCTGTGGTCCTCTTACAGCAGCGCAAGTAGTACATTTGCGCCACCAATCCTGTACATCATCTCGACAATGCAACCAGTAGAATCGTTCTCGCACTTTTGTTAACGTTCTCTTGACACCTAGATGACCTCCTGATACGCCATCATGTATTTTAACGGAGAACATCTGGTACTCTCGTTCTCGGGACAATTAGCTGAAGATGGAACTCTCTGCCGTTAGTCTTCTCCCATTTCCGGTAGAGTATTCCGTTTTGAAGTATCAGACTGTCCCATTGCGCCCAGTACGCCTTAGTGACAGCGCCAGTGGGTGCAACCTCACTCCAGTTTGGTTTTACATCGCCCCGCTTCTTCCATGTGATGATGTGCCACGGGTCGTCGTCACTTTCTTGAGCCTCTCTCATAGCATCATTCTCCCAGAGACCCAAAGGACTTGTCCTCGTTAGCTTTAATGTAACTTCATTAGATTCCTGCTTAACACAATGTTTGCAGTCTTCCGAACACGGCCTTCGTGAGAGTGCGTCGGCATTTCCATGCGTCTTTCCGCTGCGGTGTTCCGTCTTGAAGTCATACTCCTGGAGCTGCTCAATCCATCGAGCTACTTGACCTTCCGGGTTCTTGAATTGCAGTAGCCACTTCAAGGCTGCGTGATCAGTTCGCAGTAAAAACTGTCTGCCGATGAGATATTTGTTGAAATGTTGTAGCGTCTTTACAACAGCCAAGAGTTCTCTTCTTGTTACACAGTAGTTTCTCTCTGGCTTGGATAACGATTTGCTGAAATATGCAATAACAACTTCTCTTTCACCCTGTTTTTGAGATAACACCCCTCCAATGGCCGTGTTGCTTGCATCTGTGTCGACTATAAACTGACCTTCAGATTGTGGATACCCCAGGATTGGTGTTTCACACAGATGTTTCTTCAGTTTCTGAAAAGAATATTCACAAGTCCCATCCCAACTGAATGGTCTTTTATCTTCTGTCAGCCGATGTAATGGCTTGGCTATCTCTGAGAATCCCTTAACAAAACGCCTGTAGTATGAGCATAGGCCGAGGAATGCCCGCACTTCGGTTTTGTCCTTATGGGTAGGCCATTTTTGAACTGCTTCCAGTTTCTCCGGGTCTGTCTGAATTCCATCACTGGAGATAACATGGCCGAGATAGTTGACCTTGCTCCTGAATAAACGACACTTTTTCGGGTTCAACTTTAATTTGGCTCCCTCTATTTTGGCGAAAACTCGCTCCAAGTTTCGCAAATGGTCCTCGAAGTCACGGCCGACAATGATGATGTCATCTAGGTAGACTAAGCAAGCCTCTAACTAAGCCTGCAAGTACACACTCCATGAGTCGCTCAAATGTGGCAGGCGCGTTGCACAATCCGAAGGGCATGACGTTAAATTGCCATAAACCTTTACTTTCCTTGTCTTTTGGATGAATTTCCACCTGCCAGTATCCAGATTTCAGGTCTAGGGTCGAGAACCATTTCATGCCACTTAAGGTATCCAAAGTGTCGTCGATTCGAGGTAACGGGTAACTGTCCTTCTTAGTGACATCATTGAGACGCCTATAGTCCACACAAAAATCTCGTGCTACCATCTTTCTTCTTCACTAACACAACAGGTGAGCACCACGGACTTGTAGACGGTTCAATAATCTTATTCCTTCTCATGTCCTCCAAAAGGCCTTCAACTTATTTTTCCTTTGCAATTGGTATCCGTCTTGCTCGTTGACGAATTGGTCTTTCGCTTCCGGTATCTATCCTGTGCTGAACCATCGAAGTTCTTCCAAGGTCCCCTTCTTGACTGGAGAAGATATTCGCGTAGCGCTGTAAAAACTTCCTAGCTTTAATGCCCTGCGAATAAGTCAGATTACTCTTGCAGTCATCGAGTAGCTCAGTCACTAATCCGTAGTTATTGCTGTTTGCCGAGTCTGCGCCTGTAACCGAACTACACTTTATCATCCAGACTCTCGCCGTCATCAGTTTTTGCGCTGATGTTTGGTAGGAGTGCCTTCGATCAACACGTATCTGTTTGACACCTTATTTCCAGCTGGCGGAAGTTTCACCAGCACCTGGGCTTCCGCTCGTCCAGGTATAATGACTTTCTTTATACATGCGACTTTCCCGCAGGTGCCTCCGAGAATGAAGATTTCTTCTTCACCACACTCGAAAACTCCGTCAGCGACATAAACTCTGCAGTTGTGTTTCTTCATGAAATCCAAACCAAGGATGCAATCATCCACAATCTCAGCCACAATGACGTTATGAGAGTATGATGACCCCCCTACATACATCGTGACTGACATTTCTCCCAAGATGGGTATTGGCTGACCGGAGGCAGTAAGGAGCCGGCAGTTAATTCTCCTCTTGAGTCCCCTTGAGGCTTTTACCAGTTTTGGGTTCACTATTGTTCTAGAGGCTCCTGTGTCTAGAGTCATTTTGCAATCCGACCCGTTAATAATACCCTGAATCACAAGGCTATTCCCGCTGCATGCCTGGGAGATAACAGTTATCGGGGCTTCCTCCGCGTCAGCCAGTACTCGCCCCTTAGTACTGGCTTTTATTAGTTTCCCTGATCCCGGGCAGGGGACGAAGCCTCTCGCTTCTTCAGCTCCGCTATTTTTTCCTCGATCCATTTCATCCTTGCCATCTGGGTCTCCTTCTGCGGGCAATTGAGCTGAAGATGGCCCCTCTCGCCACACTTGTAGCACATGGCTCCAGGACTTCTCTTCGTAGGAGCCTTAACCTCCTTCACTTCCTCAGAGACCTCGCGGATCCTATGGGTCTGCCGTATGTCGTAGCGAACAGCCTCGACCGCCAAAGCGTGCGCCAATGCCTCCTTTAGCGAGGTATGGTGACGAAGCCTCACTGCAGCTCTGACCTCCAGGCCTTTGATTCCGTCCGCAAATGCTTGAACAATATTCGTGTCTACCATCTTGGTGTCGGCTCCTGGGTGTGCCTTCCTGACGAGTTTTTCAATTTCCAACGCCCATTGTTGTAGTCCTTCTCCTGAGCGTTGGACTCGGTCACGCAGTTGGGCACGGAACACGTGCTCCAGGTGTCGCTCCCCGTACCTGGATTCAAGTGCCTCCATCAGGTCTTGGAACCCATTTCCTGTATGTGGCAGTGCTTCCAGGACCGATAAAGCTTGCCCTCTAAGCGCAACAGTGAGAGCGGTCAGGCTTTGCTCTTCCGTCCATTCGTTGGCAGTAGCAACAGTCTGGAATTGCCGACGATAAGCGTGCCAAGAAGTAGTGCCGTCGTATGGCGGCACTTTCACTCTTGGTACTTGCGCCACTCCAGTGGTTCCACTAGACATCGCGACTCCCGTGGTTTCAAGGCGCACTACTTTCTTCTGTAGTTCAGTGAGGCCGGTTTTTACATTTTCAACATCCAATCCTAACCCGGTAACTCGTTCTTCGACTACGTCGACATCACTTCGAAGCTTAATCACCGTGTTACTAACATCATTTATAGCCCAAAGCGCTTTTTCTTGGAGGTCTTTTTGTTGCTCTTGTGACTGACGCTTGCAAAGCGCTGAGCTTGCGTTCTTGTGACTCCTTCATTGCCTGAATTTCAGCCCTTTGCAGCTCCATTAATTTAATAAAACTTCCTAATTGAAGAGCCACTTCAGGGGCTGCAGAAGCTGTGGTGCCGCCGGTGGGTGTGGCAAGGTGGGCGTGGCCAGTGGGCGTGTCCCGGTGGGTGGAGTCAGTGGGCGGGGCTTGCACAAAAGTGTGCGGGGCCTGTCCCGAAATGGGCGTGGCTTGTGTCTGAGTGGGCGGAGTCTGAGGGGCGTGGCCTGGCCGGTGGGGTCAGTGGGTGGGGCTTGACCCATAGTGGGCGGGGCTTGGTCCCCAGTGGGTGTGGTCTCCGCAGCTCGTGCCCTTGTCCTGTCCTTGAAGTCCTCTCTCGGAGTCAATGGCATCTCCAAATCCCACTTCTGACACCAGTTGTTACGTGTTAGGGGTTCGAAGGATTTGGAGAGAAAGACCTGCTGACTCTTTTGAAGACTTTTCAATAGCACTAGGTCCAACACAAAGCACTAGGTCCAAACACTAAGCACTAACGGTGTCCTGTTTTGTAGCCAAGTCGTAGGTTTCACTGGTATCGCTCTTGATCACTAGTTTTCGCTCCGAAGTCGCCTCGAAGGTAGCTCAAACTGAACTGTATTCGCTCGCCTCCCCACGGCTTTTTATATGGGCCGAGACCGGTTCCAGACTAATCCAGAAAGATCCTTCCTGGAACGTACCCGACACGCCCGAACATGTTCGTGATTCCGGAAAGTTCGCGAATGTACCCGGTTTTCGAGACTATAGTTCCACAGCAGTTCCTCTAACGCCATCTAGTATTGAATAGGGGGTTTTATGTCGTCTTTGTTCTTTAGTGATTTTAATAGTTGACGCTAGATGGCGTTAGTTCCTTTGTGTGTTCATAACAATATTAACTTAACTCATACTCTCACTGACGAGGGACAGTGGCCATTAAGAGATTAGCTGTAACTCTTATAAAGTCTCTCTACTCTCTCCCTTATAAAGGTTGTCCTTCTTATAAAAGACTGTTGCTGTAGTAAAGTAACAGCGTATTCGCACGTGTTTTTATTGAATTCCCATGACTTTAAGGTAACGAGACGAATTTTTCTACGTTTATGTATATGACTCATTGACGATTTTGTTGAATTCTATTTTTTTTTTTAATTTTAATTTTTCTTACAAATAATTAATTAAATTTCGTACCAATCTGTGTAAACAAACCTTAACTAGAAATTCGACAACGCCGCTTATTCAATTTGGTTAAAAATATACATTATATTTCTATAATAGATAGATTGCAGAGTCTGTTTTCAGTCTGTTATCCCACTTCTGTACCGTAAATTAATAAGTGTCTGTTCGGCAACGTCGTAAAAGTTAGGATTCATCTTACGGAGACTTTTTGTGCACTAATTAAACGAAAATCAGTGTTACATTCGAAACTGTTAGTAAGATGACGCAAGTTCCATAGACATTTCTTCCCCTTTACAGTTTTAGAACATACACTTAAAGGTATGGGAATTCTATGTAAACATCACTACATAGTATAAAACAAAGTTGTCCCGCTGTCTCTATGTATGCTTAGATTTTTAAAACTACGCAACGGATCTTGATGCGGTTTTTTTTAACTAGATAGAGTGATTCAAGAGGAAGGTTTATATGTAATACATTGCCCCCCGCGAAGCTGGGGCGGGTCGCTAGTGTTTTATATAATGCTTAGCAAATGCCTCTTCAGTATAAACCATGTTTCTATAAGTTTAGACATTATTCGTGGTCGTTTTTAGCGAGCGGAGGTCGCAAGTCGTCGGAGGCGGAGGAGGTGGCGCGGCGGGCGTCCAGCGTCTCGGACGAGGGCGGTTTCAACGAGCCGTCGCCCGAAGTCGCCGCCCTCCGGCCGACGGAACGCGCACGCTCCGACCCCGACACGATCTCTGTCCTCCAACAGGTACTCACCCGTAAACTTTGTCTTACGTAGTAAGGCTGCCGCTGCACGCTAGACCGTAGTAAATTCCTCATGAAGTAGGAGTGTTTATATGAACCGCAGACACACTCCGTTTGCGGTCAGCAAGACACGTGCAAAAACGAGCAGGTCTTGACGCTATTTAGTGAAAAACTGTTGTGTTTCGTCTCATCGCGACCGTGATTTAAACATATCCGCCTTTTCTTTTCCTTCTAAGATTTTTATGTCTAAAACTATTAAAGTAGTGTTATTTTTGTCGTATTAAATGTTGCCCATTGCGCTAAGGCAGATTGTCACTAGAGATTTATAAAAACCGTTTGGTATTTTAAAATGTAACCGGACACATACAAACAACCATGCTCTCTTTTGGTGTACGAATTCATTGGAATGTGGTCAGCAAAACTTCACGAAACTCGAGCGTTCAAAACCATATACGGAAGTAACCTAATTGGGTAAATTTGGACACCACATTCTTTTTTGCCACTTTTCCATTTAAAAAGAGTAATCATAAAAAGTATTCATAAATATCTTCCCCGGTTAACAGCAACCACGAGTCCGACCTAGTTCTCGGCATCGTTCCCGACATACAAACGCAGAGAATATCGGCCATGGCCGAGATAGTTGTAAATGTGCTCAGTTTGAAGGATACAACGCTGGAAAAATACTTTTTATTATATGAACTTATTCTTGAAATTAACTCCTTATTATTTTATTTACAAATATATTTAATATGGTTTAAGGTAATTTTCATTCTCGGCAAAAAATTTATTTAGTTCTCAGTCTCCGTCTCGGCCGAAACAAAATAATAAATTTCGGTCGGACCTTACCGCGAGGTAATGATTGTTAATAATAAGAAGTTGATTCCGATTACAATCGCAAGAGATGTGGGTTACATTAATTGGGTTTAACGTACGGAGGCCGCCTTAGATCGGCAGCGGCACATGTGATACACGTCCCATTCACGTTCAAAGTCAAAGTCAAAATGTCTTTATTCAATATAGGCTTATTTTACTTATTGAAATTCACAAAACTACCACCGGTTCACAAAGCTAGACCTGTCCATAGAAGAACTGGTAAGAAACTCCGCGTTATACAAAATTATTTAACTATAAAATCAGCAATAGCCCGAGGTCTCAATGTATTCTTCGAAATTATAACAGCCCCATTCCTTGGTAGCTTTTTAAAAAATGGTTATTATTACTGATGCACGTTAAAATGGCTGCTCTTAACGTAAAAAAAGCAATAACGAGTGGTCTAACGTTTCAGGACTCGGGAGTGGTGGTGAGCGAGGCGAGCCAGGGCTCCATAGAGGTGCTCGACAAGTCGACCACCAGCCAATGGAGCGTGTCAGAGGCGGAGAACCCGTCGAGCGAGGCGGCCCGCGACGCGCCCGACGTAGACGCCGACGACAAGCAGCCCGACAGCATGACGCCCGACGAGGCCGAGATCCTGCTCAGCTCCAGGTACGTGGCTACACTCCTCTACTCTTTCTCTCACTCCCTATCCCTCTCTCTGTCTCTCTCTGTCTCCTCTTTCTCTCTATCGCGCACGGTGTACTGTACTTATTACATGTACGTTCTAATGCGGTGTCAATTTCACCTTCGCTAACTGCGATCCTAATAAGAATATAATTTGGAATCGTTTTAATGCATCAATGTATTATGGAGCCATAATTCTTTGTCTGATTATAATAAGTAATTATTAATAACTATGTCTCGGCGCAGCTAGTTTCGACTAATTGTCTTTATACTGTACGAAATCGCAGTTTTATTTCATTTATATTTATTTTTACTGATGATTGCGATTATTTTCATTAATTTACAAATACTTTGTGAGATATTTATTATTAGATATAAATTTCTGAAATATTTACATTGAATTAATTTGCGAAATTGTTTGAATTTAACTAAAAACCGTCCATGGTTTAGATTTGTCAGAGTTTCTTCGTTTGTTATGTTGGGGCATGATTTGTTTTATTTTAAAATCACGCCTACCGTAAAAGAATTTGTTTCGGATAATGTACGCATTCTTTCTCTGGCTTCGTTTGGCTTTGTTATGTAAAAAAGCAATTATTATTTCTGTTTCATTTCTCTTTCATTTTATTTTCTAGTCTAAATTGCGATACGTTGATGTTGTTGTGCATGTGTATTTTATTTTCGACAATCGACTTTCAAATCAGCGCAGCAGATTTCGTATAGCACATAGTAAAGAGTTTAAGCGTATACCGTACTTATATTTTTCCTTCTGTTGTATGTCCCTATGCTTACTATATGATTAAATGTCGTATTTTTTACCATTTGCATGCTGCCTGTGCGCACTACGCTTCATTCTTGCCCGATCACATTTGCAGTATCCTGGAGAAAAAACTTAGGTAAGCTCGCTTCATACGTAGTTTTTATTTCACGTAGCTCTTAAAGGCCCATTTACACGATGCCATTTTCTTGTACATACAAGAGCAATAATTGAATGCAATAAATTGCGCGCAATAATTTGTTAGACCATTTGTTGTTTAGACCATGCAACTCATTTATTGCTTCAATTTAATTGTATACAACAGGCAAGAAACTTGCACCGTGTAAATGGGTCTTAACACCTATTTTAGATAACACTTCAACGGTTCACTTACAATAACTTAGAATTGTTTCATGTTTGTATTACTTAGGACCTGAACGGTAAGTTATTTGTATGTAGTAATTATTATTAGTATTTAGTCATTTAGTTGCTGGCAGCAAAATCATCTTAATTTTGTACTTACACTTAACTTATTAATTTCTTTTATTATACTAGTTGTTGCTATACCTATTTGTTGCTATATACAACAAATTAATTGTTAAGTTATGCTACACGAGATATTTTTTATGCTGTCATCATAGATTACACACTGAACTAAATTTATGGATGGAGTTTACAGTTTATTTTGAAAAACCTTCAGTCAAATTAAATTCGTTTTTAATTGAATTTGAAAATTGTGTTTTTGGACGTTTGAGATCTCTATAAAGAAAAATCAGAAAAAGAGATAGCGATGCATCTCTGTCCCACTCACGTAAACAAGAGGCGCTGCTCACGGTAATTATAAGGTCGATCAGAGCGAAAAAGCGATGCATCTGTGTCCCACTCCCGTAGACAAGAGGTGCTGCTCTCGGTTATTACGAAATCGCTCAGAGCGAGAAAGCGATGCATCCTACCCAACTCCCGCAGACAAGCTGCGCTACTCATGGTAATTCGTGAGGTCGATTAGAGCGAGAAAGCGATACATCTCCGTCCCACTCCCGCAGACAAGAGGCGCTGCTGTCGGACGAGCAGGCGCAGGAGATCGCCGCCATGCTGTCGCCGCACGCGCTGCCCCACGACAACGGCGTGTCCCTCAACGATAGCTACCAGTCCGTGCTCTCCTACGAGAGGTGAGGCGGCTTTACTCTCTAGAACATTGTACACTTCATTTGTCCCCGTTTTATTTGGATATAAAATTATAATAATAGCAGCACTAAAGGTTAACTATTAAAGAAGCGTTCATGCTGTTATTAATGCGTACATAATTTATATCACCAACGAAATCTTATATTTTTGTTCCAAATAAAATACAATTCAATTTTTCCTTTTCTCAAGCACGGAAATATATTGAACATGGATTGCCGGAAATGGTATTGAAATACACAAATGTATAATTTAAATTCATTCACACTTTCAGCATGCAGTCCGTGGACGAGAGCTACGAATTTGTATCGCTGGAGGCGGATGCCGGTATGGCCGGCGGAGATCGGCGCCACGACGACGAGCACGAGCAACAACGAGCGGAACACGTCCAGCGCGCGGAACACGTGCAGAGCGCGGAACACGCGCAGCACGCGGAACATGTGCAGCAAGCGGAACATCCGCCAGAAGTGGAACCCGCCGCGCGCACGGAACCCGCTGACGAGTCCGAAACGGTGTTCGATTATTACCCGCCGCATCCTCTACGCGAACTCGGAGAGGAGAATGGCATACACTACTTTGAGGACGGACACTTTTACACAGAGGTATTGGAAGAAAGATTTTGTGTTGTATATAGGACATTCCTTTATTTTACAACCCCTTTTGGCTTTTTGCAGAGGCTAAAAGCGGCGGTGATCCCATGCGTCTCGGTTATCAATCTTCTCCATAGAAATATGTTTTTAAAACTTCATACTAAACTTCAACTTCTCCACAGAAATTTTTTTTAAATAACTCGCATACCATACACATACAACAAGTCGTTGTAAGCTCTCGCAATGACTTGTCTCGCGCTAGTAGCATTGGTTTTATATAAATCTCTAAGTCATAAATGGTCGTGGGTTATTTATTTTGCAAGACTTTAACGCAATGGGAAATTTGTGTACACTCCACTAACGTGCAATTCAATATAAAACAAGTTGTTGTTTTTTCCAGGTTGCCGGTCTCCCGCCACCCGAAGAAGACGAAGATGATGATTATTATCCGCCAGTTTTCGTTAAAAAGAATACCAAAGTTAAATTTAGGTTCGTTTTTTTAAACGTACATTTTACCGTCACATTGTACTCGTATACGGTTAAGTATTGTGTTCGATTTGAATGTCTTCATCAGGATAGGATCAGTGTATTCCTTGTTTATGATAACCTTAATACAAAACGTTTCACTTGTCTCGGCTTCATGTGTATTTCTTATTTTCTTTTTAATAACGTGTATCTAGAATCTGTTTACTATTTGTTGTTATGACTTGTTATAAACGCTTACGAATATAAAATGAATATGATAATTTTACAGTATCTTATCAAATCTCGGAAGACTAAGTTGGTAGCCTAATTATATAACTATAGTGAGCTACCGAAACTACGTTATTTACTTTTTGTCCACGGAAAAAATTGGATCGCACTTTAAAGCAACTCTTCTGGTTTAACTCTCCCGCTATACATTGATTATTTTATATTGATTATTTTTTATTTTTCAACTAGCTGCTAACCGCGGCCAAAGGGAAAATAACAATGAGTTTTTTATTATACACCAGAATATCTCGCAGATGGCTGAATTTTTTCCTACTTACTTGACACTTATTGTTATATGTTGCATTACTCACATAATGTCTTTATTAATTATAATAGCCTATGTGTTCTTCTGATGTATAAGATATATTATTGTAAAGTTTGATTAAAATCCATTCAGTAGTTTTTATGCGAAAAAGTAACTTTCATCTTTACAACTGCCGTGGTAGGACCACGCAACAGTATTCGCATTGCACGAAGGGGCAGGTCCGTCCGGGTTAGTACCACGACCTCACAGAAGACCAACGTAAAGTAGAAGTGGCGCTTCTACTAAAGTGAAGTTACAGTTCTGCGTTTCGTCTGGTGAGTGAGGTAGCCGGGGCCCACCTTATTAAATGGTGGCAACACATCTGCAGCCGGTGTTGCAAATGTCCGTGGGCGGCGGTTGTCACTTAACATCAAGTGAACCGCCAGCTCGTTGGCCACTTTTTCACATAAAAAAAAACCATCCATTCATACAAATTTTCGCGTTTATAATATAAGTTTATTATATTTGTCTATCTACGGTGGAGAGTGTTGTTTGTTTCACCGTCGAAGTAAAGCGTTGGAATTTGGATTCCCCAGCACGCAGCCGATGCGCGTGTTCTCGACGCACTCTGTGCGCGAGTACGACCGGCGCAACGAGGACGTGGACCCGGTGGCCGCCTCCGCAGAGTACGAGCTGGAGAAGCGCGTCGAGAAGATGCACGTCTTCCCAGTAGACCTGCTCAAGGGCGCCGACGGACTGGGCCTCTCCATCATAGGTCCGCCTCCATCTCCGTTTTTAAACGACGTTCTCTAGTCATCTTGTTAATAAGTATGTATTCTACATGTATATACCCAGGCACTGGAAAAACGCTATGTGCATTACACAATATTTTTACAGTAGTGGGGTTCGATCCCACACCCTTAGGCGTCGATGGTAGCTGCAGCCGTTGCACATTGTGTCAGTTTATTATAATAACGTATGCTGTGGCATTAGTGGACTTAGCTGATATAGAAAAGTGTTCGGTCTGCGGTATTTCGTCCGGTGAATGAGGTAGACGGAGTTCTTTCGCCTGACTTGCAATAAGTACATTTAAATAGAAAAGACAACCCTACAAACATTTACGCTTATGAATATTACACCCACACGTGAACAGCAGTACTTATATTATGCTTTATGTTTTATGCAGATAGTTTAAAATTAAACTTAATATGTACATACCAGCGCCCAACAAACGTCGATTAATGAAAATATTAAATTTGTCTTCAGGAATGGGCGTGGGCGCGGACGCCGGCCTGGAGAAGCTGGGCATCTTCGTGAAGACCATCACGGAGAGCGGCGCGGCGGCTCGCGACGGCCGCATCCAGGTCAACGACCAGATCATCGAGGTGGACGGCAAGAGCCTGGTGGGTCGCTGTTCGAATCTTAAAGGCACAACCTGTGGGTTGCTGTTCGAATTAATCGTCATCATCATTTCAGCCTATTTGACACCGCTGACGAACATAGGCATCGCCCAAAGAACGTCTTGATTTTTTTTTCGTTTTAGTAAAGATCTGAACATTGGGTAATTAAATGTAAAGTTTAATAAACCATATCGCGTTATTCACGTACAGCTGACTGATTCATACATTCCGAGACTTTTTTATTCGTTGCCACAGCCTCGCATTACAAGCCTCTCCTAACAGTATGGTTTGTCTCTTTTAAATTCATTCAACCCATTCATATACTTTGTGACCTTCACAAATGAACTTTACGTTACAGTTTTATACGTAAGTTGTTCTAAAATTCTTTGTTTTGGAAAATTTTATAACTCTTTAAATATTGATGTTTAAAGAATGTTAATGTTTAATACAATTTAAAAAAAGTTATCCTCTATATATGTGTTCATTTATTGTCGCGATTGTAAAGACACGCTGTATAAGAGTACGACCGCATCAGGCGTAACGTCCGCATTAAACCTGTTGAAGATGGGGACTAAAATTAAAGGCCCAACGGAAAACTGTAAAAATGATATAAAAGTAACAAAACAAGCATACTAAGATCATCCAAGTTAACTTCTCTTTCTGTCTTGCTCTCACTACACGTTGGTAATGTTACAAACTAATCTAGTAATGTTAACATGCTTTTTTAGATGTTACGTTAAGGTTTATTAAGCGATAACTACGATTTTTGCACACGACTCTACATGAGTATAGCTCAGCTTACTTCATTCACGTGTACATTTACGTTTTGCTCGACCAAAAAACAAACTTTCAATGGCGTTTGAAACCAATCCAGCAAACGGCCATAACAGTTGATGGCCGTCGAAGATGCCAATTTGACAGCGTTTAGCTTGAGTTTAGCAATTTAATTTTATGTGGCCACTGAAAAATTATCTAAGTTATTTCCTTTATAGATTATGCAGCTTTGGACATTTGTCAACGTTAAGATGATTTTACTTTCTTTTTTTGTGTTTGATTTATATGAAACTCCGCTTTTTTGATAAAGGAAACCAACTGACCACGTGAGCGTAATTGTATCGTTACTAAAAGTGTTACTAACATTTGAAGGTTGGAGTGACGCAAGCGTACGCCGCGTCCGTTCTGCGTAACACTTCGGGACCGGTTAAGTTCCTCATCGGCAGAGAGAAAGATCCAGAGAACAGTGAAGTGGCACATCTCATTCGGCAGTCACTCGCCGCTGACAAAGAGAGGGAGGAAAGGTATCCATAGTTTCATTAGCCCGATTAAAAAAATTGTGCGTCTATAAACATGTCTCGCAGTTAACTCGTTCTTTAAAACATCACATATTTTGTGAATGATTTTCGATTTATTACTAAAAACACTAGCAATAAATATAGACCAATTGTTACCTATCCCATCATTTTCCATTTTCTAATGGATGTTGTTATAGTTTTGTCACATTTATATGAAACTAATGATATTTGACACTTAGATTGTTCAATTGAAAACCGTTTATTATAGTATAAATGAATACATTAATGATAATAACCCCAGGGAATGAGATGATCACTTTCACATATTACAATGTTGTGTAGAAAAAAAATGTCAAAAAGATACCTATAGAAGTTCTTTTGCCTGTTTCTTCTCTGTTAGAGGAACATCCTTACGAAACGGTGGTAGATTTAAAAAATGACTGATAAAATGTATATTCATAAAAAAAGTAAAAAAAAGTAAAGTAACAGCCTATACATGTCCCACTGCTGGGCAAAGGCCTCCTCTATACAGAGGGTATCAGGGCATAGTCCACCACGCGGCCCCACTGCGAATTGGCGGACTTCACATATCTTCGAAATTTTTTTTTGTTATTATTTCGAAAATATGCAGGTTTCCTCACGATGGCGGAGCACGTGATAATTCAGCACTTAAAGTTAAAAACTTCATTGGTGCCGGCACCGGGGATAACTCAGGTTGCTCGAGTATATTGAATTAAAGGCGAGCGCCCGGACACTGAGCTATCACGGCTCATACATTAATTTATTCATCGATGTATATTCATACATCGATGAATAAATTAAAAATAATTTGAATTGACAACCAATGGAAATGTATACATATATATATAACGGCGCAGAGCTGCACGCGAGCGGCAGCGGCGGCAGCAGGCCGAGGAGGAGGAGAGCAACCAGCAGTCGACCGCCGAGGCGGCCGCCGCACCCGCCAAGCACCCGGAGATCAACGAGCTGCGCGCCTTCCTGCAGGAGGTCTGTTGGACCCTGTCCAAGGGCACAACCCGAACACCGCTTGCTCGCTTTTGACTTTAACTACTTTCGACCACAACGGTGAACAATGCGAACGACTTAAGGGAAGGGGCCTCTGATTACTTCAATTCACTCCATCATCTGCCGGAAGATGTCCACTGTTGATCAGAAACCTTACCACAGATTCTTCACTGATCGGGTACAAATTAATACTCGTAATTTACGTGGGACTGTTTCAATTTTTTTCCAAAAATAGTTAATAGCGTATAGATAGACCAAGTCAAGTTTCATAATTGGTCTAGAAGGAGGAGCTAGACCGGTCACAGTGTAGAAGGGTAGCGGCCCGTGTTCGGGTCGCCTGCTGCCCTAATATATTAACAGTATGAGTTCGCTAGGTGTTTCCCGATCGCTGATGACGTGATGACTGTGTCCGCAGCTGGTGGGCATGGAGGCGGGGGGCGGGCGGGGCGAGGAGATCAGCTGCCGCGTGCGCGAGTGGTGCTCGCGCAGGGCGCCGCACGCGCCGCACCAGGCGCTGGCGCGCGCCGCAGACGCCCACCGCAAGTACGACAAGGTGACGCTCGCTTACGTTCTTCTTGAACTTTCCTTCGTCTCACTTCTACGACTCGACTCTACGAAATATTATTAAATCTAGTGTTTAAGAAGTTTGAGATTTTGAATAAAATCGTGGTGTAATTCTGTACTTTATTTTTGATATTCGAAATTAATTTATATGGTAAAAATTTGGCAAAAGAGATTTCTCAGTGATTTCAAAACTAAAATTAATATTCTCTCAATTCTTCATTAATTGTTTTATGTAGTTTTTTTTAATATCGTTTTTTTTTTATGCGAAAAGTTGTCAAACGATCAGATGGTTCACCTGATGTTAAGTGAATACCGCCGCCCATGAAGACAGATGCGTTGACAACCTTTTGAAAATTGGGCTCCGGCTACCTCACTCACCAGACGAAACGCGAAAGTATTTGCCACACTTCCACTTTACGCCGGTCTTCTGTTAGGTCGTGGTACTTACCCGGACGAGCCTGCCCATTCGTGCAACAGCCGAGGCTGCTGCGTGGCCCTTCCATCTTTAAAATGCTATCTGCTCTGACTAAATTGCTATCCTTGATATTTCAAAATTCAACCGAATCTATTTATAATGTTTCAACAGTAAATATCCAGAAACATCCTTATTTTGCTTGAAACTGATTTTGGTGAATACATAAATGCATTAGCTGACTCATTGGCTGATAAATGACTCATTCAATAGCCGTGATAACTCATTGTCGGGGCGCTCGCTTTTAATTCCATATACTCGAGCATCCTGAGTTCCATCCCCGGTACCGCGGTATGAATTGTCGCGTGCTCAGCGGTTAAAGAAAACATAGTGAGGAAACCTGCATATTTTCGAAATAATAGAAAAAAACATTTCGAAGATATGTGAAGTCCACCAATGCAATGGGGTCGCGTGGTGGTCTCTGCCCTAATACCCTCTGTATAGAGGAGGCTTTTGCCCAGCAGTGGGACTTTTATAGGCTGTTACTTTTCTATTTTAAATATAATTAATTTTTATTTTTATTGTAATTTTTGTTATCTCTGCACTCAAGGTGGCCTTTAAATTGTAAATCATGTAACGATTTACAATTGCTATTGCTCCCATAACACTGTTAGTTATAGAATTGTAAATAACTAAATTTTATTCGATAGTGAAGATCGATTGCAGATATTACGGTAATGTAGCGGTAACTCACGGAGTAGAGTCGTGTGCATAAATATATCGTTGTATGATTGCAAATCGAGTTCACTTTTACGCGGTCTGTATCAAGCTCTGCATTGAGCGCGACACTATACGTGCGAAACCAGCAGAGTTAACTAACTTAAAGTTTAACTAGTGCGCACACACGTATAATGCACTCTATTGTATCGTCGTACGGTTGCAAATTGAGTTCGATTTAGCGCGGGTCGTATCAAGCTCTGCTTTGGGCGCGACAGTACTCGCGTAGAACTCGCCGAGCTAACTAGTCTGCTTATAATAAGTATAATTATTGCGGGTAATTGTATCGGATCGTCGTGCGGTTGCGAATTGAGTTCGCATTAGCGCGGGCCGTATCAAGCTCTGCTTTGGGCGCGACTGTACCCGCCCAGAAACCGCCTTGTTGAATCGTGCGCACATGTGCGCAGGCGCGTCGGGCGCTGCGCGGCTGGCGGCGCACGCGGGCGATGGTGCGCGCGCGCGAGGAGTGGTGGAGTGGCGCGCTGAGGGACGCGCACCGCGAGTACGCCGCCGCGCTCTCCGCGCTGCACGACCGCGTCGCCCGCCTGGAGGTGCTGCTGCTGGTGAGCGCCTTTTTGCTTGAGTTACGCTTCTTGTGGCGCCTTTGGGGAAAGGGATGGGAGTGATTTTTCAGGCTGTTGCTATGGCAACCGATGACAACTACAATTGCAAGACATATTATATCAATCAGCCTACTGCCGTCCACTGCTGAACGTGAGCCTCCCCCAAAGTGCACCAACTATCCCGGTCTGACGACTTAAGAAAGGTGGCGGGCAGCGGATGGATGCGGCCTGCCCAGGACCGGGAACACATATTGACAAACTATAATTGCAAGTTGTTTAAATAAACCGTTATCGATTGCATTTTAATTATTTTACTTTTGTTACCGTAAAGAAGTATAATTTCTTATGTACGTACATAACGTAGTACACACACACGCACACGTTTTTTTACGTTTAAGGCAGCAAGCGAACATGCGGTTATCCTTAAGTAATTGACGCCGTCCGTCGGGCGTCTACAACACCTGACGGGTTGCATGTGCTTTGCCAACCGTAAAAAATTTGCATCCCGGTTACCTCACTTTCCATACGAAACGCGAAAGTATAATACTTCCATTTCACGCTGATCTCCTGTGAGGGTGTGATACTTCTCCATAGGAGTTTGCCAATTCCTGCAACACCAAGCTGCTGCGTGGCCCGACCACTAATGCACATTTTAAAATATGTCAAGAAAAATGGCATCGCGTTGTGTCCAATAAGGTTTCTGAGGTTTGGAATAACGAACGAAACGCTCTTATAAATTATACAATGGCGTTGAGATTTTGAATTTGGAGATGACTTATCTAATCGTTATAATGGATTTCTTCTAAATATTATGTAGTAAGTGAGCTTACATTGGTAATGGAGTATGCGTGTCTTTATAGGAGACGCAGAAGAAAGCGGGCTTGCCCGTGATGTTGCCCCACGAACCGTCCGCTCGCCGCGAGACGCCGCCGCTTCCGCGCCGGCCCGATCCTGACCCGTTACTTATCGACGGTAAAAATATCTTTTTATAAAAAATAAGTATTTATATGACATATTAAACACACATATTAAAAACACTAGCAATAAATATGTCTAGTTGAAATACATTCGTCAATCGAGTACAGTGCCATTTAAATTCCTTCTTCACTTAATCATGTCCAAAGACACGAAGTATTTTTTTTACAAGTTGTAAGTGAATTACTTCGCCCTTACCTTCTCTTTAGCTTAAACTCTCCACAGACTCCATAATTATGTAATCCTTCAATGATTTTTATATGGGGTATTTGGTGCTGCCATAAACCTTAAAAATTGCAGACGTTGTATACTTAAGGCTTGTTCATTTTCATTAAGAAAAAGAATTCTAAATTTTAAAATTCAGATCCGTGGAGCTCGGACAGCGACCTGTCGGACCTGTCGCCGATAGAGGACGAGTACGCGAAGGTGGACAAGTCGGATCGGCGGCAGCGGGAGGCGCGCGAGGCGCCCGACATCGGTGACGTCACGGCGACCACGGCCCACGACCCGCGCCCACCCGTTGCCAGTGTGGTCGACTCGAAGTCGACCATCCTCGGCAACGTCGCCTCCACGGCGGCCACGCCCTCTCCCACCCCCGCGGCGAACGCGACCACCGCCGCCCATAACGTCAGTTCAATGACCCCCGCTGCCGCCGTCGCGTCCGTGTCTACGACCACCCTCAACGAACCTCTGTTAGTACTCTACTTGTGCAATTTAAGTGAAACATTGTAGTGTGGAATAAAACGAGGATAAACAATTTTTGAGCGCGGAATAAAAAAAACAACAACAAGTACTCAGTATCTCTTCGTCCAAGTTTCCAACGTGTTTGCCAAGGGGTTATAAATGGACTCAGACGCGTTTTTCCTTCCATCCCGCAATCGAGTTGGAGAATGTACAAACATAATCGTTTTTGTTGTATTAAAAAGTTGGCAAGCGAGGAAGCGGTTCACCCGGCGTTGCAGATTAAAAAAAATTGGGCCCGGTTACTTCACTCACCAGAGAAACTCGAAAGTATGACAATTCCACTTCACGCGGGTCTTCTGTGAGCCTGCTCATTCGTGGCTGCACCGCAGTGAAGTACGTTCGAATGCACCTCGACAGCAGCGGGAGCGGCACGCTGCGCAGCGATGCGGGCGCGTCAGTCGGCAGCGGCGCGTCGCGCGAGCTGGACGCGGCCGTGCCGAGGGGCGCGCTGCTCGACACGTCGGCGCACCGCGCGCGCACCGACCTCGCGCGCCACCGCCCGCACGCGCCACACTCGCCGCACTCGCTCAGCAACGCGAGCTCGGTACGCTACTCTCAACACAAGCTCATTTGTATTAAGAAAAATATCGCGTGTAAAATTATAAATTTAAAGAAGACCCTGACACAAATCAGAACTCAAATAAGTGAACAGTCAAATAATGAAAACTCATAGCTAAGAACCGTCGCGATCTTATCTGCTTTCAAACAAAAAACTGCACCACGATCGGTCCATTCGTTCAGAAGCTACTATGCCACAGACAGACACATAGATACAACAGACAAACACCCCTCTTTTTAACTCGTGGGTTGAAACCAACCTCAACCTCTTTCTTTCTTTCTTTCATTACTATTGAAATTAATATGGAAACATGGGAGGTAAAACAAACGGAATAAAAACAAGTGAGAAGTTTTAAAAATGTTCCATAAATGATGGAGTGACACTAAAATATGTGTAAAAATGAATCGAGTATAGTGAAAATTAAAGTTAAAAACCGCAACACGGTTAAATTTAAATGAATATATTTGTTTAATATTTGTATGAATTATTTTTATCACATAAAATAGTAAACTCTATTCTCATTATGAATATTGTTTTATTCATAACTTAATTGAGTATAGACAAAAAGTTTTATTAATACCAATTTAATTTTATTAACAGTATGATGGGTTGGACGACTCTTATAACGATTCCGCCGACGAGTCTCTTAGCGAATCAACCTCCGGACCGCCGCATTCCAGCCATGTAACGGTAGGTTTACCTTTATGAACATTTATTTGATCACGCAAACATAATTTTACCATATTACCTATAACATAGCGGAATCAGTGTCGTAGCTAATGCTACCGCTAATATAAAACTTACACACTGTGACACAGGTGTCAAGCGTTTAGGAATTAATGAATTTCTTACCATTAATTCCTAAACGCTTGGAATAGTTCCCAGAGTTAATGGTGATTAACTTAACACGAGTATCGTGAAATGTGAGCAAAATAAAGTAACAGCCTATATATTATGTCCCACTGCTGGTCCAAGGCCTCCTCTTTTACAGTGGGTATTAGGACATAGTCCACCCACACATAGGACCCCACTGCGGAAAGGCGGACTTCACATATCATCGAAATATTTTTTTTGTTATTTGAAAACATGCAGGTTTCCTCACGGTGTATTCTTTCACCGCTGAACACGTGATAAGTCAGAACATGAAATTAACAATTTAATCGATGCGGGGGCCGGAATTTGAACTCAGGTCGCTCGAGTGTATTGAATTAAAAGCGAGCGCCCGGACACTGAGCTATGACGGCTCTACGTAAAATGTCCGAAATGGGAACGTGGCCAATATTGCCTTTCAGCGCGACACCCGCCAGAGCTGCGGCAGCTCTATCGGCAGCACGACCGACGACGGCTTATACTCGCGGGACCCCAGGCACCACCCTCTGTCAGGTACCACATTAGCACCATCGCACGTGTACGTCGCAACATACATACACACATACGCCCGCTTATGCATATTATGTTCACGCAATGTCAAAACTTCGATATATATATGTTTGAAATGCACCACTAAATCTTATTCACAATGCATATTGCACCGCAAAATATCAATGGCCCAATAGTCGAAGTAAACAAAATTCTTTTAATTTTTTGTCGATTCGAATATACACCATTATTTATGATTCAAATAAGTTATAATAATTAAACGGATGTCAACGGATTCATATTTTAAATAACACCAACTCTAGAATCCATCACCGGGCGAATTTTCGTTCAAGTAATATATGCCATTAATCGGGTATTAGCAAATGTGCTATTACATAATTGTTTAATAGTTTTCCGATGAAAGCGGATGAGACATTGTGAATGAGATTTTACTGGATATTTGTGTGTGATTAATAACGCTTTTTGTGTAACGTAACTATTTTACACAGAATGCTTTGGGGAGTATATAATTATTTTTATAGAACAATTTATGTTCTCTCATTTTAATATATTTATTAGAGCACACTTATTTCTTTTGGATATCGTTATGAAAAAATCAAGATTTAAACCAAAATGAACCCTTTAGACAACGGTCAATTTTTATCACCGTTGTTAGGTCTATGGTGTATAATATTTACACTCACCGCAACACTGGACGTATCGGTATAATAACGTCGTAACACATACCAACAAGGTACACGATTGAATGAATAAATTAATGCGCGAATGAATGAGGGAGTGAACGAATGTGAAACGTTTTGCGGCACGAATCGCGCGTGCGGCGCCGTTCGACGTGCGGCACGTGCGCGTGGGTAGTGAGCGGTGCGGTCCGGCTAGGTCCGCCGGCGTCGTTGGCCGAGCAGCTGAAGCAGGTGCTGGCTGAGCGCGAGCGGCGGCTCGCCGGCGCGCCGGAGCCCACGCACGCCGCCCACCCGGCCCACGCTGCCCACGTGGCCCACGTTGCCCACGCGTCCCACGGCCCGCACGCCGCCCACGCGACCCCGCACCCCGACCCCGTGCAACTCACCAACGAGCTCGTCGACGAGATAAGGCAGGCCGTCAGCGAGGCCAACGCCAGAGGTTCGTACGCACACGCAAAACCTTTAACACCCAATACAGACACAAACCCAATAGGAGATTTGTGGAATACGAATAATTTTATAACGACTAAGCACCGTTGCTGTATTGTCGTTATAACGGACGCTTTTAACATAACATAAAAAGTTATTATTATTACACATAATTTGAAAATATTGAGACAAAGAAAAAGGGTGCGGCATTAAGTTGGGTGGAGTAATTTATTTTATTTCAGATTTTATGATATTTAAAATATACGTATAACTAATAAAAAACAACTCATTAGGGCGGAAAATATTTCATGATTCACAAACATTACTTCATTTCCATTTTTGGGTATCACTTATACAATATGTGTTGCTCTATTATTACTAACCGTTATTTACGATTTACACTACCGTAGTGTAACACAGTGTTTCGTTATATATATATAAGCTTTTTATGTAAGCTTTTTTGTTTGGTGGTGGATATGATTTACAATTTTTATAAATGAGTATTTTTATCATAATTAAATTTTAGTGGTATTTTTTTCACTTTTGTTTTGTATTGGACACTCGAGAGATCAAATTTATTAGAATGTACTGATTAGAAAATGTTATGATTTTTATACATTTATTACAAATTCGAGCCGATTCTTATGAACTTATCGAGATTTGTCTTGAAATATAATATATGGAGTTCATTTTTATTAAATACATAGTGCTAATAAAAAAAACTGCAAAAAAAATCTTATCTTAAATATTTTTATTCCGTAATTGTAATCCTTAATAATTTTTTTTATGCGAAAAGTTGTCAAACGAGCAGACGGTTCACCTGATGTTAAGTGAATAGCGCCGCCCATGGACATCTGCCACACCCGAGGGTACAGATGCGTTGACAACCTTTGGAAAATTGGGCTCCGGCTACGTCACCAGACGAAACGCGAAAGTATTTGTCATACTTCCACTTTACGCTGGTCTTCTGTGAGGTCGTTGTACTTACCCGGACGGGCCTGCCCATTCGTGCAACAGCCGAGCCTGCTGCGTGGCCCTACCACCGTAAAATTTCAACTTTTATTTCGTATTCCGCATCAGAAATATATCATTTGTGAAAATTTCAACTGTATAGCTATTACGGTTCACGAGATACAGCCTGGTGATATAATGATAGACAGACAGGCAGACAGATAGCGGAGTCTTAGAAATAGGGTCCCGTTACACCCTTTGGGTACGGAACCCTAAAAAGTCCCCGCTGCTAATATTTGTAGACCCGTTAGTTACTCGACGCTGTTCGCGGTCGCTATGTCCGATCCGATTGTACACGGGTAAGCGACCGACGGGCAGCGTCGCGGGCGGGAGGGGATCGGGGGGGGGGGGGGGGGGGGGGGACTCGGTCTCGCCCGGACGGCGAGTGAAGGCTGCGCGTGTGGTTGTAGTGAAGAAAGCCCCGGCTTGTGTAGTCGGCGGCGAGGTGCCGTGGCAGCCGCTGTCGGCTGCCGCATCGGAGGCGAGCCTGTCGCCGCCGCCCGCCGCGCTCGCCGCCCAGCCCGTCACCCAGTGGACCAAGCAACAGGTACGGAGCGAGTAGTCGTCCACATGTCGGCGTCCTACCGTTAGAGCTCGAATGTCGGACGTCGGCGTAGTTCGAGGTCGTTTCTGTCCTCGGACTAATGCCTGGTGTTTAGTGAATATCCTCGCCCATGGAAATCTACAACAACCGATGGCTTGCAGATGCGTTGGTAACCTTTAATAGAGTAGGCCGCGGTCAGCTCATTCGAAACGCGAAAATTTAATACTTCTACCTCACGCCGGTCTACTGGAGGTCGTCGGTCGATTATACTACAATACAGTGATCATTTGTTAGTCCTCCATATATTAATCAATCCCGAGAGGAAACAAAGTTCGTTTAAGGTTCGGGCCGCGAGGGACGGCCGACTCGAGATTGACGCGCTCCCTCGGTGCGCAGGTGTGGCAGTGGGTGTCGGGGCTGGCCGAGGGCCTGGACAGGCACGCGGGCGCGTTCGCCGCTCGCGGCGTGGACGGCGCCCTGCTGCTGGCGCTCAGCTCGGCCGACCTCAAGCTGCTCGGCCTCAACGGCGACCACCGGCGGCGGATGAAGAGGCGCCTCAAGGAGCTGCGCGCCGCGCACGAGAAGCACCTCAAGGCGCTCAAGAAGGCGGAGAAGAAGGCCAAGAAGAAGTAGCTGCCCCGCAACTCGCCAATGATGACGTCACGGCACAGACAAACTTAGACTGTCTATGCCGTGACGAACGTAGACTCTGATCACCCGAAGTACTAATAAGAGCAGGTTGGTACCCGAAATTTCGATGTAAGAATTCACGCTACCGACAAGGTGCTAGTTACTTGTGCGAATAGAATGGAATCGTGGCAATTTCACATTTTATTACTCGTGTGAAATTATTCCTACGTCTAAGAGCTGTAGTGGCCCGTTAGTGTTCGCGCTTAGGGTAAGACCGCACCAGTGAAGGGGCTCCGAAAGCGCTAGAACGCACCAAAGATGCAGTGCATTCTGAAAAACACGAACTTTATGGATATTAAAAATCCGCAGCTTATAACGTTTAACAGGTTTTTTGGCTCGCTAGGATAAGTGTGAAAAATCAAGGTATATGTAATCGTGATGAAAACTTAATGTATTACTATATGTGATTAATCTAAATTTTGTCTACTTAATTCATTGATTAGTACTTAAGTCAAAAAGGAAGTTAAATAAACAATTTCAACATCATATTAAATTATAAAGTAATGATGTGACTAAATTAACATTTAATTCAATAAACATAGCCAACTGCTTCATATATTTATTGACGACGTTTTAGGCCGTTATTAAGGCTTTAAAGAATTTATTCTTTACGGTTACCAGACACGAATATTTTATGTTTCCTAATCTATATTATATTTCTTGCCAATTTGTCATAAATTTAGCAGTAGTTTTCTTCACCTAGATTTTGGGAAAATTTAATAGAATTTAATATACATATTTGTCTGTAAACTATCTCTGTCTTCTGTGTCTATGTCTTCTTTTAGTGTGTTCTGTATTAAAATTTGGAAAAATAATGTCTGGTAGCTGATTTGTATTCAAATTCACATGTGTACTCATATTTACTTCAGTTTTTTCTTTAATATTTATGGCCACAGTAGAGGCACTGTGTGGTGGCATTTCGTTTTGTATAGTTAGTAATATAATACACAATTAAAATGCCACTACATAGCGTCTCCCAGGTACAATTAAAATGTACCTGTACATGTTATATGTATTAGTAAATACTTTTTTGTCTGTAACACATTTTGCCATTATCCCACTCTACTGTTCGCTCGGTTTTCGATAATGGGCGGCGATCTTTGTAAAAAAACTCTGCTATTGATCCTTAATGATGGTAGGTTATATATCAATAACTGTGTCTGATAGCGTAACAAGTGCCATCTGACTATAGCTTAGAGTTTAGGGTGGTTAGCGCAGCTCCAAATGGAGAAAAGAATAATTGTGAATAAAAGTAATAGTAATTTTGGCGTGAACCTGAACGGTGCCCATTCCTCAACAACATTAAGCCACTATTGTGCTATGTATATGTGTAATGCATTAATTCTTCGTCGTTCCTACATTTCGTATTCATTGTGTCAGTTTTTTCTTCTAGTTCATTGATACCATACAATTGACTGTTTGAATAAAAACACTGGCTCAATCTAGTCATAAGATCGATTTGTAAGCTGAAATTAATTGACTTACGTTTGCATTTTCTTTTCATAAAAAATTTTAGATATTATGGTAAATATGTATTCATGTATGTAATATGTTTCTTGACTCTTGATATATTTATATGGTCCTTCTTATTGTAGATTTATAGTTGGATATCAAAATGAAACTGATTTTATTAACTTTGGCATTTCTTTAACAATGGTATTGCACAAAATGTACTTAGTAATAATGTGGCTGAGCACTCACAGTTGACAATATGGTTGATTTATGATTATGTACCGAATATTGATTAAACATGTGATCTCATCACGCAAGTGTACCGGATTGTGAATGTTAACGCGTCATAAATATACCTATGCAAAAGACCAACTCTAGGGACAGTTCTGATTATTTGTTTATATAACATTCCAGTTACAACACTCTCCTTATGATTACATTGACAATTTAGACATGCTTTTATAGTTTCATTAGGCAAATACATAGCGTTTACCTAAGTGTTATTCTCTGTGTATCAATGTGTGTGTTTGGTTCCGTAGCTAATTTTACCGTGTAAATATAGTCTCGACGTGGACAGAACGGGGAAATCTTAAATGATGTGCTTGAAATTACTGTATGACTGAATGTATGTTGTACCTTTAGACTATTTATTTCAATTAAGATTTAATGTTAATATAAGTAGGAAGTCCAATAACAATTGCCAAAATTGACGAGTACTTTTAACATTGTTGATTTTTTTTAATTCTTTTTCCCCTTATTTTATTTAAATATTTATTTTGGGACCAAATTAATTTATTATGAACTTACAACCTATTATTTATGTATTTTTGGTGTGTTCAGATGATAGAATTTTATTTATAAATGAATAAAGAAACCAAAGTGTATAACGCATAGTCTTTTCCTTTCCATGAAATGTTTAATGTTATTATTATTTACATTTTGTGAGGTGATGAAAATATAATCTACAGTCGTGATTTGAGTTTTCTTATCTTTTCAGTACAATAATCCAAGCACTATATACATATATTTATTTTTAAGGATTAAATTAAAGGATCTGAATTGTTTGAATATAATTTTGAAGGCAAGTCATAGAAAAATGAAGTGTTGTGAAAAAAGTTGTACTAAGTAAATTTGCTTTTTTGTTTGTTTTGAATGTGAAATATCCCAGTTTAATATCGGTCAATACTGTGGTACAATAACAACAGTTGTTCCTTATGCATAAGTTTTTTCGTCTCTAGAAGTATCTGTGTAGTTTGCAGTAAGTCCAATGGCTTTGACTGCCACGTCGAAAGAGGCCCGCAGCAGACAAGCCAAGAACTCAGATCTCAGAAGAGTATTTATTGTATGAAAAGTTTCTATACTCCTTGTTCATCTTTTGAAGTCATAGTCAACGAAAAAACAACAAAACATCGAGGCTTTAAGACAATTGCAATTTGAGAATGCATTATAAATCGCCTGCAACATTCAATCGAATTTGATAAAGCTCAAATCCATATTTATACAGACATTCCCAAGTTTGATTCGTGAGAATTGAAATCAAGAAAAATCAATGGAAAAAAGAAATCTTATAATAATTATACTTATCATATTAAAAAATAAAAAACAATATTTTGCCCAAAATTAAATTAATATGTTCAGCCTGGTTGGATGTGAAGCCAATTAGATGAGAAGTTAACAACTTTTAAAGAATGTATTTTTTGAAATATGAAATATTTTTCAACTTGAGAAGAAAATAATTCATTCTTTGTGTAATAAATTGCATTGATAGGAGAATAGATTAAAAATCAACGAAGACGACGACCCAATTGGCGCAGTGGATGGTGGACTTGTCTCCTGCGCTAGGGGGTGTGGGTTCGATCCCCACTACTGGGAAAATATTGTTTGATGAACATAGTTTTGTTCCAGTGTCTGGGTGTTTATAGATCTATAATATGTATTTCTTTACAAAATAAAATTATGTTTTTACGGTTTTGGTTGAAACCGGAAAAGAAGACAGACATTTGATGATTGTGTTTCAATCTGTCAATATTGTATGCAACAAGACTACATATAGTAACAACTAATATTGTAAACAGCACACAAACGCATTAGTGGTTGAGGTAAGTAAGGTTCAAAAGATTATTGAAGCTGAGACATTTTTCATTAAAAACTGGTGCATTAGATGTTGCAACCAGATCTTGGATAGCCGAAGATAGACCTACATGGGACTTTTGGACGAGTTATATTCAATGGTTGACTGCCATAGTTTGGTTATTGTGATAATGATGAGTTACTGCTTGTACCTACATTTTATATTGAACATTGAAATTGGTTGGTAACAATGAAGCCTTATTCAGGAAAATTGAGGTATGATAACCTTTAACACAATAGTTGTGGAGCCTGTGTGGTCAATACCTCTAATTAATATAAAAACCAATATGATATCCACAAAATTGAGGCTTTTTTGCAAATCTATATCTATGTTATATTTTAAGGTGTGTCAAGAGGATTAATCATTAAAAGCAACTAGATGTAAATTATTCAATTTTATTATTTGTCTTTTTATTGCGTTTTCGCTTTTTTGACTTTTTATTTGGTGCTATAGTTGAGGGCTTCGCATTTTCATCATCATCACCATAACAAATGGTGACAAATGCTCCTGGTTTCCTTTTCAGGGATATTTTTTTCTCTATGTTTTGATTTTCAGAAGCATCACTTTCAACATCATCATCATTTTGAACACCGCCCTCAACAGATTCCTCTTTGTCAGTTTCTTCTTTCTTTACCAGATGATTCTGTCTATTCAATGTTATACAAGTAACTCTACAGGATGCATTGCTTGTGCATGTTTCATGCAATTTTTCATCTTTAACTGACCATGCTTTGAGCTCCCCAGAACTGGATGCAGAGAACATTGTGTTATTTTCATAATACAAACATTTAACCCTCTGTTTATGGCCTTTATATGTAAGGGCTTCACTATCAGTAACATTTAATGTTATGATATTACCATTCTCTAAACCAACAAATATTCTTTCATCATTAGTCCACTGAACTGATGTTGGTTTTGAGTTGCATGATATTCTTTTCTCAATACCGGCTTTACTAATTGTCCAAATATCAACTGTTTGCTGAGACAGTAAGGAAAATCTATCACCACCTGGGGAAAATTTAATTTCTGTTGGCAGAGACACCCCTTTACTAGTAAGGTTCATAGTGAAAGCTGGTCTTCCTTTGATTAAATTCCAAGTCCGTAATGTTTTATCTCCACCTATACTAAGTGCCATTTTATCAGATGGATGAACAGCTATAGCAGTAACTGGTTGACCTAAAAACAACCAATAAATGAAATAAATAAAGTGAACATGCATTAGAATGGTATTTACAATGTACTTTTCTCAATTATGTTAGTAGTGATCTATAATATAATGCTTTACATTGCATCTTTGATATTCATTTCATTTATTATACAATGTAAGTTGATGTTTTTATATTTGATTGATTGTTATATAGAGTTTGTCCATACCATTCTATGTCACCATTTCCCAAACATTATTGATAGGTAGCCTGTCATTATACACCATACAATAAACAAATTGGAAAACTCATTGATCAACTGGGAACTAAACCTTGGACTAATGTCCACCAGACTGTCATTGCCTTATATTGGGTATAAAGGTAAATAAATTACTCTATAAAAAAATAAAATGTCATCCATATTAAAACATCATTAACTCAAATGAGCCATTAAGACACATTATCCTAACACGACCTTACCTCCATGTGCCTTTTTCCAAATCTTTTCTATTTGCCAATTCCCAGTACGTGTGACAACAATTGAACCATCATCGCTGCCGGTTAGTAAATGGGTTCCACCATGTGTAAAGGCTACAGAATTTATTGTACCATCATGTTGCATTAAAACGGTGTGTTCTTTACGAGTTTTCAAATCTATCACAACAACTTTATCATCTGTGCCACCAGATGCTAGGAACTTTCCTGCGATTGATATGCATCGTACTGATGCTGTATGTGAATGTGTTGCGAAAGTTTGTTTCAATCTCTTAACCTATAAAAGATATAATTGATTTTTTCGATTAAATGGTTCAATAAATATAACAAATAAGCATGGTATTACTTACATCATTTTCCGTCCGTAAGGAGTATCCTAGTAGAAATCCTTCATATGTACCAATTACTACTTCATCCATGATTTTAAAAGATTATTAACCATATAACCTTATTTTTGTTTGTCAATGTCAGTTCAATTTATGGAGGGTTTGAAGTAAGGAGGACTTAGGACCATCTCGTATGGGGGATTAGTCGAAAAAAAGTGTCCACTTGTAAACAGCAAATTATTGTTCGAACTCTCACCGAAATAGCGCTAGTGTAGCAAGTGGAAATGATATGAACTTAGCAGTTATAAGCAGAGTGAAGTGTGCTAAATATTGTGTTATATCGTTGAAAATATAAATTTTTATTTCTTCATTTATATTTTAATATATTGTACTGTAAATATATTGTTATTTTTAATAATAAATATTTATTGATTGCCTGTTAAATCCGTTTTGGTGATTTCTACATTTAGATAATAATTATGAAACCTCTATAACCTTTTTTCAGCAATTGATTGTCTAAATGATTGAGAATTTGCTTGTTACAATTTTAATTGTTTTTTTTATTTCGGTAATTCTTTAATACTATATTCTATTTGCTATTTAATTTATTTAATTGGGGTACTTGAAAACACTGTATAATTTTAATTTTATTCCATACTCATTTTTGTCTATATATTACAATAAAATTTAAAAAATTGCGCTGTAACAAAGCGGAAATGTTTCTTTCCTTTTTTAATTTAGTACTCTAATAATTTGTGGCACTCTATTTAAAATTCTTCCACTTGCTACTATAGCGCCACCTTAATTTGCTCCCTTTCAATAGTTCAATTCTTCAATTAAAACGTTCAATTCGAAAACTTCAAATTGATCTGTCATTCTTGTTTTTTTCTTTTTATGGAGAAAAGGAGCAAACGAGCAGGCGTCTCACCTGATGGTACCTAAGTGATTACCACCGCCCATGAACACCTGCAATACCCGAGGGCTTACAAATGCGTTGTCAGCCTTTTAGAAAAGAGTATGCTCTCTTTTTGTAGGTTCCAAGGTCGTAACGGTTTGGAAAGACCGCCGGCGACAACTGGTTCCACAGAGTGGTTGTGCGAATCAGGAAATGCCTTGAAAATCGCGCTATTGTGGAACGTTGGACATTGAGGTGGTGTGGATGAATTTTTGTTTTTGATTTTGACGTGAAGTCCGATGGGGAAATTCGCCGCCAGGATCAACCCAAACAATTCCTCAGAACAATCATCGTGATAAATGCGGTAGAAGATGCAGACTGATCTAACATCTTTACGTAGAGCCAAAGGGTCAAGCTGATCAGCCGGAGAGACTTTGATCGTCGATAACCCTAGCCGCCCTACGTTGAATGCGGTCAAAATTCAAAGGGATGAAGCTGGTAATAGGGGGCTCCGAGATGAATGACAACAGTACTCCATGTGGGGCTGAATTTGCCTTATAAAGGTTAAGGCGTTGAGCCACAGTGAAGTACTGTCTCGCCTTGCTAAGCACATGTATTTCTGTTTTTTATATATTTTAAGGAAATTTGAAAATAATTTGCGTGTTGAAACACGAATTACGACAAAATGAATTTGGGAACAAATTTTAGTAGAAAATTAACGCTTGTTTTTAAAGCAATGGAAATTATATGTTTTAGAACTATGACAGAAAATGGAAAACGATCTCGTGAGGATGACACTTGTAAATTTATCCCGATTAAAAAAGGATAAACAACCTGCGCATAAATAACAACCTCACAAATCCACTTATTTCGTAATCTGTGGAACGTAGTGATGTTAATGGAATTGAAGTACAGACTACAGATGAATCGGCTTTGAATCTCCAAAATTCTAAAAGAATGTTAAAGTCCCGGCGTGCCTTCTTGTTGAATTATGTTTTGAACTGAATTTAGAGAGAATACGACGACTAGGACAACAGTTTCCTTTTTGAAATGAAACTGTCGTCCTGTTGAACTGAAGGAATCAAAATATTTTAGGTTAGATAAAAGCTACCAACTATTTATAAAAAGCAATGGCGACATCTCTCGTTCGAATTATCGTTGTTCGATTCCCACAGCGGTGACAATCTTTTCGTACTTTTTCTACATGTTTTAATGTTTAATCTTAAGTGCAGAGATTAGCACTTTATTTAACTTTAAATTTCTTCATTGTTAATGGTTATTATGCATGGCAACATTAGCTGACAATGTCAAAGGAAGAAAAGAAGCTTCCGTAACTTGTAATAAGCATATTTTTTTGGAATAATAGATGAATATTTTGTTAAATTGTACGATTTATTTTGTTTAAAAATTGCTGCCACCAAGATATCATCATTCTGGTAAGTACAGATTATTTTGAGAACTGGTAATAAACTTATTAGAAGTGAACGTTTGCCAGTATTGATTTCGTCCGTAACGTTTCGATTAATAATGTATTTTTTCTAGGATTCCCAAAAGAGGACCTATTTAGACATCTACAAGATGGATTTGGCTGAGACAATGAAGAACGTATTAGCGAAAAGTACTGGCAGTGCTAGTAGTGCGGCGAGCTCATCAGGAGGTGCAACTCCTCACGGTGCTGAAGGATACGTCACCGAAAAGCTATATATGTTACTACAATTATACTTGCAGAATAAGGGCTGGAGCCCTAGCATAGAGTTATTACAATGTTTCAGTGACCTTAAGGAATCTTCTATGCTGCCTAGTGCTGCTTATTTACAGTAATAAAGCAGTCTATTTTACTTGTGTTGAGTGTGATTCTAATTTAGTGAATAAGTATAATAATTTAATACAAAATTTCTAGAATGATGGCATCAAGAGTTGGCTTAGATACACAAGGAAGGCTGATATTGCGTGAAAATGGGAAGATTATTCTTCCATATGAACATTTTGCTAATGCAGTAATGCTGAAACATATGAATGGTCCTCATGGATTACATCTAGGTCTTGAAGCTACTGTCCGTGCTGTTAGTGACCCATTTTTATCAAAAAGTTCGTTGGGTAGCTTTTAATGTCTTGATTAAAGCTTATTAAATATTAATATGTTTAAGGTTGTTGAATCATATACCATAGGAAGGGAACAATTTGGGATGGAAAAAGAATTCATTGTTGAAGTGGTTCAAAACTGTCCAAATCCTGCTTGCCGCTATTACAAAAATCAATTGGAAATGACTCAGAAATCCATTCAACAGCATTTATCTCAACAGCCTACATATATTCCTGGTAAGTTTTTTACAAATTCTACACTATCCTGCTAACAATAATCAATACTGTTTTACTATTTTACTTATAATTAAAACTATTTTATCCTGGCAAAATGAGTAAGAGAAAAGTATACAATATAAACATAGTACCATACCATGTTGTAGGATGGTAAAGTATACATGAGTAATATATATTATACATGAGTATAAGTGAAAATTATTTGTATAATATACTTTGATGATATTTTATGACTGTTGCTAAAAGTTTAAACTGATCAGGTTCAAATATTGCAAGAAAAGCCATTTTAATTTTTCTGTCATCATTAAACATGGTATGTTATTTTACTTCTAAAAGTGAAATAATCAAATGAAACCTTTTCGAAAGTTGTATACAGGAAAAATATCATGAAAAGCAATAATGAATTACATTAATGTTTTGAGACATTTATGTAATTAAGTACCTCGAGGACCTTTTTGGACCTCTATTTTGGAAATAAAAAAAGTAAAAAATAAAGAAAATGATCTGGTATAGAAAAAAAAGTAAAAAAATAATTGTGTAAATGATCGTGATACGAACCGCGTTATGGGGCCGCCCGATTACTGACCGAGCTATTATAACATTTAATTTTGCGGTGAAATTTACTGTCATATTGGAATGATATTTTTCATTCCCTGAAAACAGGGATAAAAGGACATTTTCTAAAAATGAAACCTAGCTAGATCGACTTTTCGCCCCCGAATCTACCCACATACTAAATTTCATGAAAATCGCTGGAGTGGATTTCCGAGGCGGAGATTCCGATTATATATATATATATATACATATATACAAGAATTGCTCGTTTAAAGGATAAGATGACTATAGACGTATAGACTTTATCAAGTGATCATCAGTGTAAAAGTTATCACAGTCTATAAGACATAAAAATTGGCACGCTTCAATCATATTGGTGCGAAAGTCTTTTACAACAGTATATAGTCTTTCTGTATTTTTATCTTGCATTTCTGTGTATTATTAGGTTCTTTTGCTGTTTTTTCTGGAAGATTTCCAGAAAGGTTTACAAAAAAATAGTCTCATATATTGTGCAGTTCCTTAGGAAGCCTTTGCTCCTGTCTAATACATAGAATACAAAATATTCAGTTTATCTGTTCCTGAAGACCTAGTTCACAGATGTATTTATCCTGAAAGTCAATTTTGTTTCTTTTAAAAATAACGGCATGGCTACCAATTTTTATTGTATGTTATAAAATATATTCCAGCATGCAAATTTCTACCAGTGTAGGGTTTTCTCCTAAAAAACTTAAATTTTTTTACATATATTTTATCTATTATTAAAATAATGAATTGAATTTAAAACACAGTTGTGTATAAAAGCTGGCACAATCTATACCTAATTAACTCTACCGGAGTACAAGTCCCAACTTAATTGACAGCAGTGTCACCACTGCTGGTAGCATCAAATTTGCAATTCTTTTTCAAAAAAAAAACTAATTTTTCATACATAATTTCATAGATAAAACTACTTTATAGAGCTTACCAATTTTCATATTTTTACGTTAATTTCAAATATTACCGCACTACTACAGTACAATGCAGCCGTTGTGGTCATGGTCTTAGTTGACCATAAACACTAAATAAATTATTTTACATTAATATTATTAATAAATGTAATGTAAAATAAATGTAATTAATAATTTACTATTTCAGCATGGAAGTTCACATTCTAGACTTTAGATTTTAATTTAGAAATCTCTAAGGTTTTTTAACAACAATACATTTGCTTGCACAAAGTTTTTATTAGTGATTAAATAATATCTATGGTTTATGTTAAATAAAATAATATTTTATTTCACATGAAACTGTACATACAAAATGTTACACAATTGTCCAATAAAGGAATGTAAGTTTGATCTAAGGCAGTGCATGCACTTAGCATTTCCATGAGCCTCTTAACGTGTCTAGATGCGGGCAGTTCGAACCTGTCCGACAGTCAGGCAGTGAAAAAAAGCAGTGAAAAAAAAAATGCTTGTTCCTACTTGAAAGGTGGTAGTAGCCACGGCTGCCATCGCATCAACCTAATTCGTGGTCGAAGTAACAGAAACAATAAAAACGCCATAAAACCATCTGTTATGACATTTGGCGCGTGGAACGTGAGAACACTAATTGATCGAGACGCGCCTGCCCTGAACGTAAAACCGCCATAGTAGCTCGTGAACTTTATCGTTATGATGTGGATGTGGCTGCGCTCAGCGAGACCCATCTCAATGATGAAGGAGAGCTGGTGGAAGATGGCGGCGGCTATACTTTTTTCTGAAGCCTGGAAAGGTACCGCTTGTTCAGAACCTCGATTTTCAGGTGTAGGATTTGCCATCAAGAATCAATTAGTTAAGCGACTTGAGGAGTACCCTGTACATATTTCGGACCGCGTGACCACCTTGCGCCTTCACTTGGATAATGACAATTTCCTTAATATCATCAGTGTCTATGCTCCAACGCTGGACAAGTCTGATGATATCAAGGACAAATTCTATGATGAATTATCTCAATGCCTTGACAGCATAAGCTCCAGAGAGCAGGTCCTGTTGCTAGGAGATTCAAATGCCAGGGTTGGTCGGGACTATGAGGCCTGGCCTGGAGTTCTGGGTAGACACGGAGTTGGCAAAATGAACAGTAATGGTCAGTTGCTACTCAGTTTTTTGTGCTCAATACGAACTTGCAATAACGAACACAATGTTCAGACTTTCCGCCAAGCACAAGACTACGTGGATGCACCCAAGATCCAAGCACTGGCATTTGATCGATTATGCTGTCGTACGGCAAAGAGATATCAGTCAAGTCCAAATCACCCGCGTCATGCGCGGCGCACACTGCTGGACTGATCACCGACTCATTGTCACTAAACTGCGACTCCACCTCCGTAGACCACGTAGATTTCAAATAAGTAAGCCTGCGTCTTTGAACGTAGATAGGCTAAAAAATCGTGAGTTCAGGGAGATCTATGCTGAAGCCTTATTTGGAAATATGTTGCCAGTTAGTGAGATTGGTGATATCAGCTCTGCTTGGAGTGCGTTGTCTTCTCATCTCATGGAGACTGCCTCAGTTACTTTAGGTGTAGTACACACAGACCGACGTAATAAAGACTGGTTCGATGAGAATGACGAAGCTCTCAGAGCGGGGTTGGATAAGCACCGAGATCTTCTGCGACAGCATAAGAGACGAGGAGGAAGCGTTGCGGTGCTCAAAGAGAGTGACACTCAATTGCGTAAGCTGTCTCGAAGATTAAAAGATAATTGGTGGCAAGACAAAGCTTGTCATATCCAGTGGCTTGCTGACACAAACCAGCTTGGGGAGTTTTACACCGAGTTACGTAAACTGATTAAAACACCCTACCGAGTTAATGTGCCTTTGAGGTCTTCAAACGGAACGCACTTACTTACAAGCAAGGACGATGTACTGAAGCGTTGAGCCGAACATTTTAATATATTGCTCAACGTAGATCGATTAGCTGATCTTCAGAATATCAGTTTAATGCCTCAACTCCCCCTAGCCACTGAGCTGGACCAGCCTCTGTCGCGTGACGAGATTGTGATTGCCATCAGACAGCAACAAAATAAACGGGCGGCTGGCATTGACCTTATACCAGGCGAGCTGCTTAAGTACGTCGGTGAGGAGTTGCACACTTTGGTGTGGGAACTATTTGTTCGTATGTGGGAAGAGGAACGAGTCCCGCATGAATTCAAAGTGTCGCGCATACTTGCACTCTATAAGAACAAGGGTGACCGGTCCGACTGCGACTCCCACCGTGGTATTTCGCTTCTGACAGCCCCCGGAAAGGTCTTTGCAAGAGCCCTTTTAAACCGCCTGAAGCTTTTGTCGGAAAAGATTTTGCCTAAAACCCAGTTTGGCTTCCGGCCTGACCGAGGCACCTGTGAAGCTATCTTCTCTGTGCGCCAACTCCAAGAAAAAAGTAGAGAACAGGGACGTCAGCTATATCTCTGCTTTGTGGACTTAGAGAAAGCTTTCGACAGTGTGCCTCGTGAAGCTCTCTGGATGGTGCTAGGAAGGCTGGGGTGTACGGAAAAGTTTGTGAGGCTTCTGAGACTTCTGCATGACGATATGCAATGCTGCGTCTCCGTAGACGGTGAACAGTCAGATTTTTTCCCGGTTACCTGTGGAGTGAAACAAGGGTGTGTCTTAGCGCCCACACTGTTTGCCCTTTATTTTGCAGTAGTAGTCAAACAGGTCTTACAAACGGTTTCCGAAGGAGTTCGCATCCGCTTCCGAACAGATGGCAGTCTTTTCAACCTGGCCAGACTTAAGGCGCGCACTAAAGTCTCGTATGCATTAATTACAGAGATTATGTATGCTGATGACTTATGCTTTTTAGCAGAATCTCCACAAGGCCTGCAAAAGCTGATGTCTGTCTTCCACCAAGCATGCTGTAAGTTTGGTCTGAAGATTAGTGTCAAAAAGACGGAGGTGATGTCCTTGGACACACATGGTCGTGAGACACTGACCATTAAGCTTGGTGAGGATGTGCTGAACCAGGTCGATAAATTTCGATATTTGGGTAGCACTATAAAATCTAACTGCGACCTTGACGCTGAAATCAACAGCAGGATCAGTGCTGCAGCTGCTGCATTTGGTAGGCTGCGATCTAAGGTCTTCTACTCGCTCGACCTTAAGCTGGCTACAAAAATCTCGGTGTACAAGGCGATTGTGCTGCCAAACCTCTTATATTCCTCCGAGACATGATGTGTGTATCGCCACCACATTCGTACTCTGGATCGGTTCCACCTTAAATGCCTTCGTACCATCATGAAGATCAGATGGTCCAACCGGGTGCGTAATACTGAAGTTTTGCGACGAGCCAATGTCGGTGGCATTGAGGCATATTTAATACGTCGGCAGCTTCGATGGTGTGGTCATGTGTCACGTATGGCGGAGGAACGAGTGGCGAAACGCATCTTTTACTCTGAACTAGAGGAGGGGAAACGGAAACATGGCGGTCAACTCCTCAGATACAAAGATGTTCAGAAACGACATATGAAGAGATGCAACATAGAGCCATCCAAGTGGGAGGTTTTGGCAGCGCAGCGTACGGAGTGGCGCGGAATTGTGCAGAGGCGTATCCGCGAGTTTGAAGATCAGCGTAAAGCTGAACTCGACGCTAAGCGCGATGACCTAAAGGCCCGTCCAACCGCCGCCATTAATTATAACTATGTAGGCGGCGTACTCACTTGCCCTCACTGTGCAAGAGAGTTTGCCGCCAAGATTGGCTATATAAGCCATTTTCGGGCGCATCAGCGTCAAATCAATTAGGAGTTGAAGAGGTCGCCATGGCCGAAATCGGTCGGAATAATCAATCATCAGTCTTTCTGTATTTTTATCTTGCATTTCTGTGTATTATTAGGTTCTTTTGCTGTTTTTTCTGGAAGATTTTCAGAAAGGTTTACAAAAAAATAGTCTCATCTATTGTGCAGTTCCTTAGGAAGCCTTTGCTCCTGTCTAATACATAGAATACAAAATATTCAGTTTATCTGTTCCTGAAGACCTAGTTCACAGATGTATTTATCCTGAAAGTCAATTTTGTTTCTTTTAACGGCATGGCTACCAATTTTTATTGTATGTTATAAAATATATTCCAGCATGCAAATTTCTACCAGTGTATGGTTTTCTCCTAAAAAACTTAAATTTTTTTACATATATTTTATCTATTAAAAATAATGAATTGAATTTAAAACACAGTTGTGTATAAAAGCTGGCACAATCTATACCTAATTAACTCTACCGGAGTACAAGTCCCAACTTAATTGACAGCAGTGTCACCACTGCTGGTAGCATCAAATTTGCAATTCTTTTTCAAAAAAAAACTAATTTTTCATACATAATTTCATAGATAAAACTACTTTATAGAGCTTACCAATTTTCATATTTTTACGTTAATTTCAAATATTACCGCACTACTACAGTACAATGCAGCCGTTGTGGACATGGTCTTAGTTGACCATAAACACTAAATAAATTATTTTACATTAATATTATTAATAAATGTAATGTAAAATAAATGTATTTAATAATTTACTATTTCAGCATGGAAGTTCACATTCTAGACTTTAGATTTTAATTTAGAAATCTCTAAGGTTTTTTAACAACATTACATTTGCTTGCACAAAGAGTTTTATTAGTGATTAAATAATATCTATGGTTTATGTTAAATAAAATAATATTTTATTTCACATGAAACTGTACATACAAAATGTTACACAACTGTCCAATAAAGGAATGTAAGTTTGATCTAAGGCAGTGCATGCTCTTAGCATTTCCATGAGCCTCTTAACGTGTCTAGATGCGGGCAGTTCGAACCTGTCCGACAGTCAGGCAGTGGAGCGCTTGCTGCGGGGCTCTGCCCTGGCGCAGGACTACCAGCTGCCAATAGCTCCGCACATCGCCGCTCTCAGTGAGTCGCTGTCTAAAAAACAGCAGATTCTCATTTGAAATTCGAATTTTGTTTGTTGGTTGTTATTATTAGTTCTGCACATCATTGACCCTGTTCAACTTTTTACACTACTTCATTTAATTATGTTACTTAGTTCGACTTGATTTTAGTTTAGAAGTATTGCAGACAGCATTGTAATTTTATGTACTATATATTTATTTTATACTTTTTTTTTCTATTTCCTCAAAAATTATACGCTTTGGTCTATGGATTTGTTAAAATTTGCAATAAAGAGTAGTATATCATAAGCAAAGTTATTTGATGTTTATACACAACACAAAAAAACAACAAATCATGTTTAATATGGTGCTTTATTCAGTATTAATGCACATTTTTAAATAAAATAATTGGATGATTGTAATTAATGTATGTTTCTTTATATTATATTATTAAGGTAAACAAATTAAAGAATGTGTTAGAACAGATAAGGCATATAACATTTTAATGTAGTTGTAGTTATAGTGTAGGAGTTTTTTGCAAATCCCGAATGGAGAAGCGATTGTAGCCAAGTGTGAATTATCCTCACGTTGAAATGTTGGATCGTATCTCGTTTCAGCTGGTCTGACAGGCGATAAAGCAGACCGCCGCTCTCAAGACAAACTGTCGCAGCACCAGCAAATGCTGCTGCAACACCAAAACAGGTCAATGGCACATCAGTCTTCCATGGATAAGTACAGCCACTCACAGCAACGCTCCACGGCCGGCTCTCAGTCCAGTCTGGAGACTAAATCTAAACAACATTACTCTGACGAGCACAAGCTCACAGACTTCCTGAGGTAATTAAAGACGCGCCCAGTGCTCCGTTCAGTTTGCGCTTGCAATAGCAATTCTCGAATTAATTCATTACACCTGGGCTATATTACGTTTGGGCGAAGTGGGCCTTTTATTTGTTAATATTGTCAGTTAATACGGTCGCTTTAATATTAAAAAGAAAACTAATATTATCAGTGATCAATTGTATTTGGATCTGCAAACATTTTTTTTATTGCCAGGTATGTATTTACATGCTGGTACAATTCAAAAGCAATAACTGTAATAGATAACAATTCTACAGGGCATATTAAACTATAATTGAAAGTGCAGCACTAATAAGTATAGATTGTTTCGCGTGTTGCACAATGTATGTTCCCAAATTTTTTTGAATTTGGAATACGAAACTGGGATGTTATAAAGGGGACAATAATTATGACATATTTTAAGCATTTATTTTTCTTCATATTTGTTATTACGAATTTAATTCAGTTGAAATCAACTTTAATTCTGTACTTTTCGGCGAATGATGTCACCTGTCGTCAGCAAAGCGTGACTACATTTAGTTTTTTGCTACTGTTGTATGTAACAGGATATTAGAGATTAAACAGAGAACAAAAACGTACCTTTACCGTACCTATTGTACTAACGATCGGTCTGTACGGAAATTTTTTAAAGCATCCATTATATTCGCATGTAATTTGAACGTGAATAGGATTTTGGCTGATAATATTCAATTCGCGCAGATCCGGATCGCCTGTGTTTTAACTTCAAATACTAATTTTAAAATTAGTATTTGAAGTTAAAACACAGTCGTTAAGGCCGGTTCTAGCGTTTAATGATATATGCCAGAGCAACCTGAGTTCAATCCCCGATGCCGGCATGAAATTGTTAATATCAAATGTTGAAATATCACGGCTCAGCGGTGAAGGAAAACGTCGTGAGGAAACCTGCTTATTCAAAAAAAAAAGCAAAAAAATATTTAGATATTTCTATATCAATCGCCAATCCGCATTGGGGCGTGTGCTAGAATATGCCCTAATATCCTCTGTAAATAGAAAGCCTTTGCCCTGTAGTGAATACCATTAAAACTAATATGTGTATGTAACACTGTTTTTAAGTTCGAACCTACCGCCTCGCGTTCTCATCTCAACACCCTCACCGCGCGAATAAGTTAGCATCGTTAAGAAATGCTTCGCGCGATTGCGATCTTTGCACCGCAAGTGCGAGTGACGCTCACCGTCCGTCCTTCAGATATATCGATATTTTTAACCGCTATATTTCGATCCGATACATCAATGTAAAATATTCAATATCGAAATCGTATCGAAAACGATATTTTTTTTTCAAATTCGAACCCGGGTCGGAGTCCGCACATTGAAATATTTTTTTGGCAATAGGGCCAAAAAAGAAAATATCGATATATCGACATGTTTCATCACTCTCGGCGTCCCCACACCAGGGCGAACCTGGAGAGTCTGGAGGGGCTGTCGGGCGCCGGTGGCGGGGGCGGCGCCGCGGCGGCCGGGGCCGCTTCGGGCGGCGGCCAGGAGCGGGTGGTGCGCGCGTTCGCCGAGCTGGCGCGCAACCTGCAGCGCATGCGGCCGTGCGTGCGCCCCGCCATGTGCAAGCCCTACGGCAAGCAGAGCGAGCAGCTGCAGAAGAGTGAGTGCGCCCCAACTTATAGCCCACGAGGGACCCTCGCATGACCAAGGGACGGCTCAACTGGCAAACATCCTGAAAAGTCTTACTCTACACTCACTTACTTGGAGTAATGTTATCGCTTTCCGTTCAATGGGGTCGGGTGCATACAGAACTACAGTTTTTTCCTTTCGCTCGCACAAGGCGTATGTCGTCTATATGACACTGTCTTGCAAGCAGACCAACCCAATAAGGAACAGTTAGGCTTTTCAATTCGGCTTACTGGAAAATTATACTGCAATAAAAATTTACATATAGCGTGCGTTGAGATTTATCAGATGAATATAAGGTGACGCTTATTTATTTCAGTCTTGTTGGACACGATCCAGCTCGTGCAGTCGTTGAGGAGCTACTTGCCGCCCCCACATATTCAGGTCACCTCGTGGAAGAACGACGACAAGTTACGGTAATTGTAAAAAAGGGTTATTTTAACAAATTTCGGGATTTATCTATCAATTTAAAAACTTTGAAATGTTTTTTTCTTTCCCCCTGCCCCCATCCCACCTATGTGGTAGTAGGTTTTCACAAAAACTCTTGTCCCGTGATGAAATCGAACCCACGACCCTCGATGCCAAAGCCAATAGATTAAGAACTGGAATATTGGTCTTGTAAATACGAAAATTATTTTAATAAAACAAAAAGTCATGAAAATGCGTGTATGACACGCATTTTCAAGACAATCTCATCTAATAGGTCTCAAAGTTAAGTTTACATTGGAAGACTTGAAATGTAATTAATTTTATTATACTCGTTGTAAATTTGCAATCTGTGGAAATTACTTCATCATGCATTCTTCCACCACGTACAGATGGGAGTGGTGGTGGTTCTGTGGTAGGACCACAGAGTAATTTCTGCTGTTGCTATATGAATGTTGTTATTACGACGGCCTCACAAAAGACCAGCATTAAGTGGAAGTATGTATGTAACCAGGACACACTTTTTTATGCTGTTTTGCATCTGCAACCCGACATCTGTAGCAGGTGTCCATGGGCGGCGGTAATCACTTAACATCAGGTGAACCGACTGCTCGCTTGGCAACTATTAACATAAAAAAGCAGCGCGCCTGCAACTTTATTATCTATATCCTGTACCCTAAGGTTGCCTGGAAGAAAAGGCCGCCTGTATGTACACTATGTTTCCTGTATTTTCTTCCTATGTATTTTCTTGTGTGCGATAAAGTATAATCTATTCTGTTTATAGTGTTAATTTTAATTAGCGTGTTAAAATTTCTCTGCATGTAACATGAAACAGTAAAATTTGTAAAAAAATCTTAACGAAATTTTTATGCATCTGCTGTTATGTCCTTTACAGCGCAGAAACAATATATCGTTTTACAACTACATAAACACAATTTACGTTGAGGTTTTCGTCGGTGTGGCAATTGGCCGTTTATTCAATCGGACGTGGGTCCGAATACCGCAGCGTTGTCAGACTTCGTCCATTTGTCTGCGAATTTTAACGGCACCCCGTCTCCTGATTCCAGCTCGAACAGCATGGAGGAGCTCGAGAGCCGTAAGATCGTGAGCGGCAACTAGCCCCCGGAATGTTCTTCGGCCGACTTCTGAGCGTCCGCACTCCCGGACAACACTTACACGGCAGACCAGTGAGAATCCCACAAATTCAATGCGTCTATTATGGAGGTTCGGATCGCTAGTCGGCGGGAATCTGTCGGTGGAAGGACCGGACGAGTTTTTAGTCGCGTCGGGGACACGATATTAATTACGCGGGCAACGTTTATTGTGATGCAATTTACTTACTTGTAATATTTTCAATTATTCACCTCTTAACGGGACGTTGGGTGGGGACTGTGTTCCCTTAATGCACAAACTTAGTTGTACTCAGTTAGTGCATATATTTGTATGCTATTGCGCCCACTAATTCTCGCTATTACTCTGACAGCCGCACTGTTCAGTTACTAGTTTGGAAGTAGATTCGTCAATTTGCGGATTTTGAACTCTAAAGGCTTATGAATAAAATTCCATTTGATATATAAACAGATTTAAGTTAACCTATAATCGATTTCTATTTGTGCCGCTGTGAGGTGTTAATCTTTGTTACAATAACTATAACAGAAACGCTTAATTTCGTTTACTTATATTTGATCTTAAGTTGTTTCCAGATTTTTTATGCTTCCGTCTTGTTGATTTTTAGGTTTAGGACGTAAAATATGCGTAAGATCTGATTTTCTTTATTGTGTCTTATTTCTCGTTACGTACAATTTATATGTGCTTCTACATTGCTTTTGATGTTGCCGATACTTATATAGTACAGTGTTTTTTTTTATTATATAATTTATTACTACGTAATTACGCTAAGTTAGTGTCGGGTTCACTGTCTTTAGTGCATTATTTACACTGTGATAGAAGTGTAAAATGCATAGATCTTGACTTGAGATCGTTTTTACAGTAAATAATCTGTTTACAGATAGAGTGACTTATCCATACTCTATCTATCTTAATGTGCACTTGACACACATCTGTAAACGCATCATTAATCCTTTAAAAAACTAAGAATTCAGACCGTTTCTAGTGATAAGGAAATTGTATAAGAAAATCTTTATAAATCATGTGTATAAAAAGTGAATGCTGTATGACGAATATTGAATCGCCATGTCTTGTCAAATGAGGTGTTAGAATGGATAGTTATCTTAAAGAAGACTGCAAATTTTTCACGTTGTAGCTAGTGTTGTCTATGATTGTATAGTTAAGTCTGGTCATTGAGAACGTGTGGACGTGTGTGTTGTGTACGAGGAGTTAAATTTATTTGCGTATTCAGCATGAGCCTTTATGTAATTGGATTTTGTTTATGGTATTACTAAATTTACAGGTCTCGTATTTAAAGATTTGTTTTTATAGTCTATTGTAAGAAATAACATCACAGTTTTTATATGTTTTGTAAGCTTAGCTTTTTGTTTTTTTTTTCAAATAATTTAATTCCACATGATAAATATTCATTTTCATATTGTAGTGTTGATGCCTTTAGGTAATGACTTCCACATCACCTTTAATTATATCATCATTATACTTTAGTGCAATAACTATTGGGCAAAGCCTATTTATGTTTAAAGGAAATTGTAATTTAGTTCTGTAATTCTAAATTGTAAAGTTATGGACATAGTGGTTTCCTTCGGGGGGTGTAAGTTTATAGTTAAGTACTAAGTGAAATAATTTTCATAGTAACCAGTTATTGTCTCGTAATCACAAAATTTTTTTTTGTTTGGTTTTTTAATATTAACAAGTTTTTTTGACGGTACATTTAAAGCGAAGATGAGATAGGCAAGGTTATTATGTTGATAATTGTATTCTCGGTATATCCGCAAGAAAAAATGATGAGGCTATTTTACAGAAAAACTAAACTAACACTATCTAGCAATAAGTCGATTATAGCCATCATTAACTCTTGTAAAAGTATTATAAATTTCCAAAAGAATCTCTCTCTGTATTAGAATTAAGATTTCTAGTCAAAAATGGATTTCATATTTTTTATTGCGAGTTTCGAAATTGTACAATAAATATTGTTATTTTTGGAGCATTGTTCGATTGGTAAAAATCAGATGTGAATTGGACGGTAAAAGCTCTGTCTTCGCTTACACTGTAATTTTCGCTAAGTGCGAAGTAAGTTATTATTGCTTTGAACACGATATTTCCGTGAGAATTTAAAACTATCTAAGAAAAATCAAAATATCGATGTCAAAGTTATGATTATTACATTTTTGTATTGTTCGCTCTCAGCTTAAGTCTGTTATAGATTTTATTTTATTATATATTTGTATTGGAAATCGGTGATGATGACTTTGTAATGGACTTTTGTTTTTTATAAATGTAAGATTTTGAAATGGATTTTCGATATCAACAATATTTTAAATCTTCGGAGCTTAGATACTATTCGATTCTTGATCGATATATGTGAACATAATTATTATCAATCATGCTTAAACATATATATTTGTTCTGAATTTCTGATAGATAACTAAGAATAGGGAGATTTTGTTATGAAATGAATGCATAGAATAATGGTATTTGTTTTCACATTTTGATTGATAAGAAATTATTTAAATTTTTTCACGTAATGTTTTGGCCTTGCCACGTATTTATTTTTCCTGAAATTCTATTTAACTTTGAAAAAGTGGTTACATATATGGAATTTTAAAACAGTGCTTAGACTAAATAAATATATACATATATATATATAATAACTTTGTTTTGATTTGCGCCTTATATCTGCAGACTACCTCTACCATTTTGGGACCCAAAAATAAAACAACGTAAAATGTAAAAAAGTTTATAATATTGATTCACTTTTAAAAAGTGATAGTTATAAAATGTTAGAAAATGCAATAATAGTTTGCGTATTTAAAATTTAATATCCAATCAGGTTTATTATTTGGAAATAAATATTGAATCTAAAATCAGAGTACGAGTAATAACTATTACGTTTAATAACCTTACATAAAATGCACATTGCAATTGTACATTTCGAGTTGGATGTTTCGCGAAAAGAAAGGTTCATATAAAAAATACTACGTAAAAAAAACTATTACTAAGCATTAATATTAAAACTGACTAATGTTTTTGTTGTAAATAATGCATTTAAAAAAATATAAAATTCTATGGATGGTTGATTGATGAAAGTTAAAACATGCAGTTTCGTTATACAGAGCATAGGTAAATTCCTTAAGTTTTGAGGAATGTATTGAAAAAAAAATTTAAAAATTCTATTTTTATTTTATAATAAAGCTATAATAGTTGAACCAAGGAATGAGAATGAAGTAGGTACCGCATCTACACGATTAATTGTTGTTTTGCAAATTGCCCTTACGATTTCTTTTAAAAATAAGCAAATATACAATTTCACAAAAGCTAGTACAAAATTTTTAGACTATAGAAAGACAAAATAACCGCGATACAAAGTAGTAATTTGAAAAAGTTTATAGTTAACATATGATTAAATTTTTGATTAAATATCGCTTAAAAGTTATAAGGTAATGTGCTACATATATAATTTAAAATCTACTTTTCGCATCCATATAAAGACATAAATTCGTAGTTTTGTTACACAATCATTGTTTTAATAAACTTTCGTACGATTGAATGATATAATACATAGTTTACAGTTAACATCGAAATAGTCTAAAAACAGTTATTCGATGCAATGCTGTATTCGATAAATATAAAAATACATGTATATATAATACGCATGATTCAGGACATATTTTGTAAAAGTTTTATATGCGTAATAATTATAGCCTCATAAAGAAGTAATTTCAATTATAATCACGGTTGAATTCACAGTGTATAATAGACATTTAGTTTTTCGATCTAGACATAAGTTCAGCTTAGTATAACATTTGGCATGAGAAGTACAGTGCCGGAATGTTGAAAATACTTGCATTCAAAGCCTAATTAATTTTGTAACTTTTAAAATACTCAAAGACAACAGTGTCTTAACGTGGCAAAAAAATCTAAAAAGTGAATGCCTTAACCACGAACATCGAATTTTCGTTATCATTACATCGTTAGGAACAGTGCTTCTGTTAGTTTACAAATGTTCAATTAAGTTTTGTAATAACTTATCAATCGAATTATTATCGATACATAACATTCTTTTGACAACTCTATTATCAATACGCCATCATAAGACAAAAAGCTTACAAAGATAGATTCTCTTACAACACAGACGTAGCGTTTCGCAGTATACATACGCTACGCTATGCTATATCTAAATAAGGAACTAACGGTCGCACGGAGGTACCTAGCGTTTTAGCGCTAAATTAGTTCACATGAGAAAATCAATTTTAAGCACTTAGTAATAAGAATCAAATTCAAATTAAAACTAATTTAGTGCGGACTTAGCAAAACAAGATGTGGGCAAATCGAACGTGCGTAGGGTCGTTGTGGTCTGTAGGCGACGCGTACGTTGTGATGGAATGTGGAGTCTCACTTGGCGGCCTCTAGCGGTGCGAACACGTAGACGGAGTCGTCGAGCCAGTAGTACGCCTGGGCGAAGTCGCCCTCGCAGAGGTACGGCGCCCGGGACCACGAGCGCAGCTCGAACCCCGACTCGCGCATGAACGCCACGAACGAGCCGACCTGCTCCTCGAAAGTGGCGCCCTCGATCGGCAGCCGCTCCACCGGCTTGTGGTCGGCGGTCGCTGCGAGAGGCGTTAAACTGAGGTCAAGTAACGGCCCATGTGTGTCCCACTGCACGGCAAAGGCCTTTTATATACAGAGGGTTGGAGGGCATAGTCCAGCACGCGACCCCACTGCGGATTGGCGGAGTTCACATATCAACGATATATTTTAGTTTTTGTTTTCAATTCGATAACACGCAGGTTTCCTCACGATGTTTTCATTCACCGTACAGCACGTGATAAGTTAGCAAGTAAAATTAACAATTTCATTGGTGCCCGACCGGGATTGAGCGTAGGTTGCTCGAGTATTTTATATTGGCTCCGCTTCAAGCTCTTTCACATGATGGACGCACTTTTCCACGTGACTTTCTACAACCATGACAGATCTTAGGTGAGCCAGTCTCTGTGGTATGTCCGTGTACTAGACAAAGTACCTCGCCTAGCCACCATAATTAGGTTCCCTCCTAATCTCATCCTGCTCAAAAATAACTATTAGGGATAGACCCACCACCAAGTTTCACACCTCTGAATTATAGATGGGCAGTACGATACGTGACGATACTCGGAAGAGGAAGAAGAAAAGGAAAGAAGAATGTGAAGTGAACAGTGGTGAAAAGTATGAAAGTGAGAAGAGGTGTAAAGGCGTACGGAGGATTGGTGTGACTAGAGGGACGTTTTGAACACTTTCTCTCTTAAAGCACATATTTATAGGTATGGTATTCTTGCTAAGCTATTCGCTTCAGTGTCGGGGGCCCTGAATTCGATTGCCACAAGGGACAAGTATTTGTGCGAATTACAGATAATTGTTCTGGATTTGGGTGTTTCTTTCCCAAGGAGGGTTGGCAGCAGGCGGATTGATATGTTCCAACCCATGTGGATGGATGCTGCCACTATTTTTATTGACGACTTACAAAGGACATCGCTTCTGGTCATTAACCAATATAGCAGCGAAAGAAAATATAGCAACATATCCTCCCCCCATCGTATAGGAGCGAGCGTCAGTTGTTTGCACCGAACGGGGTTACAAAAGAAAGGCAAAGGCACCTTCGACATAGGGCTTGTAGGGCAGCACCAGCGCCAGCAGCAGCACGCCGCCCGGCGCTAGAGCGGCGCGCGCGCTGCGCAGCATCGCCCGCGGGTGCGAGCACCGGTCGACCAGGTTCAGCATGCACACGCAGTCGAACTGGCTGCCGTGCCAGTCCTCAGTGTCCAACAGGCTGACGGTGGTGAAGTAATTTTTTTTTATTTTAATTCCTGGCACAGCGTTTGAAACGTCAGGAATTAAAATAAAAAAAAAAAAAAAAAGTAAACGCGATAAATCCATAGAATTGAAAATAATTTTTTATTAATCAATTATAATGTGTGATCACGTAAATTATGATGATAATGTTATTCATTAAAAATATGACAGAAAATTTGAATTTGCCTCTCGGCTTATGGTTTATGGTTATTCTACATCTCGTTGTTTATGGTAAGTGTTTCGCTAAGTTACATATTGCTAGTGGTCACCCATTGATATCATTTGTATCATGATTTGAAATTTATTGGCTAATTATTTTCTTTCAGACTCATTCAGTCAATCTGGCATAATAAAATTCGGTGCCGACGTAAACAATGAATGTTTTATTTTATGTATTTGCAACAGGTATTGTACATAACTTGTTATGATTTCTACACTTCTCCAAATAAAGTTTAACTATGTCATATCTCACACTCCGTATTCGTAATATTATTAAATTAGGATCGAATGTTTCACGTATTAATTATAATGATGTGATAATGCCGAAAGCCTCTTCTATATGCATAAATCCATACAAGTCCGTTGTGGATTGATGTGTTTTTAAATAAAAAAATCACGTCTTTTATAAATGTGCTTTCTGACTCGTCAGAAAGCATTTCGGAGGGCTTGTCAGTCTCAGTGACTTCAGTGATGGATTTCCAATAATGTTTAATAATGTAGATGTCGCATGTCCATACTGCGCGGCGTTTAAAAATTGTTCCGCTTTACAATACGTGACTCATGAAAGTGAACATGACAGATGATATAGAACGTATGATACGGAAAGAGGTAGCAGTCTATAGAATTGCAATCTAATTACACCAATGGATAAAATTTCAGTGACTCAGTTTCCTTGCGCTAGTGTCAATCTATCTCGTGTTTGTATATAATATTATTATGGATTTTTTTATAGAAAGGTGCAAACGAGCTGGCGGTTCACCTGATGTTAGGTGATTACCGCCGCCCATGGACATTTGCAACACCCGTAGGGTTGCAAATGTGTTGCCACCTTTAATTAAAGTGGGCCCCGGCTACCATACTCACCAGACGAAACGCAGAAGTGTAACACTTCTACTTTACGCCGGTCTTCTGCGAGGTCGTGGTGCTTCGTTGTACCCGGACGGACCAGAATACAGACGGAATACAACAAGTTCCCCATGAGCTTCGCAAGGGCAAGGTCTCGAGCAAACAGCTTAGAAGCAGCAAAACAACTGTACGACAACACTAACAACTGCACATTCACCAAAAATTGGTGCCCTACATACAACTCCCTACAAAAAGTTCTAAATACAATAAGACGCAATTTTGCTTTAACCCAAATTTTAACCAACCACGGATTCCATAAACAATATCTCAAAAGATTTAAAATTACAAATGATGACCTTCGCCCTTGCGACAACACAAAAACTCAATCTCTAGACCATCTCATAAAAGAATGCCCTAAATTCACTCGAACTAGAATCCATACAATCTTATGGACATAGTTAAGAAGAACGCAGCGATAGACTCCTTCTCCATTCATGTTAACTCTATAATCAATAGTTTAAAAGAATTCAACAAAGAACCAACCCAAACAAGATAAAATAATGAAATAAATGCACATCCATTACAATAACTAAAAATATATAAGGACCTAATAAAATACTATATTTATCAATTATATCAAATTATATAATAATATATCAAATTATAACTTAAATAGTTACAACATGCAACAACAAACAACAATGTATAAGCAACAAACAAAATAAATTAATCAAAATAAATTAATAATCAAAGGACTAAGCCCAGATCGGGGATGTACACCGATAGCGTCCCCGGTTTGGAAGTAACTAAGATGACGCAAAAAAAAAACCCGGCCGGACCTGCCCATCCGTGCAACAGTCGAGGCTGCTGCGTGGCCCTACCACGGTGGATTTTCTCAAGGTTCATTTTGCACCTCTAAACTATTATTATGCAAAAGGAAGATTTGGCGGGACTCACGTGTATCCCTTGGACTTGAGCGCCTTGCGCATGCTGGACGATATCTCCGTTGCGAACTTGTCCGAGTAGAGGTGCGCGAAGCGGCGGCTCACCTCGCCGTCGCCGGCGCCCACGTCGACGATAGCGCCGCCGCAGCGCGCCCCCGCCGCCCCCACCAGACGCCGCGCCCCAGCCTCCGACAGCACGAACATCGAGCCGCGCCCCAGCCAGCTGCGGACGCAAGCGTGCGAATTAAAGAAAAACAAAAAAACACCGGCCAAGAGCGAGTCGGACTTGCGCACGAAGGGTTTCATAGAAAACGGCAAAAAATCATTTTGTTGTATGGGAGCCCGTTCTTCTTCGGGAGTCTCTCTATCGGATGTCGGCGACCACCACACGGAATTCTTCTCTATTATGCGCCAATCTACAATAACTGAAAGCATCCTTGATGTCTGTCCATTTTTTCAAATTGTCACTCCATGTTATTCGCCTTCGTCTTCTTCCCCGATTTCCTTCTATTTTTCCTTCAATTATATTTTTCAATATGTTGTTCAATATGGGAGCCCCACTTTAATAATTATTTTTCATTCTGTTTTTTAGTATTTGTTGTTATAGCGGCAACAGAAAAACATCATGTGTGAAAATTTCAACTGTCTAGCTATCACGGGTCATTAGAAACAGCCTGGCGACGAAGATGACGTGCACGACGATTTATTGATTTATTGACAAGTAACACAACTTAGTAAACGACTTTTAAATTTATTTAATTCATTTGAACTTAAAAATCTTTTTTATGAACCAACTTGTGTTACTAACTTATACTCCTGCTGATGTATAGATAATGTATTCTGTCACAATGATATATATCATAAATATATTATAAATCATCTGAGCTCGGATCACTTTAGTCAAAAATTTTCAATAAATGACAAAGTTAATACAAGCAAAATTACGACCAAGTGTAGACCAGTCACTAATAATAGAATAAATGCTTTTAGAGATAAAATGGCACATTATATGTTAAATAAAGATATAGGAGCTTTCTCATATCTTCTTATAATGATACTTTTAATTCGCGCACAATTGTTAAGAATTCAAAATTAAAATTTAGTGACTGGGCAACAGTGGGTATATATAAAAGTAGGGATTCACTGTATGAATTATATAGTATGCAGTGGAATCACGATCCTAACTTCCATAAACGGGTACAAACGTTTTCAAAAATATTTAAAAAAGTCTGTATTCAGGCAAAATCTATTTATATAAGAAATAGCATAATAAATTCAAACAATAGAACTAAAGCCACATGGGACATCATTACCCGTATATCTGGAAAAACCAAGATATTCAGGGAACCTATGAAACTAGTTATAGATAATACTCCCATTACATCAGATAACGAAATTGGGAGTACTTTCGAAAGCAATTTTTTAGAAATTGCTGTTAATGTGACATGCACATTAAAATCATCTCCCGTAGACGCAATTAATGTATTAAGAAATAATGTTACCTATTTAAAAATCACGTAGATACTTATGATATCATAAAAGTTTTGAATTCTAATAATCTGAAAAATACAGGGGATTTATGGGGCATGTCCATAAAATTTATGAGCATGCAAAAAATAATGTATTGCACCACATTCTATTTTTAACAACTGCATAGATTCCGGAATATTTCCAGATCTTATGAAATTTAGTAAGATAATACCTGTTTACAAAAGTGGTGATAAAAATGATCCAGGCAACTAACTATAGACCTTTTTCCATATTGACATCTCTAAGTAAAGTTTTTGAAAAGCTAATTTTAAATCAACTTTTAGTCCATTTTAATGTGAACAAAATCTTTCACAATGAGCAATATGGATTCACTAAAGGCAGATCGACAACAGATGCGGGCGTCGCACTTGTCAAACATATTTATAATGCCTGGAAAAGGTCACAAGATGCAATAGGTGTCTTTTGTGACCTTTGAAAAGCCTTCGACTGCGTAGACCACAAAACTCTCCTTCAAAAGCTAGAATATTATGGCATTCATAGTATCGCCCTCAATCTCATTGCCTCTTACCTTAGTAATAGAATTCAAAAAGTATCTATATATGATGTTAATTCCGCTGGGTCCCCGATGAAAATGGGTGTCCCATAAGGATCAATCTTGGGCCCATTATTATTTTTAGTATATATTAATGATCTCCCGTTTTATATCACTGGGTTGTGTGATGTTGTACTGTTTGCTGATGATATATCGCTAATTTTTAAGGTTGACCGAAACGTATTAAATTATGATGACGTGAATATTGCACTTTCACATATCCTCCACTGGTTTACTATTAATAATATGGTATTAAATGCCATAAAAAATAGATGTAGTCTTTTTACCCTTCCCAGTATAAGAAGGAAAAGTTTTAGTTTAATATTAAATAACGTACCCATTAATCCAGTTGAGTCCGCTGTATTTCTGGGAATTACAGTAGATTCAAAGCTCCAGTGGAGTCCCCATATATCATCTCTTGCGAATAGGCTAAGCTCCGCTGTTTTTGCGATTAGAAGGGTTATGCAGCTAACAGACATCGACACTGCCAGACTTGTTTACTTCAGTCATTTTCACAGCAACTTGTCGTACGGCATTTTGTTTTGGGGTAGTGCATCAGATATAAATTCTATATTTATTCTTCAAAAAAGAGCTGTCCGAGCAATCTACAATATCGGAGCCCGGAATTCACTTAGAGATCTTTTTAAAGAGGTTAATATACTCACTGTTGCTTCTCAATACATTTATTGTAATATTTTGTATATACGTCATAATCTTAATTATTACCTAAAGATCGTTCATGGGGCAAAGTGTGCGCATGTATAAATCCCACAGTCGATATGAAGTCTGCCGCTTGACCAATTTAAATGTAAAATTAAAAGTCAACTTATGGTTAAAGCATATTATACCATTGCGGAATATCTCGACGACGCCAATGTGTGGAGTTAATACTGTTGATACTCACGTAGGCTAGAATAAGACTATTATACCTGTATATTATAATGTAAACTGATATTTTTGAAAAAGAGCTACTGTTGAATTTCTTGCCGGTCTCTTCTCTACAGAAACTGCTTTCCGAACTAGTGGTACCTTACGAACCTATATACATAATTTTTGATGTAAAATTTGACGATTCATAAGAGCGCGCAAGCGTCGATTTAAATAAATATATTTTTGATTTTGATATGATAGAGCGAAATGGAAGAGCAAGATCAGATGGAAATAGTCATTGACAGAATTGGTCAACTTTTACCATACCGCTCTATCATCGATACAACAATGTACAAGCTTGCTTGTGTATTTGATTTCTCCTATAAATATCAAGCCAAAAACATCTAGTAAAACCTATGTACTCTTGTTTAATGTGATTCGATGGCGCAGTTGGTAAGCCAATTAATAATTAAAATCGAATAAAACCCAAACTGCAAAAAATCTCAAGATAGTAAGTATATTTTGCATAGATCAAAAATTTATAATCGTAAAGTTTGCGATAGGGCAAACTATTCAGGTTCTTAGTCCTACCGTTCAGGAAACTGTAGGTTTTTTCCAAGTTTGTGCGACGTACAGAAATAATTAAAATTAATTATTCGGTTTTTATTTATTTTTAGTGCACTTATGATGATTGAGAATGTTAATTTAATAAATGAATTGTCGTTGAATGATGTATTGAATAGTGAGTCTTTCGTCTGTAGTCGTTCCAATGCGACAGGAATGCAATGCGCCGAAACACTTAAGTCAACTCATGATTAAACTAAACTAAGCTGCCGACGACCACACGGCGCAAAAATGCAATCGAACATAAATTTTTCCTGGTTCAAACAATCTGTGTTCATAACAAAATGCATTGTAATGTCGCTGAATTTACAACGTGAATTGCCAAGGTTAGGTACACCCTGATTTTTTGTCGACGTTTCGTATAGTCGTTTCGTGAAAGCTTAGTCTCCGAGCGCTCACTGCAATTCAATGTACTCGTGCAAACTGGGTTCAATTCCCAGTGCCGACACCAATGAAATATTACATTGGAATTTTAAATGCTGACTTATCACGTGCTCAACTTAGCAGGATAACGTCGTGAGGAAACCTGTACATTATCGAAATAATGACCAAAAACATTTCGTCAAACATCGAATCAATCCGCAGTGGGGTCGCGTGGTGGACTATGGCCTAGTAACCTAAGTACAGAGGGAGGCCTTTGTTCAACATCGAGACCGTATTTAGGCTGCTGCTTTACAGTACTACTTTACGTTACGTAAGATTGACAAGACGTGCATTAGTGAGATGTTTATTAGTAAGGACGAGACAAAAGCCATATACCTGATTGTCTGGGCGCTCGCTTTTAACCAATGAAATTGTTAATTTTAAGTGCTTACTTATCACGTGCTCAGCGATGAAGGAAAACATCGTGAGGAAACCTGCATATTTTCGAAATAATATATTATTTCGAAGATATATGAAGTCCGCCAATCCGCCGTGGGGCTGCGTGGTGATCTATGCCCTGATACCATCTGTATAGAGGAGGTCTTTGCTTTATTAAGAGACAAGACTGCATATTATGCATTACGGTATGCGCCCGCTGAAATTTATCAATGCCAATAGATGACGAGGCAGAGAGCTCTCTAATGTCCTATGCTCCTAATTCAAACGGTACCCGTCGAATGCGGTCCGCCGGTGCCCGCGAGTGCTCGTTGCGACGGTGCAATTACCCGCCACCGACGTCTTACGGCGCGGGCCCGCAATTACCGCGGATAGAGCACGGAGCGCGCCGCGGGCCAAGCGGCAAATTGCGCGCCAGCCGCCGTTTTTTACTCCATTCCAATTCCTATGGCATTTGATGGTGAGCGTTTGCAGACGATCGCGACGCTGAAGGGATAGCGGTACAGCCGAATCCTGATCGTGCATTGGACAGGTCAAAACAATGCGAAAACTTTTCCGCGGGTTGATTTTCCCGCATGCTCTACTATTAGCCGCAGTGCTCGTCTTTGTCTCGATCGTGTTAGATGTTTTCACTTTCAGTTCATAAACTATATAAAAGAGTTCATGGAAAGGCTACGTATACACGGGATTGGTAGATTCTACCTAAGACGAGTCACGCACGTGGACATGCGTGTATTATTAAAATAACTATGGGTGTCGGGGTAGCCGCCGAGGCGGGTATCAGTCGCGTCCCGCGTCAGGCCGCAGCGTCTGCTACACTAGACCCTGGCCTGCTAAGTTAACAAAATTCCTATGTCGTTAATTTCAACGCATATCGGGTGTCGCTTGCTATTCCATGCGAAATTCGTTAGCAATATTCGCCAGCTATTGTGATGTTGGAGCTGACAATGATGCACGTGCGTCGTTATAAGACGTCCGTCCCAAGACGGACGTTGCGGATTGATTGCTTTATTGTCCGAGCGGCGACGCGGGCGATGCGCGATACATGATACATGAAGCGTCCGCGTCTTCGCCTAATGAGCGATGACACCCCGTAATTGTCGCCGGCCCCCGGAGACCTAGCGCTATTCCTCGTATATTATATAGTCGCCATATAAAAGTGGCTGCGATGGCGGAAATATTCCCGACTGCGTCTTGAACATACGAGAGACAGATTTAAGTAGCTCTCCGAAAATGGGATCTCGTCTTGTACAGCGCGGCGGCTGGGGCGACAGCGACGCGGCGAGCGTGCCCTTTGAGCGGAGTGGAAATCGCGAAGCAGACCGGGCCGTAGGTGGCGAGGCGGGCGCGATGTATCCATTTGAATTGCACCGGCGAGGGAGCCGATGCGGTTATCGAGGACGTAGGTGAGAGATGTGCCGGCGGGCGGGGGCCGCGGCTCGTATCGCGATTGCATCGGAGAGCAAACAGGCGGGCGGGGTGTCGCACCCGGGGCCGCTCAAATCATATTACCCCCGGCCTCACACCAGCGTTGCGCCGCACACGTCGTTTGTGCGCGCGTTGCCTGGGCGACGGCGCGGCCCGTGCATGATATTAGCGCGGGCCCATCTCCGGCCGTTTAAGCTTAACGCGCCGTCGCAGCCGCCCGGCGCGGGAAATTAAAATCGCCCCGGACCGGAAGGCGCTCGACCCTCGCGCTTTCGGGGCCGCCCCGCCCTCCGCGAGAGAAGTGCTTTATAAATATTCAAAGGCTTGTTCACTTCTAACATTTGCAATGCGTTCAAAGCGTTTGCCGTTTTTAATGGTATTACGACTCACAGCTCTATCCCTTTTTTGGTATATTGGCAAGGCATTGTACATGAACAATCGTAGTATGCTCGTAGAACGGCTTATGAAACGGTGTACAGACAAAGGTTATTAAATAATTGAACTAATAGCACTCAGTTTTATTAACCTCGTTAACCTCTGTTGACTGACTGTAAGACTAATAAAATTATTAAGGTTCCGCGCAATATGCAGAGCGGTGCAGAGTATATATTATAGCCTATATATTTGACATTCGCATGTAGTAAGATGGCTGTGATGCGGTAGAGTTAGGAGGAACTCCTCCCCCACGTATGTAGATAGATACCTACACATTTGCTTTGCTCAAAGACATTGTCGCTTTCAGACACCTCATTAGAGCGTCCCATGTGAGCCTACCCACCCCACGCCACCCCCCCACCAGCCCCGCGCCCCCACACATACAAAGGAGAGCCATTCTTTCCCTCAGCTCGCAAACTCGGATGGATAATTACAGTTAGCTATGTACGTTCGTTGGATCCCATTTTTGTTGCCTAATGTCTTTCTTGTCTCGATAAATTCGGGTCGAGCAAATCCTCAGACTTATTTATGGAAGTTTTGTGAGTTGGATACCTACTACATATTAGTTTCACCTTTGCAATTAACGCTCCAGACGATTTATATTCACAGATAGATAATGTTGGTGGCTGATGTTAATTTTGTTAGTTATAAGGCAAAAAGAAATACAGAAACGCACATTTTCCTTATCATGCAGTTCCTTCTGAATGTAAATTTTCTAACGTAGCTTTTTGAATTTTGGGTTTAAACATTTTTGAGGTGACTTAGATAATTGACGAAGTTAGCTGTGTCGCGGAGTAATCGCTAAGATAAATAACGTATCATAGCGATTACTCCGCGACACAGCTACATATGTTGAATACATATGCGTGATTCGTGAGAGACCCTATCGTACAATCTTTCCCCATCTACCTAATTCGCCGAACACAAGCGGAGTAGCGTTTTGACATAAGTACGAATCACTCGAAGCGATCGCCGAAGTTCGCTGTTATGGCGGCAATAAAAAACGAAACGGATGGCGGATAATCGAAGCGTCACACAGACTGTTACGTGTCATAACCCGATCGGTGTTGGCGCTATAAACCGGTGAGGGGACGAAGAGTAAACCGGTGTATGGTAAAATGTTACAAACATTGAGATCGCGTCTGAAATGCTAAGAGGCACCATAAAGCGGTGAAACGCGCGACATAACTGTGGTAGGGCCACGCAACAGTGTTCACTGTTGCACGAATGGACAAGTACCACGACCTTACAGAAGACATTTCAGACGTTACACTTCTGCGTTTCGGCCGGGGCTCACTTTATTTAAAGGTGCCAACGCATTTGCAACCCTACGAGTGTTGCCAAGGTCCATGAGCAGTTATCACTTAACATCAGGTGAGCCGCCAGCTCTCTCACACATTAAAAAAAACACGCACCAGTGATATATTGAAGCTACGCACTGTCACTAAAGAATCGACGGTCGCCGATTCTCGGCCGCGGACGGGAGGAATTTATGCGCGGGCCCGAATTGCCCCCGCTGAATATTTCACTAGGCCACGAGCGTGTCCGGCGATATTTTTCTATTTCGGCGACCGTTTCACTATCAATTGCTTGGTTCCCGCTTTAATGTAATGCGCGCGACGATTCGGGAAGTCCGATACCAGCTTGGGGGATCGTCTTTTCGTTCGGTTCCGCAAAATGGCACGATTTACGTATCGCTTTTTAAATGTTATCTGGGTATTTTTTGCTTGATATCTTTTTTTAAATGTGTAAATAAGGTCGCGAATGATTTTTCGCCGCTACCTGGATTCCAACCTGCGCCTTCCGGACAAGACGCCTACACGCTTTGTTGTACTTTTAGCAATGCTTTACTATTGAAATTCATAATTAATTTTATTTTTTAGTGCTAGTCTAACTGAAGTCTCTGCTACTTAACTTTTTTTTTGTCCTAAAGCTGACCAGTATTTCGAAACGCGCGAGATTATACCAACATCTCGATTTCATGTGTTTCAACTGAGTGTCATCGAAGTTGTGTATGTCGAACCTCAAAAACAAAAAGAAAAAAGCACACAAACGAAGTCCTGAAAATAGATGATCGTTCTATTATGGATTCATCTTGCGATAAAAATGTAAAACGGATTTTAAAAATAAAACCTTTTACTGATAAATGTCTTTAGAAAATCTGCATGGTTGTTATTTTATAACGTTGTGTATTAAAAATTTATATGAATAATCAAAAGCCGAAAAACGAGTTGCAATAAAAATACGCGATTTTGATTAATTTCAATAACTGTACATTATAGAAGAACGATTGTCGTATGGCTTTTCTTTACCAGTTTGTTTTACGTGCTGAAAAAATTTGATCACTTTGACGACTCATGATTCCTAAAAATATCACAAGGTCGTAACAGTTGAGAAACGTAAACAGACAGCATCGGCGCGTAATATATTTCTCGGGCTACACACATATATTCGCTACATTCTCCGAGCAGATCCCGTCTTGTTAAGTCATCCCATTGTCTCCGCTGCATTATAAAACGTCCGCTCGCGGGGCCGTCAATCGATGCTGGCCGATATTACGTTCAGCATTTCGGAAACACAATAACCTTTAAAAGGTGTAAAGGCGCGTCGCGGCCGGGCTTTAAAATAGCTTCTCGGAGGCGGGTGGTTTATTGCTTATTGAGCGAGCGCGGATGGGCCGCGTTGAGGGGACACCGCGGTGGAATCCCATCGATATGGGGGCGAAATACGAAAGCATCGGCGTCGGCTGGTGGGAGGTGCGCGGGCGGCGGACCCGATGCGCCAAGTAAATGGCACGGGCGAGCGGAGAAACAATGAGCATTGTCGCGGCGTAGTTGCGCTCGCGTTTGGCAGCCATTGGCCGGCGGGCGCTGGGCGGGGCGGGAGGCTGCGCGCGCGCACTCCGCGGCCCCGCACGCGAATTAAAACGGCCCCGCGTGCGCAATAAAACAATGCGAGCGCCGAAGAGCGGCCGCTATCGGGCACTAATGGCCGAATGGACGCGACGGACCAAGTGCCGATTTATCGAGAGCTCCCCACCCCTGAAGCGATGACGGGACACCGCAGCACACGGACACCTTAAAATATAAGATAAGGGCGTTCTCGTCTTATTGCGCTAGTAATGATACTGTGCTTGCGCTCTAGATATGCTGCACTCTACACACAATATATTGCAATTGCAGCGAAATAGTTTCCACCGCTCTTATAAACGCGAGACTAATAAGAGTCAGTGACGTAAACTTTTCGAACTGTTTTCCCAATACCAACCAATTGCGAACATATAAAAGAATACGTTATTCAGCATTACAAAAAGAAAATAATTAGATGTACTTAGTAACTTTTAAACAATATGGTTAATTTGTTCAAAATATCTTCATCATCCCAAAATTAAATGCATGGTCATCTTAACATTAATATTCCACTATTTAATCTATAGACATGCTTTTTTTAACGTTTTCAGATTGAATATTCTAGTAATTAGTAAGTATAGCAGTTGAAAGGGTTGGAACTAACAAATAATAAATGTATTATTATTGACATTTAAATAAGATTTTACACTTACGTTTTATAGCGATTGGTACAAGTGAAAATTTATTAGATGGTTGTTGGGAATTAAAATAGTCTAAATATTTTTAAGTCCGCGATATATGAACGAAAATACTCATTACTACACATATGACGTTGGCCTGACGATACTAATTTTTTTTGTCGTTATAGTCAAAATTATACCGACATTTTGGTACCGATAACTGTAAGGGTAACATTTCTCAAGTGAATCCATCTATGGTAGTTTACAGCGAGCAAGCCATTGTTATTAATAACTATTTTAGCCCCTAAATCCTAAGAATTAATGTAACCAACACGATAACAACAGTTTGTTCGACACTACGCCGTTTTAACAAAACAAAGGTTCGTCCTACCAGTAAGCTTTTAGCGTTCACCGAGCGAGTGAAGCGTAACGCGAACACATACGTACATCATATAAGCGTTTATCAAATATCTGCAACGTATTTCGGACAATACGTAAGTCCCCAATGCGCTACGGCGTACTCGCGCGGAGGTCTTCCAGCGGGGGAGTTTCAGCGCTCCCGTAACGAATGTCGTCTCATTTACTAATGTGTCACACACACGCGGTGTTGTTTCACGGGCCGGGGTGGCGCTAGGGTGGATCGGGAGGGGGTTGGCCTCGGTGGAGGCCAGAAGGGAAGGGAGGGGGGGGGGGGGGGGTTCTTTCTCCACGCGGATGACCAATGACGTCCCGAGACCGCTCCGACGATGCAACGTTAATTAGGGCGCTCTGAAATCTCCGCTGCAACGGCGGAAGCTCGAGAGGATTTCAGGCTTCGCTTACATTGCGGGGGTGGTTTCTGAGGGGTTTATGTATGTGGGAGCACATAAATACGCTGCCTGTACGTACGTCTACAATTTTAATAGGATATTTATATATGAATTTAGAATGACAAAGAGATTGCCAGTGGAGTGATATTACTTGAGATACATGGATACTTAACATGTAGTTGTGATACAGTTCACAACAGGTTTCAGAATATATGAGTACGTAAAATGCTACTTAAAGACTAACGATAGAGTTTATTTATAACTTTTCGGCGCGAACTTCTTTGTCAAGAGGCAAGTGCACGGACAGGGCAGGGTGTTTTCTCAAGGCGGCCGAGGGACAAGCGGGCGGCGTCAAAGCGTGATTGCGAAAAGGATCGCGATTATTACAGTGCGCGTAGTTAGCGTGGCCTTCATTAGAGGCGGGCGAGGTCGGGCCGGGGGTGGGGGGCAGGGGGGCAGGAGGAAGGAGGTCGGAGGATCTCATCTCGGCGGGTGCATCGGCGGCTGCGCGCGCAAACAAATTAAAACGTAAGACGCGCCCTAATCAATAGCCGAGTACGCCGCGGAGAGCCGAATTAACTCGGTCGAATGAGAGAAAAAAAAATGAACGGAATTATATTCGCGCCGCGGCGCCCCCCCCCCCCACGGGCCCCAGGCGGGCGGAGGAAATTGCTTTTCTTTCAGTGGGACGCGCTCGCGCCCGCCGCGAGAGGGTTGCTCGCAGCTCCAACACACACGATATTATAATTTACGTTTCCCCGTATATCGCGCTGTAAGTAGGTACTTTACCTGGGCGTTTCGCGCTCAACCCTCGGCTCCCGCTAAATCTGAGCTTTATACGTTCACTTGACGCGACGAGAGCAATATTAGTTTCGAGCCAACTCTTTCCCTACTACGATATTTATTAACGCTTCGCGAGTTTTATAATGTATTTTTCTCGCTTTTCTTCTAGAGCAACTGCCCTTATTTTTATATAATGTATAACTCATACTCTGCTCAAGGGCCTTTAGAGCGGCTTTGAAAGTGAAACTAAACAAAATAGATCACAGAAAATTAAAACAAAAGGTAACGACACTCCCCATTTAGCACCTCCTTAATAGACACAGAGAATTAAGAAGTAAAGGCGTTCGCGCACAGTTTTTGCGTCGTTGCTTGTTCCATGAAGTTTATGAAGTTTATGAGTGTCAACTTTGTATTTAAAATTTACATAGACCTAGTGAAACAAGTACTGAGAAACACTTAAATTAGGTTTGATATGTAGATTGTATTTCAAACAATGTTGCCTATAATCTGCCAATGTTCTTAATGATCATTTTGAACATTTCTTGAAAACCATTTTAGTGAAATGTAGATAGATTTTGTTGAAAACATTTTTAGCACGTCAACAATTACCTTAAATATTCTTATATCAGACGAAATACTAATGATTTTCAAAAGATTTTAGATAACTTTTGAACTGATATGAGAATACAATTGTAATATGATATCTTGCAAAATTATTGTCTAGTTTAAAATACACTAATACACTTCAGATGCTCGAACATAACTTATAGTCTTTTCGGTGAATAATATTTTATGATCCGATGGAAGGACAGTAATAGCTGGTATTAAAAAGCCCTTACTCTCCTTTTTCAAGGTGCTGTGCATCGTTTTCAGCAAATGTTCAAAATGATTATAAAGAACATTGGTAGATTTAAGTGATAATTTAAGTGTTTCTCAGTACTTGTTTCACTAGGTCTATGTAAATTTTAAATACAAAGTACTCATAAAGCTCATGGAACATGCGACGACGCGAAAAACTGTGCGCGAACGCCTTCACCTTTTCATTGTCTTTGTCTATTACGGAGGTGCTAAATGGGGAGTGTCTTTGCCGAGGTCTCGTAGGTATGACCGTCACGTGCACGTAGGGTGCTCCTGGAAGGTCGCTCATTAATCGGAGGCGAGACTCGTCTAATCTGGCCGCCTGTCCGCCCAATTAACGCGTGGGCGATGAGCCCGCCGCCCGCCCGGCCCCTCGCCGGCCAATGGCGGCCGCGCGGGGATTAATTAAGTAACTTCCCGTCCGTGAACAACCCCGCCGGACACCCCCGCCCGCCCTCCCCCCTCAACCCCGACACCATGCACCACAGAGCCCCCCCCCCCCCCGCACGTCCGCGGAGTCTGCGGACACGCCCGGAAAACTAACCACCTAATGAGGGGAGATGACCTCACGTGTTTGTGTGCCGCTTTGTCTGCCCGTATACGTACAAACTACACCGCTCTTACACTTATATGAAAGTGTCGACCTGTTGTGTGCTCTTTATGTAAGAGCTGCCGCATTGTTTGCTTGTAAGTTTTGCACGGGCTTTCATCGCGACTCGTGTCTGGTAACTAGACGATGTCTGGGGCAAAGTATGTACTGGATCTATTTCAATTGGATTGGTGGAAAATATCGCGTCAGTTACTCCAAAGCATCTAGCGATTGATAACAAAATACTTTTACAGTGTTGTACAACAATCTTCAAAATATGTTCCATTTTTGAATGTAGATATTTTGACAATTGCTGTCCACCATTAGAATGCGACATCCGCTAAGAATCCATCGCCATCGTAGACGTCGCAAAAATTTCTCTGCGGAGTTTGTGAAGCGATTCAACGTAACACAATCCTGTGCGCTGGTGACTATGGTCGGCGGCCCGGGAGGCGTCGCTGGCTAATGGGACTGGACAGAGGTCAATTAAACGCGGCGAGCTCGCGTCGGAAGCCTGTATGACAGATGGGAGGGCGGACGCCGGGGGATCTGTTTGCTACCGCTTGTCCGCGCCGCGAGATGATCGAGCGAATTGTCGCTACCTACTTTGGATAGTGTATGCCGTAATAGATGTGTGGTGAATTAGTTTTAATGCATTGAAAACAGATCATACTTTTAAAGAGTATGTACTCATGAAACCGCGTAATCAAACGAATCGACACAAAAACTGCGTTGTTGTTCTTTTCATCCGACTTCAAAAAGGGAGGAGGTTTTCAATTCGCTCTCATTCCGTCATTTATGAACCATTTCAAAAAATCGGTTTAGCACGTATGTGGCCTCATATTAATTTAATGGCATTGGACCTTGTACTTGAAATGGTCTTCTTTAAAATTGAAATTGTTTTTTGACACCACTAAAATTTAAAGTTGGCTATTAACATCATTTATTGCGAATGTAAGTACATTTAGAATCTAACTATCGAATAATTTGCACGCTTACCAGAATCCAAACCGAAATGGTCCGATTTAATTTGGAATTTCAACTTTTCGGTTAGATTATCTAACATGAGCAGTTTTAATATTACTTAACGGACGTTATCGCTGAGTTTCTTAGCCATAACGTTTAGGGCTGACTGTATTATTAATAACGCAGTAAGCCTCATAAATAAGTTAACAGCTATGAAATGCTTTATGGGCAATATCTTTTATCTTATTTTGAATTTCATCAGAGCACTGTAACGTCGGATTTTATTGGCAACAACGGTGGCGAGAGGCTCACGCCGTATCGGGTCGCCGTTGAACGGGAGAAGGTCCATAATCGTTGCGGGCTTCAGGGGTGCCAAAATAACTAATAGTTTTCGTGGGGGCGTGTTAGCATTTTTCTTCTGGCGTTGACGTGACGGGGGTGGCGGGGTAGCGGGGGTGGAGGGGGGGGGGGGGGGGGGGGGGCTTTGGGACGAAATGAGGCCGGCTCTTTCAGGAATTGCGCCGCGGTTCATTTACACTCCATCGGATTTCTTAATAACCTCCGCGAATGGTTACAATGCGGGTTATTGTTTGCTTCATTTTTCAATGTTTTCGCTTTCGTTTTATGATTGTTGAAGGAAATATGATATTCCCGCTGGCGAATAGTAAATGTTTGTTTCGGTTCGACTGGGAGACTCGGTTCCAACTTCCAATTTTCTATGACCTGCTTGGGTTTTTGTAGTTACCGAAACGTGTTCCGAGTTTATGTCAACGTTCTTTGTTAAACAGTGGAGTAGACAGACTTCTTAAAAATGCTTCCGAAGGGCAGACTGATGGTTTCTTATAAAGAGGTAATGCTTAAACAAATAGTTGAATTGCGTATAGTAAAAGGTGCTCGGAAAGCCCATTTGGGGTGCGAGGGAAGTGGAGCGGACGCAAACTCAATTCTTCCCACCTACGCGTCTGTTTTACGTTTCGACGAATAGATGCATGCAAATAGGGCCACCTCATTGTTTCTCTTGCGAGATGGGAAAAGGGACTTTGTGTACTGAGCAAATTAAGTAATACCGAAGAAATAGTTAGATAAACTCTAAAGTAAAGGAGGACTATGATGTTCGCGCTTTCAGGGCGTCATCAAAGTACTATTACGTTAATTTTGGTTCAATTGACAATAATTGATGTAGTACTTTGCATTATATCTGTTTTAGTATTCGTTATGTGAGGCGTTACGCAGGATTTTAAAGTTACCTTTGGTTTGATTGATAATATTTGATATGGTAAAACAAACATAATGCAAAATGCATTATATTTGTTTCTGGTGTAAGGTGTAATCGGAGTAATATTACGTTACTTTTGCTTTAATTGACAATATTTGATGTAGTAACTTTCAATATATTTACTATCAATCTGAAAGTTAAACTAATAATCGTGTCGTGCGGTTGGATCTCGAACTATCCATTACTCAACGCGACCTCGCCTACTCCCGTTGGCGTCGTAAAAACCGATTAACGAATTCCGGGAGAAATCTCATCGCCTCTGACGGATTACGCTACAAATATTAGTCGAACCGAAAATAAAATACTTTGGGTGGCTCGCCGCTTCGTAAAATGCTGATGTACGTTCCTTATATTCGCTATGAAATTTTTTGATTTGTATTTTCCTATAACCATCATTCAAAGATTGGGTTAAGGTTTGAGTTAAGATTTTACATCGTATTGGGTTTGTTAAGATTTGGCTTATGACCTTCCCTTTTCAGTAATGGGCTATATACGTTTAAAGTAGTAAATTTTAGTCTATATCTGGACACTCTGGACATGTTGAGGACGAAATTGTAAAACTCATAAAAACAAGTACACTTTTTGCTATAGCCAAAGTGTACGTGGTACGTACTCAAGGTAGTTTCGGTTGTAAACATCGATTTTTATTCACTGGAACTCCTGTCATTAAGATCCAGTCAAACAAATTACATCACACGGTATTGTTAATTGTTCTCGGTGCCTGTTTACAACACGGTGTGCCAACTTAACTTTCCCTCAAATTTTTCATGCAAGTTTCATTGGAGTCGTAACTCTAATCGTCACGTAATCGGCACCTTTAATTGTGACATAGTACACTTCAGAAGTGTAATAAGACAAAAGATTGTTAATCTCATCTCCATATATCGTCACTTATAGAAAACATAAAGGATCGGTTTTTTTTTAATTCGAATTACGTACTTGTTTAGCGCCAACGCCACTCACCACTTTAGATAAGAAATAGCTTAGGCTAGTTTACACGATAATAGCAGTAACTATCTCGATCAGTTTTATATGTGAATAGTTGTCAAGAGAAAAGAACGGTTCACCCGATGTTGTTGATTGTTGTAAGTGACCGTTGATCATGGACAGCTACAACAGATTACAGATGTGTTGACAACTTTAAAAAAGCAGAACAGTAGAAGCTGATGCGTGGCCATACCACAGTACAGATGGAAATATCAATTATTTGAGACGATTGATATGAAGTCAATAACCATCGCTTCGCGCTATCGTCTAGATCGGCGCTGTCGTCGGTTCAGCCACGTGCCCCCAGCCACTCCTCGTCACCCGGGAGCGATTAATCGCACGCCCCCGCGCCGCCGACACGAACGCCCGGGAAAATCGCAACCCTTTCCGCGTCTTAATTACCACGCCTCGCTTAGGCCGCGCCCTCCCATTGGCCCACCCCCTGTGCCGTCGCGTCGCCCTCCGTTTTAATTGGCCGCGTGTAATTAACGCCGCGCCGCCGCCGAGCGCCACTCGCCGTGGGACGTCGCCCCGTCGCCTAATTTGAATTTTTAATTACCGACGCTCCGGAGCGAGACAGACGCCCATTGGCCGACGCCGCTTACATAAGCTATAAGCGCCTATTGTCTTTGCGCCGTTCGTGTAGACGTCTCCACATTTTGGGCAACGCCTAGCGAGTGTAATATGCAGTGGCGTTGTAGGCTATGTTCTGTTTGGGCTTAAGGTCTGTTGTATTCTTTTCTCGTAAGGTACATTTAAATTGCTTAAAACCAGCGCGACCAGATATATGTGAGTTGCACAAATAAATAAATAAATATTATCGGACACATTTTTTACACCAAGTTCTCTAGTCCCAAACTAAGCAACGCTTGTACTATGCGTACTAGAAAACTGATAAACATACTTAAACATACTTTTCTTTTGTAAATAAATACGTATTATACATATATAAACACCCAGAAACTGGAAAAACACAATGCTCATCACACAATATTTTTCGAGTAGTGGGGATCGAACCTACACCCTCTGGCGCAGGAGGCAGAGTCACTACTCTCCACGCCAATCAGGTCGCCAAATACTTTTCCAGTGTGGGAATCAAATTCGGAATCAGCACCGAATATTATTTATTGACTACGGTGCTAATTTAATCTTTACCAGGATTAATTGCTGTACTTAACACCACTTCTAAAACAATATATTAATTATTACAAGCTGGCCCGCGCAATTTCGTCTGCCAGGTCCATTAGTTCGCAATTTTAACATACAGCCATCAATTATATACTTACTTAACCCAGCTGAAAAATGTACCTTACACCGCTATCTGTTAGGATCTTATGGAACTCACAGATACCTAAAACTCTTTGTCATTAAATGAACAAATAATTTGCAATAAAACAATATTGCAACTATAAATTGAGATGTAAGCTATCCTATCTTTTAAGTTGGATTAAACTGCACATGGTGTGAAAATTTGATTAAAATCTGTTAAGTAGTTTAGGAGCCCATCGCGGACAAACAACGTGACACGTAACTAATGTATATTAGGAAGATAAGAAGAAGATTAGCGCCACTTATAAAAACACAAGGTTTTTTCATTATCTGCACATGATTATCTAAAGAATAGAAATATATTATCCCTTACATACTATCAGCCGTGCGCGCCTGTTCTAGATATCACATAATAAATAATAACAGTATACCTAGTGATATTTAATTTAACCACTTTACATTTAAAATAGATGCATGTATACGGTGATAGAATTTCCCTTTGATCAATGAGCTCGTTAAATCGAAAACTGTAGTACAAACCAAGTGATTTGATATAATGAAAAGAAAAATATTATAGAAAATGAAACAGAATTTCGTTATAAGAACATAGTTAATTAGCTCGTCAAAAGCCCGGAATATGCGCTGCGGGCGCTCCACGGTTAGATAACTAGCAACCTAATTTCGCACAAGTTGCGGTTTTCAAGATCTCATTTATTAGCGTAAGCAATTTTAGGAGTTTACGTTGATAGAAATTCTTAGTGTATAATGGAGCTTTTGTTGTGAAAATAGCGTGAATAATAGCCAGCTACTTTTAACGACTGACGAGTTATAATTATTTGATGATAGGTACTAAATATCCCATTTAATATAAGCTGTGAATGACGGAAATCGGATTTAGATTCAGACTAAAATAGTAATTCGATTGGCTTAAAATTTTAATCAATTTTGGAATAAAGTTATCGAAAATTACACGAAAGCATGACAACCACAACCACAAGTCTTTTGCAGGACTAAATAAATAAACGCATTATCTATTTTTTTTTATTTTTTCAGAATAGATTTATATTTTAAATTGTATTTTATTGCCTTAGAACTATTGTAATTTGTTTTGTTGTTAATTTAGTTATATCGCCTAATAATATTTTTTTCACACTTTTACTTGCATTTGTTTTTTATTTAAAGCATATTGTAAGAGACATATGCCCAGTTTCCGAAAGGCCAATCAAAGCAGCAATCACATAACACTATGTCAAAAATGATCAGCTGTTAATCTCTTGTTAAACTGCCTTGGGTTTCTGGAAGGTTTGTTCAAGAAAAATTAGCTAATCACTGTATAACCAATGATAATGAATGAAATGAATGATTTATTTCAACTAACTCTTTCTATTGTATAGCTGTCCCTTTTTAAACAATACTTAAATTAACGTCACTATCCAGTCCTGTCACCGTGTGATTGAAAACGTAAAAATCCGAGCTATAATAAAATTTAATTTATATAAATACATGCAGAATGTCAAGAAAAAACTTTACAGTTACATTATACTTCTTTTTTTATCCATAATAAACAAGTAAGTATTATAAAAAGAAAGAATCCATATTATTTATTAACTTTTGAATTGCATTTTGTATTGTTTCTAATCGCATGATATGTTCGCATAATATTAAATAATAAATAGGTAATAGAACACATGAATGTCCTTACAACGTATTAGGGAATTATGTTTATTTTTAATAAAAAACTAAGATTTTTGATAAAATACATTTTTAACCAACGATTGATCGTCCAAATTGACAGATTACTTAATAAAACTTTTGACAGGTCGTTGACCACCGAAGAACGCTTTGAGAAACTCGATTTTCTGTTGATTGTCCGTTAATCAGTGACTAATTGCAAATCAAAATCATTGTTGTTTTCAGACGTTCTAGCAACTCAGATCATGTTAAACAACGATTGACAAGAGATTTATTGTAAATTAAAATTGATTGTGCTTTCGGAAACTGGGTGATACTCTTCAATAGAATTCTAGTCTAATCTCTACATTGAATGTTTCATATGATATTGTTTTTATTGAAACATCTATTGTCAGATCTAATAAATAAATAAAAAGAAAGTCCTTTTTCAGTGAGACCTGAAGGGAGGTTCCTTTTGCGATTATCATGGCATTTGAGTTATTTGATAATTTCCACCATATCCACAAGATTTAGCCCCTTTTTATATATATATTGCGTTATATATTCCTGAATATAAAAGTTTCCGGTGGGAAAATATTTAGCTTCAACGATGCGATCATGCACTAAACCAACGACTATTTTGAAGGGTTGCTTAATTCGTATTTTATTGATCGAAACGAACGAGCTAGAGAAACGCTAAATGAAGTTCATTGAGTTAAATGAGCTAAATTCATTGAGCTTAAAAACAGTGACAAAGGGCTTGAGGGAAATCGACTACTAAGTTGAAAAATAAATATAATTTTTTTAATAAAGTTGACTCCTCGTTTCATTTTTACCACAGATATCACTCCCCCATCGTATTAATAAAATTACTTATCTCTGTCACCGTCGACTGCAAAAAATATGTACATGAGAGCTTGAAACATGTTAGGAATGTAGGAGCATTGGTGTTGACGCGGCGAAGGGGTGTGTTACGGTTCGCATTAATCAATTTGGCAGAGCAAAGCTAGCAAAGGAGTCGACGGCTAGTGGACCCTGTAACCCAATACAGCTTCACAGAGTTGCTAAAATCAGAAGCGATTGAGCCATTCTCATATTCGAGAGAGCTGTCAATCAGAAGCGTCCAGAACCATTCTCATATCCGATAGAACTGTCGCCGATAGAGCTCCGTACAGTCCACACGGCCGACATCGGGGACATGCGACACGGAGACGCGGGCCCATCGTGTCGCGCCGGAATGCGTGACCGATCGGGCACGGGGGCGAAGCGCCCGCCGAGCGCCGAATGAAGCGATTAGCGCTCGCCGGGGACGGCACGCGGAACCAACCCGGCGGCACGACGCCCGGCCCGGGAGCGTTTTGTCTCAGCGCGCCTGACCCGTGCCCCGGGCAAAAACCCCGCTTCTTCGCGCGACAACACGGAGGGTTCTCCGAAGAACCGGGGTACACTCGCGCAAAAAGCCGCGAGACGCTGCGGCGTTTTTATCGCGTCGGACGATCGGGCACGCCGCGCCGCCGATCGGAACCGTTAGCGGCGTAGATAACGTTGGTATTACTTAACGACGGTCATTGAAATCGCGCCCGTGAAATATAGTGTAAGGCATCTTTTGAGCTCACCCATATTTACTGTGCGACTAAACAGCGTTTTACAAATATTGTTGCTACGGCGGTTAAAGTTGAACACAGGCTTTCTTTCAGCCGACAATACCGGAGAACCTCTATTTAGCTGTATTTTCTCGTATTCTAATTAATAAATAATTAATTAATAGATAATTAGAATTACTCAATTGTAATTTAAAGAATTCTTAGACTAAGTAAGACAACTGCGTCTCTGAAAGGTCCATGGAGCAGTGTCTCTTTGTTTTTTTTGTATATTCTTTATTGTACTAAAAGTTTGTACAAAGACGAACTTAATGCTAAATAGCATTTTCTTCCAGTTAACCTTTGGTGGTTGAGAGCAAGTTACGGGTAGTAACGCTAAAATAACATACAAGACTTTAAGTGTCAATCATAAAGAATACTAAACTAAATATACTGTTGCTGCACGATTGGGCGTATTGCCCCGAGAAGAAACACGGCTTCACAGAAGACCGTTATGAATTAGAAGTATCAAAGTAGTGAACACTAATTAAAAAAAAATTTCGAAGGTATGTGAAGTCTGCCTATCCGCAGTGGGGCCGCGTGGTCGACTATGCCCTGATACCCTCTGTACAGAGGAGGCTTTTGCCCATGTGTGTGTAGTGGGACATGTATAGGCTGATGCTTTAGAGCACTAAGAAAGGATTTTTTAAAACGTCTGAAGTCAAACTTAACCAACGATAAGTGCCAACGGAGACTGTTTAGAAAATTGATTGATTTGGCGAGGCGTGTGGCTCGTGGCGAAGTCTTTGCGCAAAAAACCTTTTAATTATCGCCCCCGGTCGCCAGGTGGCGCCTTTGTCGTAGATTTCATGGTCCGCCGGGCAGTGCGGGCCGCTTAGCTCGCAGCAACGTATCGCGCCAATCTTACGCCCGTTCGCGCCAATGACTCCATACACTCTGCACTGCGTATATAATAGCTGCTATGCAGGCCGCAATTACGAGCATCGTATCGAGAGTGCCGATGTGGGATCAGCATCCTTCGCAGCCAGTGGGCTTAACGCGTCCTTAACCATAACCCATATGCGGGTTGACTTTGCTTATTATTACCGACAAATTGTTACGCAAATGTTAACTGTTTCAATATGGTGTATTAATAATCTTTAATTAATTTTTCATTAAGTTTAATAATTCGAACACCTTTCTTAAACTTATATTTACGGCTATTGCCTTCATATTTTCATACAAAAGCTTTAGTTTGAAAACTTCTTATAATGAATGTATGATTCCATCCATTGACAATTTTGTTTAAATGAAAGATAGCGTAGTAAACTGAATTTTACCATCACCCCTTTAAAATTTGATCATACATTTAATTGATAAATACTTAAGTATTTGCAAATTTTTATAAAAAATTCGCACAAGCCAATTTCACATTTTTTAAGTCATTTGTAAATAAATAATCATATCGCGTGCTGCTCTCTGAAAACTGTAATCATCTACGGAGAGATAATCTGAAATTCCGATGCCGATATAAAAAAATGTAATTGCAATTTTTTGTGCACTGCTATTACAGAAAGCTTTTAACTCACTGACCTTTCTTGATTTGGCCTCAATATATGTAAGGAGGTGTTTTATAATGGTCTTAGTATGTTTGTTTGGAGTTTTTGATATAATATTTTCAAATCGAATATCCTTTATCATAATTTGTATAATTTCACTTTTATTATACATGTAGATTAGGCCGTTATATGAACTCATTTATTGTGTTTATATGTAACGACTACGGGCAGCTGTAATAAAAAAATACATAAAGTTAAAAGCAACCATCGCACCCGTTGGAGATTACAGAAAAAGCGTGTACAGTTTGTGGAATACAAATCGCTTCGTACGATAAACCGAGTACAATCCACTGATACGAGCCAACAAAAACTTTATCAAGCGATCCGACGTTATTAATAGAGACGCTGATAATGCAGATGGCGCTGTAGTACTGCTAAGCCACCGTGAAATGAGCAGTCCACGGCGGGCCACCGCTCTTACGTGTGTCCCTCAAATAATGGCCCCTTACCAACAAAGCTGAGATAATTTCCTATTTCAAAACACGACATCACTCCGACCGTGCTCCGTGCTACCGATGTCGGATGAACTCTTTAAGAAGCCGAGTGACTAATGGACGAGATTGAAGTGGAAAACATGGGAGTAATGGCTTCATATGTTCCGTTTCTCCCTGCCGGTGTGCGATTCTTAAAATCATAGTTGTGTATGAGCCAAATTGTTATTGTTGGAGAAATATAAAAATAAGTTGAAATGGTAACCATTTTTAAATGCAATTACTAATAAGGTTTCATTATCGCTGCAGTGAAACTAACGAATAGATCACAGAGTATCTAGGTAATATTGACACAGAGTATCTATATATCTATCTAGGTAATATTGACTGGGAATGTGTCAACGGTATTTTTTATTACATACCCTCTCTATAGAGGAGGCCTTTGCCCAGCAGTGGGACATGTATAGGCTTTTACTTTACTTTACCCGTGAGTAGCGAAAAGTTTAAAATCATTCGTGGATCTGTTGAAGCTAGGTGGTCTGTCCAGTAAGGAATTAATACTTGAACGAGAGCCGGTGAGGTTAATCGATGTCATTGTGGCCACGGGAGGGGAATGCGACGTGTCGCGGACACCGCGACGGGCCGTGTGCGTGCGAGCGCTGTAACCCAAGCCGGGGCAGTAACGCGGCCTCGCCATAACATAATTAAAAATGATTTAAGGCATGCGCTCCGGCTGCTTTGTTTCGCGCGTTATGTTTCACTTGTTCGCGTCGCCGACCCCGCGCGCGCTGCGACGTTCGACGCGCCCCGGCTCTTAATTCTGTCACGGGTTTTTATAACCCTTTTGTGTTTATTAATTCGCTTTCGGCTCCGGTAGCCACGCTTCTCGGAAGTCGGCTCGGGGCGACGTTCCACCGCCTCGGCCGGGCCTAACCCTCCGGCCTAGTTAACGAAGCGTCCGATTTCGGCGCCGCCGGTTTTCGAATAGCCACCCGTTCCGCTCGCTGCAGTTTAGATCGCACAAGCCTACATTCTGCGAAGAACGCCGATCGAGGCGAATGGCGGGCGGTACATTGTAAGCTAGCGAGCCCAACAATGGTTAGGGCCCACTCGCCGAGAAATTGAAACAAAACTAAATTGCAAAGTCCGTATTCGGCGTGGCACGCTAAAAAGGTAATAAAATTTTAATAAAATCCCGCCGAACAATGGTCGCAGTGGGCGCGGGGCGGACGGCAGCGTTTAAATAAGTATTAAAGGAATTAACTCCGGCTTGTTGACGCGTCGCGGCCAGTTATCGGATTTCGCGATCGCACAACACTCATTCGGGATTCGGGAACCGTGGCCTGAGCGCCGAAAAGCAATTCTTGACGGTTCACGGCGCTGTCTGGGAGGTAACATTGAAATAATACCCCTTTGGGGCTAATTGAATGCTGTGCATATTGGTTACAGGCACTTTAAACAATTAAAAAGTTTAATTAACGACAAGGTTTGGAATTCAAACTAAAATTTTGAAATAAGCAGTCTGTTGATATTTATCTTTACCTAATATTATTTTATATCATATCATTTATATTTTTATATCATTTGTAATTTATCAGCGAAGCTTGATTTTGTTCTCGACTCGAAATCCAGAATTTATCCTGAAACCCAAGAAAGAAAGAAAGCAAGAAAGTTGACCATACTAGTTGTAAGTAGATATTTATATTACACCGCAGTTATTAGATTACAGTAAATACACTGTAACCTAATAACTGCAATGGCATGCCATACTTAAAAGTTTTCATTAACAAAACTGTAGGGAAACGTCATTACAAAACTGGTTTGACAATTTTAATATCACAAAAGCTATTGGAGCTCGTCATGAATATTTGTTTCTCTCGAGTCTCTAACACGAGAGTTAAGTCCTTATAACTATGAGATTTACTTATTGCTAGAAGCTTTTTCAGTCCAGCACCGACGAAAATTAATTAGAAATCGTCGCGCGAGTATTTCATATCAATTTTGTTTGAGCTTCTGTACACGGAGCACAATGGGTGTACGGGTCCACTACGGCTCTGTTCGTGTCTGTTAATTAGTTTTTTGTTGCGGCCACGGCGGCGGCGGGGGCGGCGGTGAGCGGGGGAGGGGGAGGGGTTTGGTCCCGACGCCATCAAATTACGATGAATCGGCCTTTTGGCGCTCTACTGCCGTCGGAGGCCGAGACGATAATTATACACTCGTTACTACCGTGCTGCCCGACGACGCGGCGCATGCAATCCGCACCGGAGAAATTGTTTTAAGAGTCAATCGAGATCACAGATGCGTCGATCGACGTATAAGCGATCTTAGAATAAGGAGCTTCGGTGTTCATTCTGCATTGCATTTATTTCCATCTACGAAGACGAAATGATAAACTTAAGCACACATACTTGCTGCGTCTATGTATAAAGTCTATGGAGTCCGTAGATAATCTCTTAAACAACGTAATAAAACAGATCTAAAATCATTACTGAAAATGGATTGATGAGGTCCAAATAGACAAGCGTTAATCGACCCTCCGTTTCTTTCTAACAACCAGCGGAGGATCGGTGGCTTCGAATGCTCGTGGTAGGGAGCGCTCGACGATAAATTCCATCGATAAAATCGGCGATGTCGACAGCCTGCCCGGTAATTTACCGGCGTAACGCGGTGGCGACGCGTGCGCGTACGCATTTTATTTCTCCCGGATCAAGGGGCCCGACTCGGAAATAATCGCCGTGCACTCAGCACAGATGGTAATCAACGCGACTATTAAGGTGGACTTAATGTGAACTCTTCTATTTTCCAGTCGATGAGCGCGAGTGCTGAGATCGCATCTCTACGTGTCGTCGGTAACACGTGTTTCACTCACGTCCATATAGATATTGGAGATTCCTCGGGCGATAGCGAGGGAGATTTGATAGTATTGAGAATTGAAGAGAGTATTGAGAAAGATGAATTTCTCGAAGTTTTTAATACGTGATTGTGACTTCGGATGCGTGGCCTGCGGTTGCGTGGTGCATGGGATGGTAGGCGAGGCAGAATTTCGGACAGCGAGCACATCATTGTAGTGAGTTTGATTAACAGAATGCTTTCGTGTCAACGGGCGTAAAAGACCCCGTCTTCGTAATTTCAAAATCCAATGATAGGCACAATTTTCTTGGAAAAGAAGATTATGGTGGTCTTATTAAAAAGCGGTCCGGCTCGACCGTATTGTGATTTTAAGTGTTTATTATGAGTGGACGAGGCGGCGACCGCTACCGGGGCATTGTTGATCCCATTCACGCTGATCGAATGAGCTTCCTATTAATTACCGTCGGCCATTCGTCGCTTACGGACGGTAGGGTTGGTGTTGACGATGATCGAAGACTAAAAAAGGAAGACTAAAAAAATAAAGGATAAAACGTTAATACTGGATAATATATATATATATATATCGATATGATCGATGATAAACCTAGAGTATGATAGTAGAGTTCATATAATACCTCTTCTTGTTAAGGTTTACAAAGAAGCCAATTATTTTCGTAACAAGTCTTGTTTTTGATGAGATACTACTCCGATCTACAAAGCAATTCGACATTCTGTTAACAAAAAGGTATCGAAGTTTATAGAAGAAATTTACTTTGTTTTCTATACGAATGTAGATAAAATATGAAACAATTACGATTGGCAATACACAACCGTGGTAGAGTAGTCGCAGCGGTTTGCACTGTCATTTGGCCGACTCGTCAGGGATAAATATCACGGCTTCACATAGGACCGGCATTCATACTTTTGCATTTAACTGGTGATGGTGACAAGTACTTGGGGTCCACCATCTAAAGTATTGCTAACCTAAATTATAAATAGCCCATTGATAATGATTTAACGTGAAGCATTTGATCGTTTATATCATCTTTCAGAATAAATCGTTGAACCGATTACTCACAACCAATTCACGGACGCTGGCAACCCTACACAACTCCACGTATACACGTATTACGTGCGGCTATGTTGCATTATCTTTAATTAAAAACCCCGAGAGGCCATCTCTAGATTAGTCGGTGCGTTCACAAAAAGGGTTACGATGGGATCAGGCGAAACACCTCCGCGATTCGTCACAAGCGCCCGATTTATTCCTGTTTGAGTGGGTCCTTTGTTAATGCTAACCGAATTTGCTGTCCAATAAAAAGCGGCTAATTAAGAAATGTCCGGGCGGCCGTTAGAAGTCCTCGCGCTCTTCACGGGCCCAGCTGCTAGGCGGGCGTGGGATGCCTCGCTAATTAATTCCCGAAACACTATCGCACCGGCTTTTTATCGTTGATTTTGATCCTTCGATTTACGAGCGCTGTACATTGTACGGTTTCGGTCGGCGGAGTATGATGAAGTGTTGTTTTTGGAACAGTGTCGAAACTAAATAATTCCAGAGTATTATAGTTAAGAAAAAAAAAATAGTCGAATACGATTTTGATCCATTTTGTCGCTGGTAAGTAACATTTTAACCATACGGGTAAGTACATTAACGGGTTGCAGATCTGGATCGTAAACGGATCTTAAAACAACGTACATTTTTACATGGAATGAGCTAAGGACATTTTGTAAAGTACGAACAACATTTATTTCGTTGTATAGAATAAACACTGTGCATGATTATATAAAAATAAGTATTACATAAAGTGCAGCACTTTTCATGCCCAAAAGACTTTTATCATTAAGAAAGGAGTAATGCTTTGATTTCCTATACTTGTCCTATACCTATACTTAAAAAATATAACCAGCGCAGATGGTTTGTGAAATCAAAAGATTTTGAAAGCAGAATAATGTTGGTTATGTTTAATCTGTAAGTAGGTAGTGCTTGACTACTTTAAGTGTCCCACATAGTGATGTAAACATTTCGAACGATGTTTAGAATCTCGCTTAAGTTTTTTTTATGGAAACGAGCAAGCAAAACTGCGTCACTAGTGAATAATTTAATTTTTAAATCACTTTGTACTGTTTCCAATTTGGATTAGTGGCAGCCCTGCGGCGTAGTTTTCCAATTTGTATAACGCGTGGCAGCCCTGCGACGTAGTGGTATCATTCGCGGCGGCCGAGGCCTTGTCGCCAGGTTAGCGTAACGATAATGGCGATCATTAGGTTCCATTCCCGGCATTCCGCATACTCGGTTACAATACATAGGACGTCGTGTTCCACGGTATTCTAGAATTGGATCCACGATTAATTTTAAATGGAAAAAATAATCTTTTTTTTATTGCCTATACGACAAACTCGGCTCATCCGTAATGACGCCTTGGAAACGTCATTTACAGAGTCGGCTATCTGCGGCTACAGAATGTAGGTGGACTTTTTCTATGACGCAATTAAAGACGGCATATGTATAGGAAATAATAATTTATTTATAGAATAAATTCCCGTACGTTAAAATTAAAACATTAAGTCGAGTCATATTATAAAATTTGAGGCTTATATCAAAAAGGCAGTTAAACAGAATAAAGAAAAGCAACGCTCGTTAGTTGCTTTACGTTTAAAAATATAACATTTATTAAGATACTAATTAAATCCTTTCAAATATTCTCAACAACATAGCTACTTAACGTTATGTTTATTAGATTTAACGTCAATATTAATTAGCACAGGTATCAATTCATAATTATCACTATATTTATTGTGTATATGTGCTATCAATCATTAAAATTCAATAAAACTTGTACGTAAATTTGGTATAACGTAAAATGGCCGCTGGTCTAATTATAATTAGACTGGACCAGCGGCAATTTCTCGTTATACCAACGTATACGTTCCGCGTTATGTGCGGTATCGCAATGTCGCAATGTTGCAGTTAACACGTTAACGCCATCCGAATACTCACACATTTCTTCCCACCGCTCAACAGGATTGGTACCATAAATTTGTGGTGAACGCCCCAGCCGTTAATATAAGCACACTTTACTAGTAAGGTAATAAGTCATCAGCGGCCAAAGCTGGACAAAAACTGAAAATAAGCTCTAGACTCTGGTAGCGCGAGACTTTATTGCCACGTCGGAAATTAGTCTTTTAGGCATTGCATTGCCGGGCTAGGCTTCATGTGATGCCTGTTAAATTAATTCGATTTAACTGATGTTAGAATTGTGTTGAAAGCGTAGCATTAATTTTAAGATTTATCGTTCTGTTTCGAATTTAAATTTAGTTTAATTTTATAAGTTGTAACAACCAATAGTTTTTGGTTATATCATTAGAGAGCACTTCCATGTGGTAGGGCTACGCAGAAGTTTCTGCTTTTGTTGCACGTATGGGCAGGCTCGTCCAGTTAAGTACTAGGGCCTCAGAAAAGATTAATGTGAATTGAAAGTATTATGCTTTTTCGTTTCGTCTGGTGAGTGAGGTAACAAGAGCCCATTTTTTCAAAAAAGTTTGGCTAAGCGTTTGTAACCGCTCAGGTATTGCAGATGTCAATGGGGGGTCACTTATCATCAGGTGAAACGCATGTTCCTTCGCCGTCTTTTCGCATAAAAACACTGATAGTATTGTCCAGGCACAATCGTGATACTTGGAATCATAAAAAATCCGGTCAGCAAAAGAAAAATAACAGTTGTTTTGGAAACGGTACCACGAAAACATACCACAGGAGATGACTAGAAACGCCGTTCGAGCGACTTGGTCGCCCGAACAACAAAAGAAAAAAGAGCATGACAGGATCTTTGTTACGTCAACACTATACGCACGCTTTCATTACGCGGGGAAATAAATCAAAATAATACCGGGGTAAAAAGATAGCGAATGGAAAATCAGACCAGCCCCGCGCGCGGCCGGGTGATTTATGCCGGTAATTTTCCGGACGGTTACGAAAGTAACCTGCGATTTTTCACCCCGCACACACGTAATTAGATAATTTTCATGGATTCCCTCCGCAGGCGGCTCCTAGTGAATTTATTCATGACATAACACGGGCAGAACGTGGACTAGGAGAAAATACTAAAGATGTTTTGACTGATGATATAAAAGCACAAAACTCATTCTCTATCATCCGTTGTGTCGTAATTTTACCGCTTGAGATATCGTTAGGAGCGTCTATTGAAATGAAGTATAGCGACAAATGAAACCAGATAATGGCCATGAATTAATAATCCCGAGAGGACTGATCGCCCGACTCCCCGGGATGCTCTCGTATTAATTTCTGTCACAGATTTAATTGCTCACCACTGGCTCAAGCTTTTTAATAAATCCGAGAGCGGCGGACTAAGCCCGGTGCGACCAAAAAATGCGCGGTCGGGGCGCTCGACCAAAAAAAAAAGAGGACAGATTTTAATTTATAAGAGACAGGACAAACGATTAATAATTTATTTGTATCCCCCGCTTCTTGCGCGAGAGGGCCGAGCGTTAAAAACAACCGTTAAAACCGGCGACTTTGTATAGCTCGCGCTTAGCCAGAAATGCCAATTGCACGAGACACGAGTATACAGCGGGCCGGAATGTCGCCTTAAAAAAGCCCGCAAATAAATAAATCGCGTCGCACGCACCGGCCGGACGGAAAAAGAACAACCGCCATATTCGATTCTTTAATGTGATCTTAAAAAAATAGAAGAGGAGGCTGGCTTCGATTGAAAATGAATGAGGGCGAGCGCGATAGTGGAAATTAGCATTGAGGTGGGATTCAGGAGCGGCCTTTGTGCGATCATATCGTGGTGTATTCTTTGCGCTTTTTACGGTGGCGACGCGCCGAGCGCCTCCTTTCAGCCCCTATTACGATACCTGTCGCCTTTTTGTTGCAAATAATTACCGCCGATGCTTCGAAATAGCACGTCGGTAATTTTTTAAAAGAGCTTCCACCCTAAAGCGTTGGACAGAGCTCGAACCGGTGAGCAGAATTAACCTATATATCTCCTTTTCACTTTCTCAACAAAATAAATGCATTTCGGTAAATCTTCTTCAAATTGGTTAAGAATTTCCTGTGAAACATATTACCGAGAGAGAGAAAGAGAGCGAGAGAGAGAGAGAGAGAGAGAGAGAGAGAGAGAGTGCGGCCGGTAAGTTTTAACTAGAACGCATTGATAAAGAACAGAAATGTCCAATTATGAGCCGTTGTCGAGGATTAATGGTCGTCCGAAGCCATTAAGCAAGGTTAGAATATGACACAGAAGGAGATCGTAAAGCATTACGGCGGCGGGGAGATTAGATCGGGCGACGTCGGTCCGATTCATAAATTAGCGATTACGCGCATCCAATAATAAAGGCAACAATGGGATTGAATGCAGATGAGGCGAGGTGCGTCGGAGGGCCGAGCGCTGCGGCGGCGAGCGATCGACATTTGTATGCGATATCTAAGCGCACAATTGGACGCCGCGGCGCGACTCTTCGCGCTAATGGTACACTATCGAGCGATCGCGTTCGCCCGCTTGAGAAGTAGCGACCGCCTCGGAATAGGGACCACACGGCGGTTCGGCGCAATAAATGCAACACCCCGTCTGCTGCGGTCGGGTAGGAGGGCGAAAAGTCTTATGGTGATGCTCGGGCGGCGGCTACTCTCAATCGACTAATAGAGACTAGACACGTTGTTATAAATATTATCATTAATATTTTTTTTCTTTTTTTTTTAAAACATTAACCTTACTTTAAGATAACATTATCCTGTGTTGTACGGAAGTTTTACAAACAAATTTCACGTAGACAAACACCCAGATGCGAAACAACTATTTGTGGGTCGCGCAAATAGTTGCCCGTGTGGGAATCGAACCCACGACCCTCGACGCCGAAGCCAATACCTTGTCAACTACGCCACGGAGTCATCATATTTATTTTTACAATACTCATTCTGACCACAGACATTGTCTTATAGTTGTGTATTGTAACTATAAGATGATTGGCGTTAGTATAATGTATTGTCAAATTTAAGCCTGAACCTTACCTATACCTATTAATATTAATACCTACCTGAAAACAGCATCACTAGGTTTTCTAGGATTTATATCATTTTTAAAGCCAGTTATATAATTATATTACGATCATAATTTGTAAATATTGAAATAACACATTCTTAAATTATTGCTTTAAACAGATAGAAAGAAAAAAATGTAAACAATGTGTAGTGTATGTTTTTATAATACAAAAATAATATGACAAAACATAATAAAACTTTAAATGTAGGAATAAATAATTAACTAAATAAAATAATGAAAGAGGCTCGAAGGAAAACGTTTGTCCTGTGGGATTCTGTAGCTGTGTGGGGGCGTGTGGGTATCTGCCCGTGCGTCCGTGTGTGTATGCATGTGTACGCGCCATATAATAAATTAATTGTGATTTTAGTTATATTTTGTCTAGATCTTCCTGTATTTGCTTTTTAAATGCTTTGTAAGGCAGAAAAGGCAACTAGATGTGTGAACGTAACATGACTTAGTGTTGAACGTATGCGAGATATTATGGCTCAAAATAGAGTTTGGTACAAGAAGAATGTGCCAATTCTTGTGTTGAATAAACGGTATTTTGTATGACAAGTGCGCTTGCTTGTTACATCCAACTAACATCCATAGTAGTTGAAAGTGTTGTGAAATTAATTGGATTTATTTTAGTAGAAAATGTTATTTCAGTACATTTATACTTATTATATTAAACTTGTAATGTTGTCTTAAGTTATGTTAATCAGTAGTAGACCACAAATACGTGATTTTAAAAACACACATTTTCGACGTATTAAACAGTACAGTTTGATCTGGTAAAATAAAGTCTAAGACATAATTGTTTTCTAAAATATCGTAGAAGACAAGAAACTCTCAGGTTAAATATACAAATAAATATAGTTTGTCTTATGTATAAAATAAATATGATAAAACACGATGACTTAAAATAAGTTGAAAATTGTGGTCTAACCGAATATCATCTCTATATATAAAAATGAATCGCTGAATGTGTTGCTAAGGGCAAGTCTTGAGAACAGCTGAACCGATTTCGCTACTTCTTTTTTTATAATATTTCTTGAAGTACGAGGGCAGTTCTTACTGAGAAAAATTAAAAAAATTGCCTGAAAAAGTCTAAAAACTACACTTTTCTATATTCCCATACAAAAGATTCGTAATAATACTTAATAGTCAATTTGAACTTTAATACCATACAATAAAGTTTAAGTGTTAGTAGAGGGGTTCCGGGAAGGCAAATAATTGAGTGACGTTAGTATCGTATAAATATTAATGTCAATATTTGTCAATATTTATACAATGGTAAAATAACTCAAAAACAAATTGTCTATGGTATAATGTAAATTCTCTGTGGTAAAATGTCAATTGAAATGTAAACGTCTCTTTGCTGTGCATCATCACTACATAGTATGTATAAAAAAAAGTCGTCCCGCTGTCTACGCAACGGATTTTGTTGCGGTTTTTTTTACTAGACAGAGTAATTCAAGAGGAAAGTTTGTATGTATAACACATTGAACCCGTGCGAAGCCGGGGCGGATCGCTCGTCGAGTCGTTAAAAAATATTACCGACATTGACAGTTCAGTTTTGTTGTGTTTATGGACAAGGCGTTGGGAGACTGTTTGGATGTTTTACTGTGGTAGGACCACGCAATAGTTAGCTGTTGCACGAATGGGCAGGTCCGTCCGGAAAAGTACCACGACCACACAGAAGACCAGCGTGCAGTCGAAGTGTTATACTTCTGCGTTTCGTCTGGTGAGTGAGTTAACCGGGGCCCACATTGTTGGCCCACGTTTAAATGGATTTTTAGAATCGCGGGAAACTCAATTAAATTGAATTAGTAATTGTTTTAACCTTTTTCGAAAACAGAGAGAAAAGTTTGGATTTATATCTCACCAATGTAATATTATCCAAAATTGAAAAAAAAAAAAAAAATCATTATTATAATCATTTGACTTTTACACACACTGCAATCGATACGTTGTTTCAATTAAACGCGGCTAAGGTCATAAACATGCAAGTTTAAACTCATCCAGTTAGTTGCGAAATGTCACATGAGTATCGAGACGCATAAAAATGCAATAAAAGGGCACATAAAACCGATATTATTTTCACCGGTGACTAAAAATGTAATTATAGGCGACGATATTTTTTGCATATCTGTGTACATTAAAAGGGTCTCGGGCGGTTATGTTTCCAATAACAATCAAAGTAATGACCAGGCCGAGGCATTTATTGACATATTTGCAATATCGACGTGTTTGCCAGCGTTTTACGAGACGATGCTCCATTAATTAGTTAGTCGCCCTGTTTTAATTCGATACGGCCGAGTGGGTATAGTGATATCTGCGCCTCATCCCGTCGCGGATTATATTTTATCGCCTTTAAATTGTATTTGAGCGCGAGAGGTTTGTTTTGAGTTAATTCAATTTAACGGAGAGGCTGAATATGTGAACATAATTCGGTAATGACATATTATTTGTACAAATGATCAGGGTGTTGGTAAAGATTTCTGAAAATTTGCTGTCACCGCGGCCATTAAGCAGTTTAGAAGAAAGACATTGATTACGATGTGTCTTCAATCTGATGTTTTAGAAAAATATAAGGGAAGATATTTTAACCTCTAACACGTCGAAAATCAAACATTTTTGTTGGTAATTTCGGGTATGTTGCAGGAGGTCGATGGATGACCTTTGGGGAAGCTGTAATAGAGGACTTATGACAGGCAACAATATTAATAATATTAATACTGAACTAAAAAAAACTGACTGGATAGTGTTTCATACAGCTTAATCCTATAACATGAAATAAAGGTAACCAATGTATACAATTTAAATATCAAGAGGCAATATAAATATTGAAAAGGTAAGGTATTAATAAAACAAGCAAACTTAAGTATTTTTATACTATTACTTATGGCGCCAAAGTGCATACCTATGGTTTCTATTAATAAAACAAACAGTAAGCAGCGGTTATGACATTGCATCGAACAATAGCGAATATCTAATGTTCTGTCGTTTCGAGCGTATTCAATGGGGATAATGAAGTCACCCGTTGTACTTGTGAATAGCTTTTTTCGCTAACTGTTATATAAACCGCTAACAGGTGTGACAATGTTAGCCGTTTTCGCGGTGGTAGGACCACGCAGCAGCCTCGGCTGTTGCACGAATGGGCAGGCCCGTCCGGGTAAGTACCACGACCTCACAGAAGACCAGCGTAAAGTGGAAGTATGACAAATACTTCGCGTTTCGTCTGGTGAGTTTGGTAGCCGGAGCCCAATTTTCAAAAGGTTGTCAACGCATCTGTAACCCTCGGGTGTAGCAGAGGTCCATGGGCGGCGGTATTCACTTAATATCAGATGAACCGTCTGCTCGTTTGGCTTAAACTTGTTTGGCACTTTTAACATAAAAAAGCCACATGTTCCATTTTGACCACGCGCCTCTCGTAAGCTATAGAGTACAACGAGATTATGGCATTCTATATGAGGTCGACAATTCACCAATCAAAAACACGAAAGATCTAGAGTAAAACAAGCGAACAGAGCTAAGATTGAAGTATGTAGGCAAAATGACGAAGTCTATAGATAAGGATTTTTATTACCTACTAGGTGTGCCCGCGACTTCGTCCGCGTGGAATTTAAAATAAAAAAAAATCTAAAATAAAAGTAGCCTAAGTTACTCCTTATTACATCACCTATCTGTCAGTGAAAGTCTCGTTCAAATCGGTCCAGCCGTTTCAGAGATTAGCCGGAACAAACAGACAGACACACAGATAAAAATTGTAAAAAAATGTTATTTTGGTATATGTACCGCGTATACATCCATATGCATTTAGTAAAAAGCAGTTATTTTAATATTACAAACAGACACTCCAATTTTATTTATCTGTAATGTATAGAAGAAGACGTGAAGAACGTGAAGATGCGTTAATAAAATGTACCTCGAAAACTTGAACGCCTTTAAAGTAATATAATAAATAAAACTGTTCACAATTAAATAACAATTGTTATTTATTTCCTAAAACGTATACCAATCAAACTCGCACCCATTTTAATCATTCAAAAAACACGATGACAAATTTATAACTTCAGACTGAAGATGATGTTGAGTGAATAAGATTCCATAATAGGGAACGGTGAAAGTTGAAAAGTAAAGACTGCACACGTGTACTTAATTTGCAGCGACCCGATTTAGAGACGGTAAAACGCGAATGCGGCGTGCGGTTTAGATGAATTGGCAATTGATCTTCGTCATGGAGCCTGATAAACGCACAAATATAAAGGTATTGTCGTTGTAATTGCTTTTCCTTCATAAAATTCTAGAGTTAAGATTAATAGTTTAATACAAATTTGGATAAAAACATTCTCGTGTACAAAACTTTGACTTCAAAAAAAAACGACGATAAAAGCGTCTTGTTCCTTATCTCATATTTTTACGGTTCATTTAAAAGTTATATTACGACTTTAGCTTTTATCTATATTTTCAAATTCAAATTTCAAAGGATCTGTAAATACGTTCGCGCGAATCCATTAAATATTAAAGTAAAAACCGGCCAAGTGCGAGTCGGGCTCGCGCACGCAGGGTTCCGTACCGTTATCTATAAAACTGGCAAAAAAATGATGTCTGTTGTATGGGGCCCACTTAAATATTTTTTGTTCTGTTTTTAGTGTTATTTGTTTTTACAGCGGCAACAGAAATACATAATCTGTGAAAATTTCAACAGTCCATGTCATATAGCCTGGTGACAGACGGGCAGAAAATAGACAAACAGCGGAGTCTTAGTAATAGGGTCCCGTTTTAACCTTTGGGTACGGAACCCTAAAAACAGTGAAATAACTTAGAATATTCCCTACAAAACTTTCAAGATCGTTCTCATAACGTTATAATCTGAATCAAAAAGGATCACTAGACAAACTTTCGAGAAAATTTTTGATGACATTCAAGGCTTAATACGGAAAATATAGCAATAGTGAGCACCTGAAGGAAGACAATATATGAGTAAAATATATAATGTACATACATACATCGTTAACTTAGTTATTTGTTATTATTAAGCAATTGTCTTTATTTTTTGAGTGGAATACAATACAAATATGAATGCGAACAAAACAAAGTATCCCGTAATGCGATCAGATTTATTATTTTAAGTTATAATTTTTAACAGCCAAGAAGCGATATGATAAAGTTGGTTGCAAAGACCAATATGACCATGGTTTGACATATGCGTTGACAACCTTAAAAGCGGTTAACTTAAACGGTTACCTCACTTATCAGACGTAACGTAAAAGTATAATATTTCCACTTGACACGGGTTTTGTGATGCCGTGGTACCACAGTAAAAAATTTATCAGATTCTGGTCATATATAAATACCGGTGGCATATCGGATAAATGGGAACTGCTCAAAGCATGATTTATTCCCATATGCTGTGCACATCCATGCCCACGTCGCCAATTGATTTTGGCAATTTATTGGTTTGCGACAACGAGCAATTGCGACGCACGCTCATTGAAAGGCGTTGTTTAATTTATCGTAATTACGACGGACAATTGACGCAACGATTGGAAGTACGATTTAATGGTCTCATCGGTACGGCTGTTAAGAGTGATTTGCCAGACATTAAAAATAATTTCAGTCAATCTCAAAGTTTCAGAAATACATAGCATAATATATACATTTAAGAATATTTTATCAAAATTATAATGAAATAACACCGGTATGTGATAGTTTCGCGCCCTTTAATTAGTATTTATTTCGAATCACAAAATTTTAATGCGGTTCCCCTGATTTCAAGTGATAACCACCGCCGCATCTTGTTAAATAAAAAAACGTCACAGTGTAGCATAGTCTTAAAGAAGTACATTGACGAAAGAAACCAACTATTACATTTTTTGTTACGGCTATAGAAGTGTAATAAAAGAAAATGTAGTAAAATGCGCCATCTATTACTTAAACCCCAATGAACATTCGCAAAACCCGTGTGTTTGCAGACGCGTTGCCACCATTTAAAAAAGCGGGCTCCAATTAACTCTCACCAGACAAAACACAGAAGTATACTTGCAATAGCTGTCCACGCAGCAGCCTCGAATTGTTGCACGAATGGGTAGGCTCGTTCGGGTAAGTACCACGACCTCACAGAAGACAGTAAAGTGGAAGTATAATGCTTTCGCGTTACGTCTGGTGAGTGGGGTGGTCGGAGCCCAATTTTCAAAAGGTTGTCAACGCATCTGGAAAACCGTGGGGTGTAGCAGATGTCCATGGGCGGCGGTATTCACTTAACATCAGTCGAACCGTCTGCTCGCTTGGCAACTTTTCACAGAAAAAAAAAAATACTTCTACCTTAAACGTGTCTTCTGTGAGGCCATGGCACTTTCTTAGATGAGACTGCCCATTCGTGCAAAATCATAAGCTGCTTCGTGAACGTACCACGGTTAACGACCACACTTAGACTTTTTCACAAAAACGAAAAGCAACCAGTGCATCAATATTTATAAGGGTGAATTAACTAAACGGTAGTTCTTTTATTAACAGTTTAGTTTTTTTATTTTATTTTTATTGGCAAATGAGAGGTAGGCCGGAAACAGGGTAAGATTTTGACCGCCACGAAATTCTAACTGCTTTATTATAGTAGGTGTACTAGTTTACAATTAGTTAATAATTTGTTTTTAAATATAAGACTTTTTAAATCAAAAATCGGTCTGCATTTGTCTATCCTTTCTAATAGTAAGCAAGCTGGTCTCTTAGGTGGTAAAAAAAAAGTAGTTAAGTAAAACCTATGTATCTTGTCTTCATTTATCATATCCAATCCAATCCAATCAGCCTTTTGCAGTCCACTGCTGGACATGCTTCCCTTGGGTAGGCCTATTTATCATATTACTTGTATGTAAAGTTTCCATTGTTCATTATTCCTTTCGTCACAAAAATAAGGGTAGGATGTACAACTGTATAGGAGGCCAGTAGATACAGATTGCGCTTTGTTATATGTACGTTAATTGAGTCGTTCACACCGGAAAAGTCAATAGCTTTCGACTTGAGCGTTTATTGAGTCATTTATCGTAGCCATAGGCGCAATGATTAATATCCCGGATATTTAGTTTAAGGGGGAGTTGTAACATCGGTACAAACACTTCCTGGATTGCTGTGATTTGTTGCGACGCATTGTTTTCGGAATGGACAGATCTATCGTTTCAAGACAAAAAGATATAATATTATTATTGTAGTTAAGAAAGAAAAAAAATCAGAAAACAATTTGCAGTTATAATATACGACAGGATTTACTTAATTATAATTTGAGGATGTGTAATGAGGACGTTAATTTCGTCGATATTTTTTCTGCTTTTCTTCTTTTACACGAATTTCTGCTTTTCACACAAATCAAATGTTTATCGCAAATATTGTACATATTTGAAAAAACTTATACATCGATTAATACAGATAATCGCATAGTATTCAATAATATTAAAACCAAAATGCACTTTAGTAATTGTATCACGTATTGAACTGTTGCATCTGCAAATGAAAACGCGTGGTGGATTCGCGTAGCGCGGCGTAGAGCCGCACATACAAGGCGTGGTGGAATCAGAGGCTCGGCGCGAGACTTCGGCCGACGAGTAGCAAGTGATAAATAAAGCGTAATTGAGAGACGGAAACAGCCAATGAGTAAATCTCGTCCGTCAATTTATTTAAATTATTTATTAGTGCTCCGCTATAGACACCCGCCGCGATCGCTTACAGAGCGCGTTCACAGAACGGTCTCCGGACGCGCCCGGCGAGTTGTGCGACGTCAGCAACGATCTATATCGATATCGATAGATTTCTTTATATTGTCTGTATTATATCATTCGATATTTAATTTCATACTTTTATTAATGAAATTTCCAAACGGATCGAATAGTGACCTCCTACTTTGAGTATCATCTCCGAGCTTTGAAGATTGGCTTAATCTTCTGGACGGTCACGATATTTATCATTTTGGATATTTCATCCAAATGTGACAGAAAAATGCAGAGTCATCTTTGATTTAACGAGTCAATCCTGGTAATCTTTCTATATCTTAGGAATAATTCATTTAACTTCTGACAACAATTGGTAGAACAATTGAATAGGGATCAAACTAATCGGGTGGTCAACCCCATTAAGGTAAGCTACTTCCGGAATTCCTCATTTTGTAAGTGTCCATGGGAAACGCATACTAGTTGCTATCTCAGGAAACACGTACAGCAGTTTAACAACTTTTTGTAAAATTTAAAAATGGTCTCAGTGCGGTGTACCATAGTCATAGTGTTAAAGAAATACATTGACGAAGGAAAGTAGGAAGAACCTAAAGGTACTTTTAAAAAAGAAAACCATTGCGGCTATAAAAGTACAATAAAAGAAAATGTAGTAAAAACGCCATCTATTACAAGTACCTAAAAGCCAACCGGCAACAACGCTGTTGACTTAAACAAACATACAAATTGTTTCAGAGAGGGCGATAAACATTTCCCGCTCAGGAACATTTCTATTTGGCACGTTTACCGCGAATCGTCCTGGGCACATTCAAATAAACGATAGTGTTGGCTGACACGGAAGCGGTTTTCCATTATCTATGAATGGCGAATTCATCGATAAGTCAGCGCGCGCGCCTCGCACCGAACTAGGGACGATTCGAATTAGTTAATTTGTGCAGATACGACACAATGGATGAGGAAATAATACACTCGCATGTACTTACGGCTACCGGGAGATTGTAATTGGCGTAATTGGACGAATCTGGACGCACTTAATAATGGGCCATTGTCGTGATACAAATGGCAACTCATCGTTTGGGAAAGTAATGATTCATTTCTTTTGTAAATCGGTACACAATTACCTTTAAGGGGATCGGGTTATGTTTTATGTGAGTGCACAGTTCTTTACGGATAGAATATAACAATTTGTACTATTATGGTGAAAAACAGTAGTAAATATTGACCTTAATTGTTTCAAGAGATCAATGCACGTCTGCAGTTTCTAAGCTTGAACGAGTGGACATATTTGTTCGGTGGACAAGTGAAGTCAGCGCGACGTGTGTGAAGGAAAAATATTATATTATTGTATTTCCTCTAGTAAGTGAGGTAGCCTGGCTCCGCAGTTGTCGCTTTGGAGATATCCATTGATGGTGGTGATCACTTAGAAACAGCTTGCTTGCTACCTTCTCACATCAAAAGTATGTAGGGCTGATTCTCGAACACTTGCGCAGAGAAGTTTTCAGTCATTTACAGCTCTAATTAATGAACATTGTCACTAACCCGTTTATATCGGTGATGGACCAGAAATGTCGTAGGACAGCTTTCGCGAGCAGGTACCATATCTGGGTCCAGACCCACGAGGATTTGTCGATGGAGACAGATAGGAACTCCTTAGTTTCCTCATCCGGGTGCAGCTGTACAAACTTCTTCTTTAGATCTTCGCTGATTCGAGTGGTGTCTACTCGATACCACTGGAACAAAAATATCAATTGATTATAAATCAACATCAATTAGACGTTGAAAATAAAATCTCGACGATACATTCCAAAGCACGCACAGCGACCGAACTATTCTGAATTATCGCAGACATGAAACGAAGTGCAAAAACGGCGAAGTAACACAAATCATAACTTAATCGTGGATTGATGTTGAACAACTCCCGCGCCGGCTCCTAATGAAAACGCACAAAAAGGTCGACCGAGCGCAAATAAGAGTACGAAGGGGGCACACCTCGTCACCCGTTGTGTGTTTAAGTCGGCGGCAGCGGCCGCACAAAGGGCTGCAGCGGCTGTTAATTTCACGCCGCCTCGAATTAACATTTCTTTACGCCACGGAATAATGACGAATTAAAAAAAAAAAGAGACACAGACAGGCCTCTCGCCTCTACACGCGGCGGTAATGACGTCGGACGCGCGAGAGGGACGGCGCTAACTCATCAGGCGGGCTTAATTAATGCACGATCTGTCATTATATTAAAATCGAAGACGGAGACGCGATGCGCGGGCAAAAAACGTCGAGGGATTGTTGGATCAAGCTCCTGGCGATGCTGACTCGGAATCGCCGCGTGACTGCTCGATTTCGGTGCATCGTTGACATTATTAGGAATAGCATTAGGCAAGTTGATTTAGAATTTAATATTCATATTTCGTATCGCCATTACGTTCAAATTACCAAGCTACGATTAATTCTATGTTCGTTTAAGAAATATGATGAATATACGTACATCTAAAAAAACTAGCTTAAGTCTAAATAAAATTTTGAAAATTGCTATAAATGTTTAAAACAGTTCTAGCTAAACGAAAGAATGTCATTAAATTTTTTATAGTGCTAATCTCTACACTTAAGATTGAACATTAAAATTTGTAGAAAAAGTAAGAAAAGATTGTCGCCGCTGTGGAAATCGAACCCACGTCTTCGGCATTCGCCTGACGCTTTAGCCACTAAGCTAAACGGCTGACTTCCCGGCGGTATATATAGAAGAGGCAAAAAGCATTTTTATGACGGCCCGCTAAGAAAGTATCGTAAAAAGCGCGATGCAAATAAACATTTAGTACCGAACGGAATACTGATAGGGAAGGAATCATGTTGATGATTATGCAATGCGCGGTCTTTACATTTGAAATGACCTGCATTGGGAACTACGCGAGCCGTCGGGGCGAATTATCCAGACTGAATACAGATCGTGGAAAATTTCGAGAGCCGCTCATTTGTAATACTCTGGTCTCGGTGTTATTGTTTGTTACGCATAATTCCGAGCGACTTCATAATTTACAAATACGGGCCGTGCACGTTTCTTATACGGAACGTTCGACGCAAAAAGAAACCTGCACGGGTGTGTTCTAGATAGGTTAAGATGCCCCGATGACACAGATCTGTTTTAACTTCATTCGCATACATTATTATAATGCCGCCGTATTTCAAACTGAAGCCAAAAAACAACATGAGGCTGAAGCGAGCACTACCGATACTTTTGTAGATTTCTCCGGTGGAATGCAATGAGGAATATAATCTTTTTCGAAGTACCAGAACCAGTGCAGAATAAAGTTACGTTATTTGTAAGACATTGATAGAACTATCAATGTAAATGGGCTTTCATTAGATCATAAGAGATGCAAAAGGTCGCTCGTAAGCAACGCAATAAAGCGATCCCGTAACGCGGACCGATAATGTCACGAATATGACTTCCGCGTTGTTGTTTTCGTACATTATGTAGACCAGAGGCACCCGGTTCGTTTATTTATGAGGCCCCGCGTTTAGGATTCTATTTCTGCTCGTGTAAAGCTACATTTGCATGAATAACAATTTCCACATTTTAAAAATCTACCTGTTAAAGAAGACAAATCGAGAATGATTTATTCAGTCCGGCGTGCTATCGAGGCCGTACCGCCTTTTGTTTATTTTATGGCGTTTATTTGGGTTAGCGATTTTTCGCGCAATGGTCAGGGGGTCAGACGGTGTGGTTTAATTGTGCCTTTGTGTTTTGCGCGCGACGCGGGCGCTGCTCGCTGAATGGGAGCGTTGTGCGGCGTGGAGTCGTTAGCGCGCCGGTCAACGGAGGTGCGTCAGTGGAGAGCGAAGGGACGCGGCTCCTTTATGCGGCGGCCGTTCGCCCTGCGGCCAATGAATCAAGCAGCCGCGCGAGCGCATCCTCTATGGAGGGAACGCTGTTGCTGGATGCGCACCGGACGCACAATGCCCGATTAATTCCCATTTAAACGTGTGAAAATGACGAGATGCAGCACTAAGGCCGCTCGTCCATTATGCTCGCAATACGTGAGGACGCGACTTCCAAGCGTCCCATTGTGCGCGGCAAAGAGACGCCGCTGAGAAGCGCATCGCTCATTACCGATGCAATTACTGCCGATATGTTCCCGTCCCCATTGCGATGACTAATTGCGACGAACGCCTTTCAGAAAGAACGCCATATTCACGCCGCGACCTTTTCATCGTGTTACTCGTATTTCCTCGTAATAAAGCAATAAATGCTAACACCGAGTGCCATAAACACATTAAATCTGTAAGCTCTATTATGTCAATGAGAATAACTCGTGACATTTACAAATCTCCACTTGATTTATTTAATATTGAACTTTCGGAAATATCACTAGTTGCAATGGTTGTATGTCGTTCAAATGTTTCCGTAAGAACTCTTGAATGTGCTGAAGAAGCTCTACGTATAAGATGTAACAAACAACCGAAGCGGCGGTAGACATTAGGCATTGCAGCATCGGCTATAACGGTGGGAGTAGGTACGGGGCTAAGTGGCGCACAGGATCCCGGGGATTTGGCGGTAAGCGGCCTCGGAGCTTGTTTGCCGGGCGCTCCATTAAAATGGGATCAGTCCGGGATGCAGATTGCCCGGACGCTGCGAGTGAAACACGCGTATACCTACGGCGCTCTGCGAGGTTATCCGTTTGCCGGAATAGCAACTATATTAATGATACACCAGTTCCCCGTTGTACCCGTTCTAGACATACTTCGTGTCGGCTTTAAATTAAAGTTTAAAAAAAAATTGTCTCGTGCAACTTGATGAAGATTTCGGACGTCCTTATATGTAAAGATGCGGTTCATTCTTTTCTAGATATTGTATTACATCGGGATAATAATTGAGTTGTTTTTAAAGCATTGACATCGGCAGGCTCCTAATACTCCGTAAAACTTTAATATGTTTCAGCCTTTAGTAAAATCAAAGAAAACCGTTGCATATTTTAATGGTTATCTAATAAAGTCAATTATACATTATAATAAAAGATTGAGTCCGCAGGCATTCGTTCAAGACAATATTCTATGCGTGCATGCATATACGTACTCTCAGTATATCCTGGTAGGTAACTGAATGTGGCCAAAGCATAAATAAACATTGACATTGGCTCGCAGCAATAATACACGTACTCAATTAAAATCGATATGAGTTATTGCCGCGAAACAATTGATTTCGATTAACACCGCCAAGCAACTTAAAGATAAGGCATTGTCTCCAACGTATTCACTCAAGCTATCAAAAATTAGTAAATGTAATCGAATAGGACCTTCGGAAAATGAATAAAATTTCCAGAACAACCTAGAGTTTAGCACGAGATATAGCGATTTTCCAAAAATACGTGCACAAATTTAAAGCAAGTATTTTATCTTTACGATTATTAGGTGCATTTGGTCTCAGTTTATTCAGATTTATAGATATAGTGTCGGTAGTGCTAATAAGTGGCCCCTTACGCGTCATTAATTTAACGGCTAGCTTAACGGCCCCGTCGAAAATTCACGACGCGAACGAAACAAAGGCCTCGCGAGGCTCTCGGGCCGGTGCGGGCGTCACGAGCGGCCCCAGGCCCCTCCGGTAATTGTTTTACGCGCGTCTTTTAATTGTTCTATCGAGGGATAGGATTTATGGCGCGACGTGATCGTTCGTTCGCGCCATTATTTCCGCATCGACGGACCACCGGTATGCAGCCCCTGCAAAACGATTCCGAGACGGAGACGGGGCCGATCTCGCTGCGGCCGTCAGTTAGGCAACGTAATTAACATTTAAGATAATGGAATCCATTGTTTCAGTGCGCGTTAGTATTCGTGCGCTCGATGTTTCGAGAACGGCGAGGCGGGGACGATTGCCTATTGGCAGTCTATTGCCAGTGTCGCAACAATCTCGGCTCAGATGAACGGCGGCGGAGCTCAGCTGATCATTTCCATGTGTGGAGGCATCAAGCTAGTTTTGAATTAATCATTCGGTAAGTAGGCAGTGGACGCGTCGTCACACCATTTAAAGCGTGGGCGCGGTAGGAAGATTTACGGGTGTATTTAAACTGGTTTAACATTAACGCGGCAAGGGAGTTGATTTGATCGTTAAATCGGCCGTAACATAGTGAGATAATATAACCGCTGGTTGCCACCCAGGAGGTGCATTTAAGTCGTCACTTTTTACTCATTTTAGTTGGTGGTTAACAAGAACATTTTCAATGCATTGTTTTCAAGTGCGCCGTTCCTCATTTCTATAACGGGGAAGTAATAACAAGGAACATTATTGTGATAAGTACAAAGATACTTTCTTAAGCGACCAATTTCATAGACTGCGCCGAGCGAAGCGTATCATTTCGCCTTTTGTGCGTACAATAAATGAAACATCGCGAGCTATCGGAGCGAGCGGTAAAAACGGGCGCAACACTTGCGGCGTCGAAATTATTCGACGGCGAAGGGCAATTAAGCGGGCTCACGCCGACCCGATTGTGCGGGCGCGTCCGTCGCCCGGCGACGCTATTGTCCGCCGAAACCGTCGACGAAAAAACGAGGAGACCGACCGGCCGGTGCAAATTAAATTGTTTTAATTGCCCCGCGGCCGATCGGGAACCAGCCGCCCGCGCGTCGTGTCAGCTCGAGCGGATCCCGCGGCGATGCGTCCGCGTATCCGTTTTTTAAATTAGAAGATGCAAGCGAGCTGGCGGTTCACCTGATGTAACGTGATAACCGCCGCCCAAGGACATTTATAAAATCTAATTTATGGTTACAAATGAGTTCACCTGTCAAGCGCCCTCACTCAACAGACGAAACGCAGAAGTTTAACAATTCAACTTCACACCGGATTTCTGTGAGTTCGTAGTACTTCCCGGACAACAGTGAAGGTGCGCTGCGTGGCATACCACAGTACGCATATAGCGTAATCAACGCATGCGTAATCAATTTTTTTAAATTTTATAAAAAAGTTTAGTTTATTATAAATTTTTAGTCGAATGGCTAAGCAAATGTTGGCAAAAATACCCGTACCTCTTCTACTTATTCCACACGTATCGTATCTGATTATCCTTACATTGTTGTTTTGCAAAACACAACGAGAGACAAATGTACAGTTTTTATTTTACGAGGCATCTAGTTTTTTTTGCTAACGCCATACTACTCACTGTTGCCTGTTTTACATTCGGCCTTGACTGTGGCTGTGATTTACAAATCCAGAATACCTATGCCATTATTTATAGACGGTAGTACGTTGGACACAAACAAAGTTTACGTAAGTGACATGGGGGCTTTTTATACAGACATGTTTGCAGATTACTCATTGCGGAATTGAAATCTTTCCTTGCCCATAATTGTTGGGTTATATCTGTAGGAGGCGAACGCGTAGCGATGCATAATTCCGTACCTAATTCTAATCACTTACGGAGGGATTACGTACGCCATGTCGCAAAACACGAGTCGATTTTGTATTTGGAGCGGGTCGCGCGCTTCGTCTAAGTCGCAGTATCGTGACGGCCGTCCGTCAGCGCCCAATCGAACGGTGGGCCGCGATTGGATTGATCGAAAAACGGACCGGCGGACCGGCAGCCCGGTATTTTTACGGCCGGTACGCGTACCAGAACGCGCCGGCGACACATTCCCGGCGCGGCGGGAGTTTTTGTGCAGCGGCAACTTTCATTAGACACCGCGCGACGGGACCGAGGCGTTTCCTTTTAATAAATGAGTTATGCGTTTATATCCAAGATGGCCGCTTTTATCGGACTCGGGTGTCGGGAATTTACAATGGCAGCGGAGGCTCGGTGTTTTTTCGGTGTCTTGTTTGTTTTCTTATTTGAGCCGCGATAAATTTAGCAATTAGACGCAGTTCGCGGCTCGAGTCGTCGGCCGAGTAACGAGAGGACAACATCTGTACATTCGGAAAGGCGGACTTAAATGTTTCCAGCGCTTTCGCTTTACTAATAATCAAAACGTTCCTGATTTTTATTTTTGTATTTTCTAAATTCAAACTAAATATTCCTTTTGAAGTATTCAAGAACATAATTACGTATTAATAAATAAAAATATATTGAATTTTCAAATTAACTTAATGATTACGAGACAACAAATATTTACTGCTTCAAAACAACAATTTATAACTAAATGTATTTCAACGGAGAAACGCAGACGCGATTGTTTTTTAATCGTGATTTATATTCAGAGGCTCTTAGGAAATAAAATAATCACAGCGGCGTCGATTTGCATACAATGGTAAAATAATTTTACGCGCGTTTCGCCGCGCTTAATTCTCCTTTTTATTCGGCTTTCCGCGTCCTATCTATGAATCAAACGGTCTGCTCGACGAGAGGTCGTTTAAGTGTTAACATTTCACGGAGACCGTGTTCGTTTCTTTTTTAAATATCTCCATAAGGCCGCGTGTCCTCGTTGTTGACGTTTCGATCTCGGTGTTGCGGAGCGCCGGTTTAAAATTAAACGGGGGAGACGCACGCATACGTCGTATGAGTGGAGCAGACAGCATGGCGGGGTCGCTTTGAGCGCACTAACCAAGATGGCGCCAGCCGCGCACTCGACTTCCCGCGATCACTCGTCATTCTACAGCCTTGGTAAGCCGCAAAAAACCCGAAACACATTCGTAGCGAACGCTGTCCGTCATGAATCCCGCGGCCGGCGACGGGCGGCCGAGCTGAGCCAACAAAGGGCACAACTCCACCCGCAAAAAGATGATCCTTAATCTGATTAAATCTCCATCGCGGCGGACGTCGGAGCGTGAAAGATTAATGAGTGTTTGCGCGCGGATTGCCGGAGCCGGGCGGGCACGTAGGGCCGTCATAATGATATTAGCGGGGTGGAGGCCGGCCGGGCACGCACGGCGGCGGACTCCGCACCGGCTACTGTCGCGTGTTGGACCCCTTGGAGCTTTACGACGTGACGCACAATGCGCTTCAATCTCCTCGGTTGCACCGGGCGCGATACAGTCTTAGTTACAATAGTCACGATACAGTCCTAGTTTTAGTCCCTTAAGGGTCATTGCCATCACCTAAAACAACACTTAGTCATTTACTAAAGTTAGGTAAAAGTAAAAAAAATGGAAAGTTACAGTCTATACATTAGGGATGCCGAAAAAATATCGACATATCGATATTTTTTATAAAATATATCGATGTTTTAGCCGATATATGTTGATCCGATATATTGCTATAAAATATTCAATATCGAAATCGTATCAAAAACGATATTTTTTCAAATTCGAATCCGGGATTGAGTTTTTTCTGGCAGATGTTTTTTTGGATAACAGGGCCTAAAACGAAAATATCGATATATCGTGGCCGATATTGATATTTTTGTAAATATCGATATATTTCTTCATTTTCGGCCTCCCTACTATACATGTCCCTGTGTAGGACACGTGACCTCACTTCGGATTGGCACACTTCACATATCTTCCAAATATATGTTTCTTCATTATTATTCCCAAAATATTCAGATTTCCTCACGATGTTTTCCTTCGCCGGTGAGCACGTGATGCGTGAACACTTAAAATTGCAATTGACGATTTCATCGGTCTCGGCACTGGGTTTTGATCTCGGGCTGCTTGAATATATTGAAGTAAAGGCGAGTGACCGGACACTGAGCAATCATACAATTATATATATTTTTAATATAAGTCGGAAGTTAGTTCGGTGCTAGTGTTGAAGTTAATGGCGTATTGTTAACCATATCTAATATATCAGATGAGCACTAGAACATATAACATTTTATACTGTAATTGAAAAAGCTGTGGTGGGAATTGAACTAAAAAAAGTTGCATTCAGGGATGGATACTGATCGTACTTTCATCAAATAATATAACGGCGTAAAGTAAGGTGAAGATGTTTGGGCCCTTAATGGCAACTTATAAATTGCTACTAATGTTTCTTTCTGCACGGGCAATTAATAAAAATCTGATGAAGGAAATAGATATTTTTAGCACGACACAATTATTTTTGGTCAGAAGTAAAGTTTGAATGTATTAAAGGTAACGGTGCAAAGCTGTGCGCGATTTGAACGGTTCGATGTCGTGACAAGTATAATTCGAACCTCCTCCCGTTGGCAAGTCGCAATCGCTCTCGCGTTTTGCATTTCGCGCGAGCTCAATAAGCACACTCGTAAAAGAATCAATTGAGGGCCGAAAGAAATTAAACGTGAGAACGTATTGTTCGATGCGGGCGTGAAAAAAACGAGGAGAGTGCTTCGCGTTAAGCGGCCGCGGGTCGTTTTCGACCGCGTTTTCAGTCGCGCTAAATGAAACTAATATTCGCGCGGCTTTAATCGAACGGAGCGCGGCGGCCGAGTTCACTTCGCGTTGCCAATATGGCTGTGATGAAATCTACTATTGCGTTAGTGAGTTTCGGATATACTTTCCCTGTGGACATTCCCATTGCCAAGCAAAATCCTCTGCACGAACGTGCTGATTCATCCGGACAAGAACCACGGCCCCACAGAAGTTCAGCGTAATGTAATAGGAACTATTGAGTATTATTATATATATTGAATAACTATGTGAGTTATAAGTGATGGTATCCAGGGCTATCGAAAACGGATTCTTTTACCTTGGCTCCAACCGAGCGCTTTGGACCGGCAGTGGTCAGTTACCATTTGTTCAATGAGTTGCCCATTTGCTACATTCTATCACAAATGAAAAGATGGAAGAATGAGGTTAGCTCTTAAGTGAGGCAAGACGTAACATAGATCATTCGTGTTACGATTAATATTGAGTGCATGTCAATTCAGTGCCATCGTAACATTTAGTCCTCTGACGCTGTTGAATTTTAACGAATATCCGTAGGACAGTATAGAGAGCCGGCTAATTATTTATCGTGGCGCTCGTGGCGGCAATAAAGCCCGCGCTCATCAATGATTCAGGCGCGCAAACAAAGAGCGCGTGCTGCGTGGGCATTATCCGCCATAAGACGTCATAAACGGCCCACCATCATCTGCCCTTATAAAACATTCATACTCATCTCACATTTCGGCGCCCCTCTTAATTTCGCGTGAGCCTCTTCTAGCTTCGTGTAAAAACTTCGGGCGTCTTTTTATGACTTTTACTGCGGTATAATTGGGAGGGGCGAGTGCTCGCGTCCCCGAGGTGACATAAATACCCTACCGAACAGCCCCCCCCCCCCCTCCCCCCGCACTCCACTACCCCCGGCTTAATCTCGTGTAAGACTACACGGCACGGAACTAGCGCATTAAAACGTCTCGTCGACTGCAAGTTGAAATTTCGCAAAAAGGAACGCTCGAAACGCAAGGAATCTCGCGGAGGAACCATTAAAATGAGATTTTGGAATAGGGGATGCAATAAGTACTTATTTGTTTGCTTGATACTCCTCATTACCATAATTACAAGAAAGTACAAGGATTGTTAAAATGCTTTTGTCAACATTGTTGAAGTTGAATTTGTTTTTCAGTTACGTTCCTATATTTTAGTGATGTATGCCATCGTAAAATTTTTACGGTTAGGCAAAAGCATTGACTTGTCACATTACTTTTAAATACTTTCTTTCTGAAAGAGTATAGAAGAATATCACATCTTTTTTGCGTAAACAGCGTACATTTTAAAATAATTAAAAAGATCAAACAAACTATATGCAGCAAATCAGATTTTGATTGCTTTGACATCTAATTTGACTCGTATAGAGCAAGCTAAGTAGGACGCGATTTATTCTCGCACTTCCCACCCGGACACCGAATGCAGAGGACAATTTGCACGGGAACGGACAATATTTGATCTTAGGAAGTAATATGTCTAGTAGCTTCCAATATCAAAGAGCCCGGTCCGTCGCAGCGAATGCGATTTCAATTTTATAAGGGCGGCGGTGACGCGAGGCGGCGCGGCGGCGTCGCGGAGTCGTGTGCATGTATTTATTTGCGCATACCGAGTAGCTTTCAATATGCCGGGGCGGCTGGCTCGCCTGTCGATCTTCGCCAATATCGCATTCAGGGTGTCAGGCGACCATTCAACGCCGGTGGAGATTGACTCGCGCGCCCTCCTCGGTGGCGACGGAATACGTAACAAAGGCGATAGAATTTATCTGATGTCAGTTTCCATGGAGCTACCGGTTTAGTCCGCACCACCAAGTGCGAGAGATTTAGTTTTTAATAATAAAATCGATTATATGAATGACTGACAAGTTAATCGCGCTCCATTTACGTGTCTCTCGATATAGAACGCTACATACGTATTAGCATAGAGCGGTGGGCGTTGCTAGAAATAGCGACCTATGAAGCGACGCTCGATGATAGATGAGCGTCGCGAAAAACATAACCGTAATTGAGATTTCTATTACAGAAATTGAAGGCGACCGATCCGTTTTTTGCGCCCTCCGTGTTTGTTTACATAATGTGAGTGGTGACGGGCGGCTATCGGCTTTCGGACGCGTCGCCGGACGCAAATTTGTATATTGTCATTATTAGAGCGCTTGGAAAGTTCGGGAAGGTTCATCCATCATGACGTGACGGGCGGCCGCGCCGATATCGCGCCTAATACGTATTGATTTCCCACTTAGCGTTTTTCTTGGGAACCGCACGCTCCACCCTTCCGTCCGGCGGGCATTAACGAGCTGTTTGTCCTCCACTCGTATTGTGTGGACACCGCTAGCCTCGTCTACGCCTCTTCTACTTCCACTTCAGCCTCGAATTAATGCCGTCTTCCGTATACTATGCCTGTCCCATTTCCGATATAATTGCAGTGTTTTTGCACAGAGAAGATTCGAGAGTACTTCCAGTTTTCGCGAGTGGTGGCGTACCCAGTGAGTTCTTTCATCATGTTCGACAATTAAGCGACTCATGCGGGTATGTATATAATGATGCGATATGTTAAACCCGTGTAAATGGCGAAGAGAGAGATTGCGTCACCGAAGTCTCCGGTGGGGGAGGGAGGAAGAGGAGGGGGGGGGGGGAGAACAATGGTTTCGGTTCTCACACGTGTGGAGGATTATTTGCATTCGGAAATAAAGAGAGGAATGATAAAAGAAAGGCGCGAGCGAGGTCCCGCCGCCCCGGGCGGGGTGTGAGAAAACTAGGAAGTCGGGGGGGCTGAGGGGGTTCGAGGGGTGGCGCCTCTAAGGGGACGGGGCTCGTTACGCGAACAATGGAGAAATAATGTACAGATTGCAGTGAGCGATGCGCCCGGCGCGACTCAGGTGTCTTACCTCTGCACGGACCTAGCGCCTGTTGTATTGATGTAGGTACGTAGGCTTCGACGAGTATGAGCACGTACGTGACGTCAGCATTAGAAATACACCCGCACTGGTAATGCCAATATGGGAATATATATTTTTAACTTCAAAGGGATTGTAAGTAAACACACAGTAGACCAGACTACACTAGAGATACTGCAAAGGTACAAATACTTTTACTTCCAGTCGATCTTCTGTGAGGTGTTTCCTTCGTTGGTGTATTTAAGCAGCAGGGTGTTTGTAAATTTTTCCATTGCTCTATTAAAGATGTCAACAGTTGCTAAATATGGCTCAGCTGATAGCCCCTCAAGCTTTTTAATAATAAATTTGCGATTTATTAAAATAAACATGATCTTCAAATGTCCCTTCATAACAAATACCTGTCCCTTATTATGAAGAAAATCACTCCTATGAACTCGCGTGCAAAGTGAACGGGCGAAGACGGATGGAGTTGTAATTATTAACAGTGGTAATAGATCTGCAAACAGGTTATTAGCTATATCTTTCCACAATTTAATATAATCTTACGGCTTCAATTTTATATTAGCAGTCTGTGTTAACAGCCTGTTCACGAAGTGAATGTGAACTGTGATTAGTTCAATTACTAAAATGGCAATGTGTATATTGTACAAAGTTGTGACAAGTATAATAACTATGGGTATATGGCGTGGCTCGTAGGTTAGGATAGTAATATGATCTAACACTGTTAAAGAGGATACGCCATAAATAGAGTAAATACTCGGCGATAAATATTGGAAATTTGGAAAGAGACAATCGTCTAATTTGGGCTTGCTACGGCGTATGTCTGTTGAACACTCGTAAGACTGACAAACGTCACATAGTAGTACTCTAGCAATCTTGTTGTCGTGGTGACAGGATATGGATTTTACGTATGTATTACGGGCCTCTGTACACACTGTACAGGTGGCCACATAGAACTGGAGCAACGTGCGAAGAAACGAAATAATGACGCCTGTGCGGGTGCGGCACACGAGGCCGAATCGTTTGATAAAGGATGCCTTGATAGGAAGCGCTCGCAATCACAACAACAGTCACCCTATCCTCGTATGACACCGAAAACGTCCTCGTCCATAAGTATAAATTAATCCATTTAGAGGCGGGCGGCGGGCACCGACTGCGGCCGATTAACGGAAGCGTCTACTTAACTAATTTATCCTCGGGCGGTTTTAACAGAATGGATAGCGGTGATTACTCGCCGCGGCGCAACGTTAGCGGTCACAGCACGCAAAATGTAATGTTGCGATGTCATGTTAAATGGTGTTATAATTTACTATAAGTTAGTTACGAGTTCTTTCTCCTGCCTTTATTCCAACTAAGTGGAGTCTGCACAACATGAGTTATATTGTTAATACAGTAAAGTACAGACTAGGTTTTATTTCATGACTAGCTACCTGCCTGACGTTAGCTCAACGTCAGTTTAGAACAATTAGCTGATGGACACCTAAAGACTATTCTTGTATGGAAAGCAGAACCTCGTGATTCCCCCGTCCCCGAAGCCTGACGCTGCTACTTCGTTACCGAGTCATTTACAGCCGAATGAATTATGTATGGTGTGTATTGGAAAGTGGCAAACTAGGAGGCGATTGGCCTGATGATAAGTGATAGCTAAAGTCCATGGCAATCTACAACACCCGTATGGTCTTCGCTGTTGCATGAATGGGCAGGTCCCTTTAGGGAAGTGCCATGACTTCACAAGAAGAACGGCGTGAAGTGGAAGTGTTACACTTCTGCGTTTCCCAGAGGAAGTTTCTTTCCGTTTCTCCTCGCCAGAGCGATGGAGGTAACCAGATCCTACTTTATTGAAAGGTGGCAACGCATTGGCAAGCAACCCTACGGGTATTGCAAATGGGCGGCGGTTATCACTTACACACCCTGTGATTGGCACTTCACGAGAACTGCCAGCTTGCTTTCTATCTTCACACATTAAAAAAATATAATGACAATAAATATTTTCGGACATGCCTTTTTCCAGTGTTTGGGTGGATATATATTTTAATATACAGTTATTTACAAAAGAATAGTATATTTAAGTATGTCATGCACTCATCTAGTATCCATAATACAAGCGTTGCTTAATTTTTTTTTTTATATGGAACTGTCTAGCGCTTAACTGCCATCCCACCTGATGGTAAGTGGCGATGCAGCCGTTGATGGTAAGCGCACTAGCTCAGTAAAAGCCTTATAATATTTGGGACTAAAGAATGTTGTGTAAAAAGTGTCCTGAAATATTTAGTATCATTTAGTATAATAATGATGTTGTTTACGATGTAATATAATATGATAACTTGATTATCACGTCTGTACACGGAACAACATCGACATCTATCTATCAACATCGATATCTATTCATTATTACAAGACGATGTCAATTGAGCATGTTATACTGGAGACCATTATAAGTATTTTTAAAGTCCAACTTTAAAAAGCCGTAGAAAGGTTCTGTTATGTCATGCCATGGGCTTCAAGCCGAACCGAGAGACAGTAAATCTAACACCTACTGAGAGATTAAACCGCGCCTACCTATATTACATATAGTAGCAATTTCACACAGAGGAGCCGATGTGAACATTAAAAAACTTTAGCGTTGATATCCGACTTTTTTGTCCGACACTTAAATCTATCCTAAATTAAAAAAAAATCACCAGTATAATTAGAAATTGACTGCGGACACGAGCACAATTCAAGTTACCTTAACTAAACGACAAGTTACATATTAAATGAGAGTAAAGATATAGTATTCATAATTCGTTTAACATTTTAACGATATACTAACTGCATGATGCACAAGACGCCTAATCGATTTGAGAGCTCGGCAAGGAAAGCGGCGTTTAGTCAATTAAAAACAATGAAACAAATGATGCTTAACAAGGCATTCACTTTATTTTTTTATTAGTTTGATGGTAACGCCAAAAATTAATTTAGGTTTAAAAAAATATTAATTTAAATAACATTTAAAGGTGGCAACGCCCTTGTGACCCTACGGGTGTTGCAAATGTCCATAGGCGGCGGTTATCACTTAACATCAGGTGAACCGGCAGCTCACTTGCCACCGTCTAAAATAAAATATTATATCACTAATGTAATATAATATGTGAACCTATGAACTTTTTAAGAGAAAAGTTATTTTTTTAATATAGATCGAACCTAATTCAACCAATATTCTATTGCATAGAGAACCTTTATAAATTAAAAATAATAAAAATGGGTTATTTATCAAAAACATTTTACAAATTCGATTACGTTTAATTTTATTTTTAGGGGATTGAAAAACCATTCGTGTAAATAAAGAATTTTTTTAAATTAAATAATACAACATACGTTTCATCTGAATAATGGATGAATTTGTTGTGGAAATTAATTATTTCAGTGGGTACGAACGTATATGAAAATTACTAAATCGTTAGAGTGTAATAATAAACTCAAGAAACAATTAAATTAAGTTTACCTCAAGTGTCAGGGGAAAAAACTTTTTTTTTTAAATATTACATATTTCTTGAACAATTACTACTCATTTTAGAACGCTACCTATATTCTTATAACAATGAAGTTCATAGTGTAAACATAAACATTCGTGAACACATTATTATTTTGAAGGTTCTTTGGAAGGCTTCAGTAACGAACTGCAGACCCTTTCACCCAAGCCTCACAGGAGGCCGACGTGAAGGCGAAGTATTCATACTTTTGCGTGGTGAGTGAGGTGTCCCACTTAAAAGATCAGTAAATCTACAGCAACGATTGGGGTGTTGTGTATTTCCATTGGCGTCGGTAATGTCTTAATTTGAGGCGATCCTTGCTCGATTGACAACATAGGACAAATCATCAATACGAAGAACATAACAATACCACCAATAATAGGTAATTAA